GGAAGATATTTCAGAAGGCATAAATAATGTTAAGAATTAAACCCTGATCAGGTATCTCTTATGAAAAGAATTTTAATTGTAGACTATGAAAACACACAGACACTCTGACTTAAATCTCTATTTGCTTTGCAACCTTTCATAACAACAGGTCCTCTGACGCAGACCTCTCCATCTTTATTTGGGCCGAGAGGTTGGCCTGTCTGGACATCAACCACCTAAGTATGAAAGGACAGATTGTATGATGTATTTGACCCTAGCTGATCTAATTTGCTGCTATTGAAAACAAACTACTCATTTCAGAGTGTAATCTTTCTATTAATGACTTGACTTGTTAGATTATTCTAGATCTTTGCAATTACTTGTTTTAATTGTCTAGGAAAACTAACAGCATCAAGAAACTAAATAAAATTGAGTTCCAAGTTAGTAATGTAAGTGTAATTAGTGTGTTAAGAATATTGTAGAACCTTGAGATTAAGAGTGTAAGAGCACTTTTTGGGTTTGTAAAAGTTTTTAGGGAGGTGCTGATGTCGAGAAACAAATTAGATCAAAGTTTCTACCAGCAATCTTGAATTCTGACTGAGAAAGTAACCTGCTTTGAAATAATACTCATAACACTTTTCAAGGTGATCATTAACAAGAGTGCCTGCTGAGGACTACAGCAGTAAGCAATATTACCATTTCCACTTACTTTCCCTTCAATGTTTGGTAGCATAACACCCACAGCACCAGGCTTGCAATTTTTTCTTGGACAAAGCATTACAGCTGGGCTTGTTTCTGTTAGACCATATCCTAAAATGGTTTGATAGAACAAGCTAATTAAATCAGAGGTGGACCCACGAAAGCGGGACAGTGGGTTTAAAGCAATTATACTAACAGTTATCATAGAAAAAGTAAACAAGTCACATAATGTTTAGTCTGAAAAGATTTTGAAATAACTTTCCTATTTTAATAACAATTGGTGTCATAATTTCATTAGAGTTATAAACATGGACTGACTGCATCTCACTAATAATACAAAAAACTAAATGTGAGACTTAACCCTTTAACTCCCAGAAGTGATAAACATGTAACTTCTCCCTATAATATTCATGCATTATGCAGCAAACAGATAATGAGAATACTCAAACTTATCAGGTAAAAGTGGTTATCTTGATCTATCACCAAATTCTCATGCCTAACTTACAAGGACATTTGCAACAAGTAGAGAGGAGAGTTAACAATCAGATCTTGGGACTTAAAGGGTTAAAATCATTATGAATAAAATAGACAAAAAAGTTTAACTGATTCTGAAGATATCTCATAACCAAACAAACTGACTGACAGGTATCTTAAATTTATACCTAACTGCACAGAAAAACTGCATAGAAAAAAATTAAAAATTGAAAACAGAGAAAAGTCAAATGTAAATTAATTAGCATATAGCATATAATAAAACCTCATTAGCAGAGATAAGAAATATTTCTTTTTCAAGTTTTTGAGTTGCTTGAAATCTCTGGTACTTTAATGAAGTTTGAAAGTATTATTTGCTTGAACTTCTACAAAAATTGTTCAGCTGTTAGGCATATAGCCAGAGGGTAGTTTTATATGCGGATTAACTTGCTTTTGGCTTTTTCCTTTTTTCCTTTGCTTTCAGCTAAGACAGCACTATTGCAATTGCATCTAAAGAAACCCAAGTAGGGAGAAAAACACTTTACCACCTTTTAAAACATCTAGAACCTTTCTAGATTGTATGTTACAATGAAAATAATTTCATAAGACACAAACACTATCATTAACAAAACTGAACTTTGAATTATCATGTCAAGAACTGAAGTTCATCTAAACAATATTTCTCACCTTGAGCAATGGCCACCACTTTTGGAAGACGTTTCCAAACAGCATTAGTAAGTTCTGCTCCTAGAGGTGCAGCACCACTTATGATGGTATCAACACTGGTTAGGTCATAGTTATCCACCAATGGATGCTTGGCCAAGAATGTAACAATAGGTGGCACTAGAAACAAAACGTGTATCTAGAATAGAAATTTAAGAAAATTGAGGGGTTTAAGCATTGCTTATGTTGAGATGGTAAACTAAAAATTGAACTTATGCATCAATTAATTTGAAGCTTCAACATTCCTGCCTCACCCTGGCAGAGCTTATTTAGTTGGTGATCATTTCCCTTATTCTCATGACCTTAGTGTTTAATTCAGGGGTGATATTATAAGGAGAAACTAGATGCTACTCAGTTGAAGGGGTTAAAGGGTTAACAACATCGCGTGAAAATGAAACATTTTGAAAAAAGAGTTGACACAGTAAAATGTAAGTGAGGGTAAAAGTGCTAGATTTCTAAATTAAATGTGCAGTGGAAGTACGAAGAAAATTGATTTTGCTTTGATTCAACAAAGGTTAAAATTGTCAAGCTAATTAGGACTCAAGCATGCATGCCTTGATGTACTTATCATTAGGCCATTAGCTGTCACAGCTCTGAGAATTCAGAAACAAACCTTGCAGTCTTGTACAAGCTTTAGCATGTGCTCTCCCTCAAATTTCTGCATGCAGACAAGTTTCCCTCCACGGTAAAGATATTGTGACATTACCACCACCATGCCAAATATGTGGAAAAATGGCAGTAGTCCAAGGGTAGTTCCTCGCCGTGGCTGAGACATAAAATTCTCATGCATGATAATACACAACTGTGAGACTATGTTGTGATGTGTGAGCATAACTCCTTTGGGGAAACCTGTGGTACCACTAGAGTACGGCATAGCACAGATATCTTCTTTTGGATTAATTGCAACATTGTTTGGAAAGGCCATTCCATCATCACTGAGAAGAGATGCCCATGGTTCACACCCCTCTGCTTCACCAATCACAAACACTTCCTTAATTCCTACCTCCATTGCAGCTTGTCTAGCTCTGTCTGCAATCTCAGGCACAGTCAGAATATATTTGGCAGCAGAGTTCTTAAGCTGGTAAGCAATCTCCTTTTCAGTGAAAGTAGGATTTAAAGTTGTAACTGTTCCACCAGCAGCAATAACTCCAAAAAATGAAACAGGATACTCTGGCACATTTGGAAGGTAGAGAGCAAAAACATCTCCTTTCTGAAAACCCCTTCTTGTTAGTGCTGAAGCAAACTTTTTCACTGATGTACAGAGTTCACTGTAAGTGTAGGATTTCTCTGAGGCTCCATCTATCTAAAAAGAGGTTCAAAATTTAAGAATACAAGCAACCCAATTCGTCTCAGGCTGGACTCAAATTTAAGTAAACTTTTTGTAAATTTTGGAATACCTCCAGGACTACACGTCCTCGCTATGTCACGAAATCTTACAAAACCTAGACTTCGTGACAACGTTACAACAAACTTAGGACAGTTTGCCATAAAATATTTACTGATCTTAAACGTTTTTAAACGATATTTCCGTATGCATTTAAGTCTGCATTTTCATTTTATTGTCTTTAAATTGCCTTTACTATTTAGTTTACCAATTTCGTTTTGGGTTTACTAAAGCGTGACCACTTTAAAACAATAGGTTGTTTTCATACACGAGTAAACATTCCAGTAGTCTGTACATAGATCTCACCAATTATCATTATTTACGTTGACAGAAATGAATATGCAGATATGAATGTAAACTCTATTATTGTTCCTCTGTTTTCACTTCGCTAAGCACAAAATTGATCGTCTACAACACGTTCCAAAGTTCCCTAAATAAAACACGGAAGTGTATTCCGGTGCTGCTCAGCTCAATAATTTGGTTTATAAGACGCTTTTGAAGCTTTCCTGTTGCCTCATTAATATAGAATACACTGGCCTAAAAACGCTTTGTCTGGCATACTGTTCGCTCGAGTTCATTCCAGAAGGTTCGTGGAACAATTCATCACGCTGACTGCAAACAAATCAAAGAGCTGATGTTATCGCGTATCACTCGATATTTACCCTACAAAAAGAAAAAAAGAAACATCGTGGTTACTTACCACTGCAGTATCGTCTCCATATTCTTTGAACTTGTTGAGCACGAAATCACTGAGGGATATCTCTGGTACATCAACTGTGTGATCGCTCTTCACAATGCCTGCGGACGAACGGAAACTGCGACAAAGCGCGCCACTCAAATAAGATGAGTGAGGCGCCTGTTCAATTCGCGTGAAGATATTTGAATAAGATCGTTTTTGCAATTGAATGATTCCTTCAGATAGACGAAGGCTTTGAAAACGGCTTCGTAATAGCCTCGGGGAAATCAAAGAGCGCACAAGAAGGACGGTTGAGTTCGCCATACTTCTGCTAAGAGAAACCATAGAGAGAAGACTGAGCTAGACTGGGGAGAGTTTTTCAGATTCGGACCGTTAAGGTCCGTTCTGGCTGGTTACCGTCGATTCAGATTAATATATGTACGTTCTTGCGCTCGGCACAAGGGCTGAGGAAAAATGATTTTTTTGGCTAATACTCTTTGGCTTCACCTATTTCGCTACTCTGCATCTCAAATAAGTAACACGAATCACGTTCATGTAATGTAGAATGTGCTACCGCGCCGCAGTGAACCAAACTGCATGCGTTGTACTCCAAATAAACAGTTTCCAGGTTTTTAGTTTTTAGACCTCAAAAAGACAATTTTTATTTTTAAGATTTAATGGTCCGTGCCTTTCCCTCCCTCACTGGAGACGGAATATGACCTGTGGAGGTCTTGGAAAGTAGCTTTTTTCTTCAATCACTCTGTCTTCCATTTGTTCCCACGAGCTGAATACCTGGAACAGGCCAAAGTTTACTGAAGCTTATGTATACTACTTTGTATATGCGTCTTTTGCTTGTGTGCATTTGAGGACGATAATTAAATATTTTTTAGTATGAGGCACGCATGAAGAATAAAAAAGACATTAAAAGAAGACGATGAATGCAATAGAACCACAATCTTAAATATATAAAATCTGTCGGAATCTTTTCGACAAATTACCTCACGGAGATTGTTGAAAACACCACTGATTTCCGGGCCTGTACATTTCAAACTTTTCTGGGGGAGGATGGCCCCAGATCCCCCAACAAACTCGCGTCCCTGACGCTTGTTATCAAGCCCACCCCCCCCCTTCTTCCCCCCCTCCATATTCAATTGAAAATAGGCTCCGCCGTCCCTGTAGACATAATCCATTTATAAATGCAGACAAAGAAAAAACAAAACAAAAAACAGGAAATGACATTGAGGAAACGACTAGTTTTCATTGGATTCTTAATGAAAACAAACAGTAGTCTATAATGAAAGGAGAGAAAATATAGTTTCAATTCTTCAAGTGACTCTAGTTATTTACAGAAAATATGCCACGGAATTTCAAAGTTTTATTGACTTGTAAGATGTCTAAGATGGGCAAAACAAGACCGAGAGATAAACACAAATGATGATGACGGATTTATTGGGAGTACTCGCAGTTCTTTTTCTCCGAGTATAACTGTTTTCAGATTCATTGTTATTTCTATACTTCGCTAGAAATTCTGGCAGCAAAATTTCTTCAGGGAAAATTGCATTGGAGTGATTTTGTGGAACTCTATTTTTGTGATCGCTGATGTTAAATTGTGGCAGGAGCCCATTAAGAGATGGGCTCATCAGGGTTTTCATTTGAGGCCGGAGGCCGGACGTTTCGTCCGGTCGTTTGCCATTCCACGTCCGGTACTTTGAGATCAATATTGGCGATTTTTTTTTACTACGGCGCTCGCGAGGCGCCTTACGGCGCCAAGAAAACATTCACGTCCGGTGCTTTCAGAAGTATGTCCGCTACTTTACAAAACAGTTGAAAACCCTGGGCTCATGATTGTGGTCAGTTGTTGTCCGAATATTATTTGAATCGGATGGCATTAATTAGATTGAAAATATAGTCGAATCTCGATAACTCGAACCTTCAAGGGAAATTGAAAAAGGTTCGAATTATCGGAAGATACAGGCAGGGTAGTAAAATGTACCCTAAACCAACGAAACCTGGTTCAACAGTTATCAAAGGTAAAATTTGTGGAAAATGACCTGAAGGAAAACGGAAATTGCTTCGAGATATCAAGGTTTCGGAATACCGAGGGTTAAATTGCTAAAATGGCGGGAACTCAGGGGAAATCGATTTTGATTTGAGTTAGCGCGAGATTCAAGTTAGCAATGGTTCGAACTATCGATATCCGAAGTCGCCGTATAAGCACGATTTACAAGAAAGAGGCGCTTCTGCTCAGTTTAAACTCTTTCGACACAAAAAAAAGAGTGTAAAAAAGTGCTTCAGCGATATACTTAGAAAACCAACTACAGCGTATTCTAAGACTTACAGCTGACGTTCAACATTTAACCTAGATCTTTTCAAAAGGTGCAACTCTGCAAATAGATAGTAAGTCTGATAGGCATCGTGGAATGGAGAAATTTATGAAGAGATTCCGGAATACTTAAAGAACGTTTTTAATGCAGATAGTCAGCTAGGACCATATGGGTTACGTAAATAGGATTTGGACAACTAACAGCTTGTTCATCCCTGGGATAAAGTTTCCTTGTGCAACATCTAGTTCACCCATGAGATACGTCAGCTTCTCACTATGACATCTGGTACACCCCTAATATACTCCTAGGATATCGTTACCCTGTGTAGCATCTGGTACACCCTGGGTTTCTATGTAGTCTCTATGCTTAGTTTTTAACTCAAAACAGCCAAGCCAGTATGAAACGAGCGCCTATAAAGAGCAACAAGCCAACCGAATCTTTGCTGGCTGAGTCGTACAGCGCCGTTGTGGTTTGTGAGAGTTTCGTAGTCATGGTACTAGTTGGTTTATACATTTGGCTTTGCGTGAGGTTAAGCCCTTTAAATCGGAATTCTCCCAGGCTTACGATGGGATTTGTGGCTTTAAATGCACCCTCCATGGTGTTAGTGATCCGGAAAATGTCTACGAATGGCACTGTCGCTTGATTGACGCTGTTAAACTGAAGCCCGCTATCTGTGCCTGAATCATACGGTGGTAACATGGTCACGTTCCAGGTCTCTCGCCACTGGCCATTGTCACAGAGATCATGGCTGTCAATTCCTACGAACCAATCGGGGGATGGAGCGAGCATACTGATCAGAGACACCCTTGAAAAGTTGGAGGTAACCTTGACTTGAATACTGGTCAGTTCATCCACTGCATCAAGCCCAGGTCCCGCGGGCAGAATGAGCTGCAAGGCTTTTCCCCCAGAGATTTGAGACTCTATTTCGCCTTTAAGGGTTCCAGTTTGACCTATGAAAAACGTCACAATATTTCAAATCTTTTTTGATCATCCGTCGAATATCATCTTCATTCACTTTTTGGTGTTGTGAGGCTCCTTAATATTGAATCAGCCAACAGGCGTTAATTCCAATGGTATTTTTCTTCAGGTAAGGTGCCGCTACTTTCCTGTGACATTTCACCGCCAGTTTAAGAGAGAAAAATCAACTCTCCCTCACTGTCTCTTGCCATGATTCTCTCCTGACACAGGCATAATGGTCAAGTCATGACAGAGAGGTTACACTCGCAGTTCTGATTAACATCACCAGAAAGCAAGAAGTTAAATTGATTTAGTGCTCCGGTAATAATAGAGATGTGTGCGCTCTGATTGGTTGAGAATTGCGCCATATCTCGCCATAATCATCTCGCGCGAGACGATTGCAGCTGGGGTGCTAAATTTCAAATTGGCTGCCTCGCATTTTGTCAATGGTACACAAAAAAAAGTGATGAACGCCATGGACGAAAATACAACGCTAAAGAGCCAAAAGATGCTATTCAGTTTGGATTAAAACTTTTCAAAAGAAAGATATGAAGTTTTTGCTGATTTAATCGAGTAACCTGTTAAATTCTAGTGGAAACTGGCTGCTTAACTCGATACGAGTAATCGTAACAATTTTAATAGAATGGTCTCAAAAACAAAACGATTTTTAAAACAGAATTTGAAAGCACCTGAACAATTATACTGAAACAATTATCTGCCTTAGACTCAATGAATATATATATATCTATATATATTGTTGACTAATACCCTTGGATCCGTCTCGGAGATTACTAAAAAACGTTCACCGAGCCTGAGGCGAATAATTGTCAAATATTCTGTAACGCCCTTAACGTCATGATTTGTAAATTTTTATTCCCAATATTTGTAGACGATCGAGACTTTTGACAAAGTAATTATTTCTGGAAATGCGCTTACAGATGAGAAGTTTACAACTGACTAAAGCTAAAATGTAGAGAAAAAAAATCCGCATCGTTCAAACGAACGAAGTAAGATCATACAAAATTTCATTGAACGAACAACATTTCCATTCTCTGGTCGGCCGATCACGGAAGTCGAAGCGTTTTAAATTTTTCGTCGCCAAGAAGTTTTATTTTGTTGTTTAATTTGTGGAAAAAGGGATTTTTGTTCAATGGCTAAAAAACAACCAATTTAAAAGTTCATTTTCTAACCTCTTTCAGCGACCAATTTAACGCCAGAAGAAGCTTTCTGTCCTCTTCGCCACATGATGTAGTCCGCACTGTGAGAGCAACCTATTAAAGGAGAAAAGTGTGCACTGCTTGGAAGGGCTGTATTCGGATGATTTGCTTGGGTCCAAGTAGCTTTCCACGATAATGTGTATGTGGCTGTCCCAGGACATTTAACTGCAGTTGACGAAACTACAACAACGCTAAGAACAGCCAAGAGAGTGCCTATGTGTTGTGCCATCTTCGCAAGAGTGACTTTCGCAGTCGACGCCGAGGACCGTTTATAACTTGCTTCAATTTAAAATTATCATCTTAGCCTGACTCCGGTTTTATTTTAAAAAGATGATTAAATTTGATGAGCACCAGTGACTCAGCAAATCATAACTTAGAAATGCATGACATTAAGGGAAAGATATTTGCTTTAGAAACATTTCCTTTGTTTACATTTTCAAATTTGCCCACCGTCAGTCTTTGTTTCAAGAGCCAATCGTAATAATTTCGTCATGGGAACTGGCGTGTTTGTAATCATAACAACTCGCAGCCGGCTCACGAATGAATTGTTTGTAATCTGACAAGAAGTTCCTTTGACGTATCTGACAAAAACGTTTTTTTATTTTATTATTATTTTTTTTACTTGTTAATTTGACGTCAAAGATACAATTTGGGACATTAAAATCAGCCTCCGTCCGAAAGCTATGATTATAACGCTTTATGAATGGTAAATAGTCTCTCCAAGAAGTAAGGTTTTCGCAAAATATTGAACATACTTTGAAATCTCCGGCTTTCTTGAGTTTGAACATTTCTTTCAGTCTCAAAGAAAACACGCTTTTTCCTGTCAGAATTCGTGAATTTCAAACGAACGCGTGGGTGTTCACCACAAGCTAGTGAAAAATCCCAACGTCAGAAAAAAAAACAAAACAAAACAAAACAAAACAAAACAAACCCAGAACAACTAACGCAATAAAATATTCACCAAAGCCTTTTTAGGGAATAAATTAAAGCTGACATAGACACGCGCACACAAAAAATACGTGACAAGATCTATACCAAGAGATGATTAACTGTTTATAATCTCTTGTCTATACAGAATATAACCAGTAATGTTTCCATTTACTGTCGGGCAAGCTTGAATCTTTTTTATAATTTTACAGATATGAACTTACATTTATTTTATTACATTCTATGTCTTTACGATTCCACGGTCAGATTGCATTCATTATTGCTTTTTGTGTTTGAAATGTGACGGTAAAAGTAGAAGCTTGCCGGGATAAAACTAATATCTTACAATACTAATATGAATCATATTCATAACAGAGAATATAAGGTCAGTGAAGTGAAGCGAGTCCCATGTTATAAACGTCTACCCGAAGGGACAAGATTGGCCCATCTTGCGTGCTTTTATCCCGCTTTCCTTTTGGGACAATGTCGAAAAAGGAGTCCCAATAGAAATTCGAAATGACCTTGTCAAATATAAAATGAGCACATTCCATCGCAGTTGGTTTTCCTTTCCAGCGCCCGAAAATCAACAAGTCATTCTTGAGCGCAATCTTTTCGCTAAACGATAGATCCTTTGTTGACCAAGCTTGTTCGGTCAGGATGGCTGGACATCAGCCTTGCTCCTTTTTGTTTCCTATTTCTTTTTGCGCTCTTAACCCTTTCACTCCCAAGATCTGATTAGTAATTCTCCTTACTATCTGCCATACAATTCTTATGATGTTAGTTCAGTGAATTTGGTATTGGATCAACTAATAATCCTATGATTGATATTCTTCTCTATTCTCATCACCTACCTGCTTGATATTGTATTGATATTGTAAGGAGAAATTCTGTCTTGGTCACTTGTGGGAGTGAAAGGGTTAAGAACTTCAACTTCGTCTCGATCCATAACAACACAAACACACACAAAGACTCAGCCAATCTCCGGCTATTTTGACCTCACACATCAGAAAATAACACATTTACTGGTCTAGTGATTCCGCTGATGATTAATGACTAAAAACAAAACAACCCCGACGGCGGTAAAAAAAATGACACTGACTGTAGTAATGACACCAGGAAACATTTCTTTGTAGCCTTAGTGTAATACTAGTCAGTTATTTGTTATTTACACATCTGTTGGTAATTCGAAAAAATAATGAGGGGGATAAGTTTATATAGAAACCGTGGTGATGTTTCGCTCTGACGGAGGGCTTGCCCTCAGAAAATCAGTTTAAGAAACTCTTTACAGTGGCCAATTTACATTCAGTTATCAACTCAGTTGATAAAACCAAATTATGGCTCGTAACGTAGATGGCTGCCTTCACACGAAAATTCTGACGTCACTTCCCCTGCAGGGAAGGTTTTAGGAAATTGTTATATTCTAATACCAAAATTGAGAAAGGGGGGGGGAAGGTGGGGGGGAGAACCGCTGTTCAAGATTACTTCGACTCTAAGACGATATTCTAGCATCTCTCTCATTAGACTGTAAAAAAAAAAAAAAAACTCTCCGAAATATTTATCATACCAGGTTTATGTCAGTTCATGCAAGATTCGTTATTGATAGTTTTAATGATAAATGGGTTGTGCGTGCTTGAAAAATCTGTGAAAATTTTCACTTAAATGTGGTGACAAGCATGGAGGAAGATCGAAGGGGAGTGAAACTTGCAACGTTTTCCAAAAGAAACCACAGTTGAAACTCTTTACAGCTGACCAGCCCCAACTTTTCACAGTGAATGGAATCTGCGACTCAAGAAAATGAATCGTATTTGTTTATTCGTTTTCTATTCAGCTCTCTAGGAAATAGGCCAAAAACCCCACTTCACTAAGATGCGAAAAAAAAAAACTTAAATTATTTGGCACCCTAAAGCAAAAATGCCAGAATGGAAGCAACAATAATGATCATAAGCGAATTAACACAATCCTTGTCGGCCGAGTTCTCCTTCTCGGTCGAGTTCTCCTTCTCGGTCGAGTTCTCCTTCTCCGTCGAGTTCTCCTTCTCGGTCGAGTTCCCCTTCTCGGTCGAGTTCTCCTTCCCGGAGTTGTCCGTCTCCACTTGAAGCATGAATCGAAACTCCCCCAGGCTTTTGATGGGATTATTGGCCTTAAAAGCACCCTCCATGGTGTTATTGATTCGGAAGATTGGCACAGGTGGCACTGTTGGTTGATTGCCAAAAAACGTAGGCTCGCTATCAGTGCCTGAATCATACGGTGGTAACATGGTGACGTCCCAGGTCTTTCGCCATTGGCCATTGTCACAGAGATCATGGCTGTCAATTCCTATGAACCAATCGGGGGATGGAGCGAGCATACTGATCAGAGACACCCTTGAAAAGTTGGAGGTAACATTGACTTGAATATTGGTCAGTTCATCCACTGCACCAAGCCCAGGTCCCGCGGGCAGAATGAGCTGCAAGGCTTTTCCCCCGGAGATTTGAGACTCTATTTCGCCTTTAAGAGTTCCAGTTTGACCTATGAAAAACGTCACAATATTTCAAATCTTTTTTGATCATCATCGAATATCTTCTTCATTCACTTTATGGTGTTGTGAGGCTCCTAAATATTGAACCAGCCAACAGGCGTTAATTCCAAGGGTATTTTTCTTCAGTTAAGGTGCCATTACTTTCCTGTGACATTTCACCACCAGTTTAAGAGAGAAAAATCAACTCTCCCTCACTCTCTCTTGCCATGATTCTCTCCTGACACAGGCATAATGGTCAAATCATGACAGAGAGATTACACTCGCAGATCACCAGAAAGCAAGAAGTTAAATTGATTTAGTGCTCCGGTGATTATAGAGATGCGCGCGCTCTGATTGGTCGAGAATTGTGCCATATCTCGCTATAATCATCTCGCGCGAGACGATTACAGCTGGGGTGCTAAATTTCAAAATGGCTGCTTTGCGTTTTGTCAATGGTACACAAAGAGTGATGAACGCTATGGAAGAATATACAACTCTAAAGAGCACAAAAGTGCTATTCAGTTTGGGGTAACACTTTTCAAAAGAAAGATATGAAGTTTTTGCTGATTTAATCGAGAAGATTGTTAAATTCTAATGGAAACTGGCTGCTTATCTCGATACGAGTAATCGTAACAATTTTAACGGAGTGGTTTCAAAAACAAAACGATTTTTGAAACAGAATTTGAAAGCAACTGAACAATTTTACTAAAACAATTATCTGCCTTAGACTCTGAGTATGTATATGTTATTTGCCGGCTAGGAGGTCCGTTTAGTGAAAAATAAACATATATATATATTTAACAAATAGATTCCAAGTTGTCGGCTGCGCCTCGTGTGCCACTGATGTTCTTACCACATTTTGACGTCCTCTGTGATCTATTACTGAACAGACGCACGGCAACTTGGAATCTATTTGTTTTATATAATAAAGAATTTAAAAAAGTTTTAATGATGACGTCATCTATACGTCTATCCTCCAATAGATCATAAGTGAGAACCAATCAAAACGCGTGCATAACTGGGCTTATTATATAAATATATATATATATTTTTTTTTTTTAAAGGGCTCGGCCTTGAAAATGCTGCCCGAGGCCGTAGGCCTCGGGCAGCATTTTCAAGACCTCGGTCACAGTTTTTCTCCATACGGACCTCCCAGCCGGAAAATAACATATATATATACTTTAAACTTAACGAAGTTCTTTCCGAAAGAACACGAAAGATTTAGGGCAGTAAAAACGGCAAGATATTCCATAAACTGAACAATTTTTGAGCGAGTAAATGGTAGTTAAAATAGAAGTGATGCAAATTAAAGAGAGATGCTTCACCGAAACATTGTCATTTGTGTAATGATAATGAAGAAATGTAAAATGGTTTCCGTGTTTACATAGCCTGATGTAAAAACGCGGGAGGTTGGGAGCACACGAGATAAGCGTAGGAAACAAGCTTTGAAACATTATTTTTACAAGTAGTTGTCACAATCTGACAATTAGAGAGCGCGTAAGAAAAGAGACAAGCGCATGTACACATCTGAAAAACAACGAAACTAGTTTGGCAAGGACTGTCACCACAATGTTTTCTTTAAACATTCAATGATCTTACGGAAAGTACTACTCACTCTCATCAACTATTAATTTATGTACGAAGATTTACCTCTGTTCATTAAGTTAACGGCGAGGAAAGTAATTGTAAGTAAATTCAAATTTTTTATTTTGAAGTTGTGAGAGTTTGATCGTTTGTTTGCTGCAATGGCGTGTGAAAACCTGGTCATTCCTCCACAAAAACTAAATTCGAATGATACACTCCAACGAGACACAAGGGGGTTTAATGCGGCCTTTTCTCATTGAATTCCTTCAGTTTCTGTTGTACAATTTATGGTACAAATGTCCAAATTGAACGGACTTGGAAAGACTCACCGAGAGCGTATATTTGCTGTAGAATTGAAATTAAAACTTTGCTCGCCCTTTCACTACGAACAAATTGTTTGAGAAAATTCAGATATTAAATGAATGAAAGTTCCATCGATTAGTTCAACTGTAACCAAATACCTCACGTTTTAACTTTTTAGGTACTTTTTGTGAACGATTAAAATTAATTGCAAACGGTTTTAAGGCCGCTTGTCAACCAAAGTAATGACACTGTTGCTTGTACAAATTAATTCTGAAACCAATATTTTTCTGTCAACCAAAGTGATTTGAGAGAGAGAAAAAAAGAGGATTGATAAGTTATTTATCGGCTTGAGGTAGTGACCGACGTCCTTGCTTAAAAATACTGCCCAGCCGGAAAAACGAGATATATTTATGAAAAATGGCAACGAAAGTAGGGATGTACTCGGCGACTCACGAAAGCGTTACTTTTGCCCTTGGGCAGAGATAAAATATAAATATTCTGTAACGCCCTTGACGTCATGATTTGTGAAATTCCTTTCCCCATTATATTAGACGATCGAGATCTTTGACAAAGTAATTATTTCTGTGAATGCCTTTACAGATGAGAAGCTTACGACTGACCAAAGCTAAAATGTAGAGAAAAAAAATCCGCATCGTTCAAACGAACGAAGTAAGATCATACAAAATTTCGTTGAACGAACAACATTTGCATTCTCTGGTCGGCCGATCACGGAAGTCGAAGCGTTTTAAAATTTGGTCGCCGACAAGTTTTATTTTGTTGTTTAATTTGTGGAAAAAGGGATTTTTGTACAATGGCTAAAAAACAACCAATTTAAAAGTTCATTTTCTAACCTGTTTCAGCCACCAATTTAACGCCAGAAGAAGCTTTCTGTCCTCTTCGCCACATGATGTAGTCCGCACTGTGAGAGCAACCTATTAAAGGAGAAAAGTGTGCACTGCTTGGAAGGGCTGTATTTGGATGATTTGCTTGGGTCCAAGTAGCTTTCCACGATAATGTGTATGTGGCTGTCCCAGGACATTTAACTGCAGTTGACGAAACTACAACAACGCTAAGAACAGCCAAGAGAGTGCCTATGTGTTGTGCCATCTTCGCAAGAGTGACTTTCGCAGTCGACGCCGAGGACCGTTTATAACTTGCTTCAATTTAAAATTATCATCTTAGCCTGACTCCGGTTTTATTTTAAAAAGATGATTAAATTTGAAGAGCACCAGTGACTCAGCAAATCATAACTTAGAAATGCGTGACATTAAGTGGAAAAGATATCTGCTTTAGAAACATTTCCTTTGCTTTCATTTTCAAATTTGCCCACCATCAGTCTTTGTTTCACGAGCCAATCGTAATAATTCCGTCATGGGAACTGGCGTGTTTGTAATCATAACAACTCGCAGCCGGCTCACGAATGAATATTTTGTAATCTGACAAGAAGTTCCTTTGACGTATCTGACGAAAAGGTTTTTTTATTTCATTATTATTTTTGTTACTTGTTAATTTGACGTCAAAGATACTATTTGGGACATTAAAATCAGCCTCCGTCCGAAAGCTATGATTATAACGCTTTATGAATGGTAAATAGTCTCTCCAAGAAGTAAGGTTTTCGCAAAATATTGAACATACTTTGAAATCTCCGGCTTTCTTGAGTTTGAACATTTCTTTCAGTTTCAAAGAAAACACGCTTTTTCCTGTTAGAATTCGTGAATTTCAAACGAACGCGTGGGTGTTCACCACAAGCTAGTGAAAAATCCCAACGTCAGAAAAACAAAACAAAACAAACCCAGAACAACTAACGCAATAAAATATTCACCAAAGCCTTTTTAGGGAATAAATTAAAGCTGACATAGACACACGCACACAAAAATACGTGACAAGATCCATACCAAGAGATGATTAACTGTTTATAATCTCTTGTCTATACAGAATATAGCCAGTAATGTTTCCATTTACTGTCGGGCAAGTTTGAATCTTTTTTATAATTTTATAGATATGAACTTACATTTATTTTATTACATTCTATGTCTTTACGATTCCACGGTCATATTGCATTCATTATTGCTTTTTGTGTTTGAAATGTGACGGTAAAAGTAGAAGCTTGCCGGGATAAAACTAATATCTTACAATACCAACATGAATTATATTTCTAACAGAGAATATGTGGTCAGTGAAGTGAAGCGAATCCCGTGTTATAGACGTCTACCCGAAGGGACAAGATTGGCCCATCTTGCGTGCTTTTATCCCGCTTTCCTTTCGGGACAATGTCGAAAAAGGAGTTCCAATAGAAATTCGAAATGACTTTGTCAAATATAAAACGAGCACATTCCATCGCAGTTGGTTTTCCTTTCCAGCGCCCGAAAATCAACAAGTCATTCTTGAGCGCAATCTTTTCGCTAAACGATAGATCCTTTGTTGACCAAGCTTGTTCGGTCAGGATGGCTGGACATCAGCCTTGCTCCTTTTTGTTTCCTATTTCTTTTTGCGCTCTTAACCCTTTCACTCCCAAAATCTAATTAGTAATTCTCCTTACTATCTGCCATACAATTCTTATGATGTTAGTTCAGTGAATTTGGTATTGGATCAACTAATAATCCTATGATTGATATTCTTCTCTATTCTCATCACCTGCCTGCTTAATATTGTATTGATATTGTAAGGAGAAATTCTGTCTTGGTCACTTGTGGGAGTGAAAGGGTTAAGAAGAACCTCAACTTCGTCTCGATCCATAACAACACAAACACACACAAAGACTCAGCCAATCTCCGGCTATTTTGACCTCACACTTCAGAAAATAACACATTTACTGGTCTAGTGATTCTGCTGATAATTAATGACTAAAAACAAAACAACCCCGACGGCGGTAAAAACAAATGACACTGACTGTAGTAATGACACCAGGAAACATTTCTTTGTAGCCCGTGGTGATGTTTCGCTCTGACGAAGGGCTTGCGCTCGGAAAATCAGCTTAAGAAACTCTTTACAGTGGCCAATTTACATTCAGTTATCAACTCAGTTGATAAAACCAAATTATGGCTCGTAACGTAGATGGCTGCCTTCACACGAAAATTCTGACGTCACTTCCCCTGCAGGGAAGGTTTTAGGAAATTGTTATAGTCTAATACCAAAATTGAGAAAGGGGTGGGGAAGGTGGGGGGGAGAACCGCTGTTCAAGATTACTTCGACTCTAAGACGATATTCTAGCATCTCCCTCATTAGACTGTAAAAAAAAAAAAAAAACTCTCCGAAATATTTATCATACCAGGTTTATGTCAGTTCATGCAAGATTCGTTATTGATAGTTTTAATGATAAATATGATAAATGGGTTGTGCGTGCTTGAAAAATCTGTGAACATTTTCACTTAAATGTGGTGACAAGCATGGAGGAAGATCGAAGGGGAGTGAAACTTGTAACGTTTTCCAAAAGAAACCACAGTTGAAACTCTTCACAGCTGACCAGCCCCAACTTTTCACAGTGAATGGAATCTGCGACTCAAGAAAATGGATCGCATTTGTTTATTCGTTTTCTATTTAAATAGGCCAAAAACCCCACTCCACTAAGACGCGAAAAAAAAAAACTTAAATTATTTGGCACCCTAAAACAAAAATGCCAGAATGGAAGCAATAATAACGATCATAAGCGAATCAACACAATCCTTGCCGGCCGAGTTCTCCTTCCCGGCCGAGTTCTCCTTCCCGGCCGAGTTCTCCTTCCCGGCCGAGTTCTCCTTCCCGGCCGAGTTCTCCTTCCCGGCCGAGTTCTCCTTCCCGGCCGAGTTCTCCTTCCCGGCCGAGTTCTCCTTCCCGGCCGAGTTCTCCTTCCCGGTCGAGTTCTCCTTCTCGGTCGAGTTCTCCTTCCCGGTCGAGTTCTCCTTCTCGGTCGAGTTCTCCTTCTCGGTCGAGTTCTCCTTCTCCGTCGAGTTCTCCTTCTCGGTCGAGTTCTCCTTCTCGGTCGAGTTCTCCTTCCCGGAGTTGCCCGTCTCCACTTGAAGCATGAATCGAAACTCCCCCAGGCTTTTGATGGGATTATTGGCCTTAAAAACACCCTCCATGGTGTTATTGATTCGGAAGATTGGCACAGGTGGCACTGTTGGTTGATCGCCAATAAACGTAGGCTCGCTATCAGTGCCTGAATCATACGGTGGTAACATGATGACGTCCCAGGTCTTTCGCCATTGGCCATTGTCACAGAGATCATGGCTGTCAATTCCTACGAACCAATCGGGGGATGGAGCGAGCATACTGATCAGAGACACCCTTGAAAAGTTGGAGCTAACCTTGACTTGAATATTGTTCAGTTCACCCTCTGCACCAAGCCCAGGTCCCGCAGGCAGAATGAGCTGCAAGGCTTTTCCCCCAGAGATGTGAGATTCTATTTCGCCTTTAAGAGTTCTAGTTTGACCTATGAAAAACGTCACAATATTTCAAATCTTTTTTGATCATCATCGAATATCATCTTCATTCACTTTTTGGTGTTGTGAGGCTCCTAAATATTGAACCAGCCAACAGGCGTTAATTCCATGGGTATTTTCTTTCAGTTAAGGTGCCGCTACTTTCCTGTGACATTTCACCACCAGTTTAAGAGAGAAAAATCAACTTTCCCTCACTCTCTCTTGCCATTATTCTCTTCTGACACAAGCATAATGGTCAAGTCATGACAGAGAGGTTACACTCGCAGTTCTAATTAACACCACTAGAAAGCAAGAAGTTAAATTGATTGAGTGCTCCGGTGATTATAAGGATGCGTGCGCTCTGATTGGTTGAGAATTGCGCCATATCTCGCTATAATCATCTCGCGCGAGACGATTAAAGCAGGTGCGCTAAATTTCACTGAAAATGGCGACCTCGCGTTTTGTCAATGGTACACAAAGAGTGATGAACGCCATGGAAGAAAATACAACTCTAAAGAGCACAAAAGGTGCTATTCAGTTTGGGGCAACACTTTTCAAAAGTTAACGAAATTCTTTCCGAAAGAACTCGAATGATTTTAGGACAGTAAATACGGCAAGATATTCCATAAACTGAACAATTTTTGAGCGAGTAAATTGTAGTTAAAATAGAGGTGATGCAAATTAAAGAGAGATGCTTCACCGAAACATTGCCATTTGAGTAATAATAAAGGTGATTTACTTTAAAACATTATTTTTACAAGTATTTGTCACAATCTGACACCTGTCAATTAGAGAGCGTGTAAGAAAAAAAGAAAAGCGCATATACACTTTTGAAAAACAACGAAACTAGTTTGGCAAGGACTGTCACGACAATGTTTTCTTCAAAAACAGTCAATGTTCTTACGGAAAGTTTTATTCACTCTCATCGACTATTAATTCATGTACGAAGATTTATCTCTGTTCATAAAGTAAACGGCGAGGAAAGTAATTGTAAGTAAATTCAAATTTGTTATTTTGAAGTTGTGAGAGTTTGCTCGTTTGTTTGCTGCAATGGCGTGTGAAAATCTGGTCTTTCCTCCACAAAAACTAAATTCGAATGATACACTCCAACGAGACACAAGGGGGTTTAATACGGCCTTTTCTCATTGAATTCCTTCAGTTTCTGTTGTGTAATTTACGGTACAAATGTCCCAATTGAACGGACTTGGAAAGACTTGTATATATTTGTTGTAGAACTGAAATTAAAACTTCGCTCGCCCTTTCACTACGAACAAATTGTTTGAGAAAATTCAGATATTGAATGAATGAAAGTTCCATCGATTAGCTCAACTGTAACCAAATACCTCACGTTTTAACCTTTTTTGGTACTTTTTGTGAACGATCAAAATTAATTGCAGATAGTTTTTAGGCCGCTTGTCAACCAACGTAATGACACTATTGCTTATACAAATTCATTCAGAAACCAATATTTTTCTGTCAACCAAAGTGATTTGAGAGAGAGAAAAGATAGGATAAATAAGTTATTTTTTTCCGCAAAAAAAAAAAATATACACATATATATTTTTTTTTTGAGAGGGCACGGTAACGAATCTTGCAATCTGATTGGTTCTTTACCCGGTCAGTATTTTCCTATCTCTGCCCACGGGCCACGGCAACGCTTTCGTGAGTCGCCAAGTCCATCCCAACTTTCGTTGCCATTTTTCATAAATATATCTCGTTTTTCTGGCTGGGCAGTATTTTTAAGCAAACACGTCGGTCACTACCTCAAGCCGATGAAGAACTTATGAATCCTCTGCAATTAATTTTAATCGTTCACAAAAAGAACCTAGAGAGTTAAAACGTGAGGTATTCGGTTACAGTTAAACTGAATGATGGAACTTTCATTCATTTAATACCTGAATTTTCTCAAGCAATTTGTTCGCAGTGAAAGAGCGAGCGAAGTTTTAATTTAAGTTCTACAACAATAAACGCTCTCGGTGAGTCTTTCCAAGTCCGTTCAATTTGAACATTTGTACTGTAAATTGCACAACAGATACTGAAGGAATTTTTTGAGAAAAGGCCGCATTAAATCCCCTTGTGTTTCGTTGGAGTGTGCCATTCGAATTTACTTTTTGTCAAGGAAAGACCAGATTTACACACGCCATTGCAGCAAACAAACGAGCAAACTCTCACAACTTCAAAATAAAAAAATTGAACTTACTCACAATTACTTTCCTCGACGTTTATTTAATGAACAGAGGTAAATCTTCGTACAAGAATGAATCGTCGATGAGAGTGAATATTACTTTCCGTTAGATCATTGACTGTTTTTGAAGAAAACATTGTCGTAAGAGCCTTGCCAAACTAGTTCCGTTGTTTTTCAAATGTTCTTACGCGTTTTTTTACTTACGCGCTCTCTAATTGACAGGTGTCAGATCGTGACAGATACTTGTAAAAATAATGTTTCAAAGTTTGTTTGGAAGCCTTTTAAACTATCGTTACGGAAATGAAAGTGATTCGCTGAAGCATCTCTCTTGAATTTGCATCACCTCTATTTTAACTACCATTTACTCGCTCAAAAACTGTTCAGTTTATGGAAGATCTTGCCGTATTTACAGCCCTAAATCATTAGGGTTCTTTCGGAAAGAATTTATTCAAGTTTCAAAAAAATAAATATGTTATTTACCGGCTAAGGATCAGTCCGTTTGGTGAAAAACTGTGACCTCGGTCACAGTTTTTCACAATACGGACCTCCCAGCCGGCAAATCACATATATATATATTCTGTAATATTATATACAGAATATTATATTCTGTAACGCCCTTGACGTCATGATTTGTAAAATTCTTTTCCTCAATATTTGTAGACGATCGAGATCTTTGACAAAGTAATTATTTCTGTGAATGCCTTTACAGATGAGAAGCTTACAACTGACTAAAGCTAAAACGTAGAGTAAAAAAATCCGCATCGTTCAAACGAACGAAGTAAGATCATACAAAGTTTCGTTGAACGAACAACATTTCCATTCTCTGGTCGGCCGATCACGGAAGTCGAAGCGTTTTAAAATTTGGTCGCCAACGAGTTTTATTTTGTTATTTAACTTGTGGAAAAAGGGATTTTTGTACAATGGCTAAAAAATAACCAATTTAAAAGTTCATTTTCTAACCTATTTCAGCGACCAATTTAACGCCAGGAGAAGCTTTCTGTCCTCTCCGCCACATGATGTAGTCCGCACTATGAGAACAACCTATCAAAGGAGAAAAGTGTGCACCGCTTGGAAGGGCTGTATTCGGATGATTTGCTTGGGTCCAAGTAGCTTTCCACGATAATGTGTATGTGGCTGTCCCAGGACACTTAACTGCAGTTGACGAAACCACAGCAACGCTAAGAACAGCCAAGAGAGAGCTTATGTGCTGTGTCATCTTCGCAAGAGTGACTTTTGTACTTTCGACGCCGAGGACCGTTTATAAGAGAAAATACTTGACATAAAGTGGGAAAGATATTCGCTTTAGAAACATTTCCTTTGTTTATATTTTCAAATTTGCCCACCGTGAGTCTTTGTTTCACGAGCCAATCGTGATAATTCCGTAATGGGAGCTGGCGTGTTTGTAATCATAACACCTCGCAGCCGGCTCACGAATGAATTGTTTGTAATCATCTGACAAGAAGTTCCTTTGACGTATCTGAAGAAAACGTTATTTTATTTTATTTTATTTTTTTACTTCTTAACTTGACGTCAAAGATACAATTTGGGGCATTAAAATCAGCCTCCGTCCGAAAGCTATGATTATAATGCTTTATGAATGGTAAATAGTCTCTCCAAGAAGTATAAGGGTTTCTCAAGATATTGAACATACTTTGAACTCTCCGGCTTTCCTTGCGTTTGAACATTTCTTTCAGTCTCAAAGAAAACACGCTTTTTCCTGTCAGAATTCGTGAATTTCAAATGAACGCGTGGGCGTTCACCACAAACTGGTGAACAATCACAACGTCAGAAAAAAACAAACAAACAAAACAAAACAAACCCAGAACAACAAACGCAATAAAATATTCACCAGGGCCTTTTTAGGGAATAAATTAAAGCTGACATAGACACGCACGCACAAAAATACGTGACAAGATCTATACCAAGAGATGATTAACTGTTTATAATCTCTTGTCTATACAGAATATAACCAGTAATGTTTCCATTTACTGTCGGGCAAACTTGAACCCTTTTTATAATTTTATAGATATGAACTTACATTTATTTTATTACATTCAGTATCATGATATCTTCACGATTCCACGGTCAGATTGCATCATTATTGCTTTTTGTGTTTGAAATGTGACGGTAAAAGTAGAAGCTTGCCGGGATAAAACTAATATCTTACAATACTAATATGAATTATATTCAGAACAGAGAATATGTGGTCAGTGAAGTGAAGCGAATCCCGTGTTATAGACGTCTACCCGAAGGGACAAGATTGGCCCATCTTGCGTGCTTTTATCCCGCTTTCCTTTTGGGACAATGTCGAAAAAGGAGTTCCAATAGAAATTCAAAATGACTTTGTCAAATATAAAACGAGCACATTCCATCGCAGTTGGTTTTCCTTTCCAGCGCCCGAATATCAACAAGTCATTCTTGAGCACAATCTTTTCGCTAAACGATAGATCCTTTGTTGACCAAGCTTGTTCGGTCAGGATGGCTGGACATCAGCCTTGCTCCTTTTTGTTTCCTATTTCTTTTTGCACTCTTAACCCTTTCACTCCCAAGATCTAATTAGTAATTCTCCTTACTATCTGCCATACAATTCTTATGATGTTAGTTCAGTGAATTTGGTATTGGATCAACTAATAATCCTATGATTGATATTCTTTTCTATTCTCATCACCTGCCTGCTTGATATTGTATGATGGTGAAAGGGTTAACAACGTCAACTTCGTCTCGATCCATAACAACACAAACACACACAAAGACTCGGCCAATCTCCGGCTATTTTGACCTCACACTTCAGACAATAACGCATTTACTGGTCTAGTGATTCCGCTGATAATTAATGACTAAAAACAAAACAACCCCGACGGCGGTAAAAAAAATGACACTGACTGTAGTAATGACACCAGGAAATATTTCTTTGTAGCCTTAGTGTAATACTAGTCAGTTATTTGTTATTTACACATCTGTTGGTAATTCGAAAAAATAATGAGGGGGATAAGTTTATATAGAAACCGTGGTGATGTTTCGCTCTGACGAAGGGCTTGCGCTCGGAAAATCAGCTTAAGAAACTCTCTACAGTGGCCAATTTACATTCAGTTATCAACTCAGTTGATAAAACCAAATTTGGCTCGTAATGTAGATGGCTGCCTTCACACGAAAATTCCAACGTCACTTCCCCTGCGGGGAAGGTTTTAGGAAATTGTTATATTCTAATACCAAAATTGAGAAAGGGGTGGGGAAGGTGGGGGGGAGAACCGCTGTTCAAGATCACTTCGACTCTAAGATATTCTAGCATCTCCCTCATTAAACTGTAAAAAAAAAAAAAAAAAAAAACTCTCCGAAACATTTATCATACCAGGTTTATGTCAGTTCATGCAAGATTCGTTATTGATAGTCTTTATGATAAATGGGTTGTGCGTGCTTGAAAAATCTGTGAAAATTTTTACTTAAATGCGGTGACAAGCATGGAGGAAGATCGAAGGGGAGTGAAACTTGCAACGTTTTCCAAAAGAAACCACAGTTACTAAAGTAAAACTTTTCACAGCTGACCAGCCCCAACTTTTCACAGTGAATGGAATCTGCGACTCAAGAAAATGAATCGCATTTGTTTATTTGTTTTCTATTCAGCTCTCTAGGAAAAAGGCCAAAAACTCCACTCCACTAAGACGCGGAAAAAAAAAACTTAAATTATTTGGCGCCCTAAAACAAAAATGCCAGAATGGAAGCAACAATAACGATCATAAGCGAATTAACATAATCCTTGCCGGCCGAGTTCTCCATCCCGGAGTTATCCGTCTCCACTTGAAGCATGAATCGAAACTCCCCCAGGCTTTTGATGGGATCATTGGCCTTAAAAGCACCCTCCATGGTGTTATTGATTCGGAAGATTGGCACAGGTGGCACTGTTGCTTGATCGCCAATAAACGAAGGCTCGCTATCAGTGCCTGAATCATACGGTGGTAACATGGTGACGTCCCAGGTCTTTCGCCATTGGCCATTGTCACAGAGATCATGGCTGTCAATTCCTACGAACCAATCGGGGGATGGAGCGAGCATACTGATCAGAGACACCCTTGAAAAGTTGGAGGTAACCTTGACTGGAATACCGGTCCTTTCCTCTACTGCACCAAGGCCATACCCAGGCAGAATGAGCTGCCACACCTTTCCCGCAGACTTCTGAGCTTCTATTTCGGCATTGAGTGTTCCAGTTTGACCTTAAAACAAATAACAACATCAAAGATAAATGATTCGCTGAGATGTATTAATTCACATATGTCTAGCTATCAAAACAAAAAATCGTTTGTCTCAAGTTTCACACCATGGATGTATTTCTATGTTTACTACTTGTGAATATATACGACCTATTTAAAAAAAAATGCTCAAAACAATACAAAACAAAAACATACACGATTAATTTAACACACAAAAAAAATGCTCATAACATGCGAGTTGCGAAGCAATTATTTTAACGAGTCCGTAATAGCGAGGAAAAATAGAAGATATGTATGGTGGCCTAGGGCTGCCACTCAGAATTTTAGTTTTTCTGAGATTGAATAGTAAAAAAAAAGAAATCAAAACTGAAAGTAAAATGGAACGTGACTGCAAAAGAAAGGAAAAAGAAAGATTGAAAGTAAAATAAAGTAGAAATCAAATTTAAAGGCAAAATTCATTTCAAAATAAAACTGAAATCCATGGGTAATTCACGTCTATGAGTGACAGCCCTCGGCCACCATGTAAATCCTTAATTGCCCAAGCTTGTTTGGCAAGATGGCTGGATATTAGCCTCGTTCCTTCTTGCGTATTTATGGACCTCGACGCGAAAAAAAAAGAATTTGGTCAATATCCAACCATCTTGACCCACGCTTTGTCTATAACACGTAGACGAAACGGTCGATAACATTTTCATGTACGTCGGGATTTCTTTCACTTGGAAAGTGAATCTTATAATTGCTTCGGCTAAATGAACTTATTCAAAATACTTCTGTTTGCATTATAGGAGCTCAGAGTTTAGGGAAAACAAATGCGAACTTTCGAAATGTCGATCGTATGTCTTTTTTAACTTTTATGTTCGCCACCATTGTTAGGACAAGGAAAGGAAATTGTCTTGGTAATTCTTTCAAAAAACGTTTTGGATCAATATTCGAATAAGATGATCCGTAAAAACCTGAAAAACGACTGCAACAAAGTTCGTTTTCTTACCTCGTTCTGCCACTAATTTAACACCAGCAGAAGCATTCATTCCTCTCCGCCACATTATGTAATCAGATCCATGAGTACAACCGATTAGATTCGAGAAATGTGCACCGCTTGGAAGCGGTGTATTCGGATGATTATCAAGAGTCCACGAGGCCTTCCATGTCAAAGTATAGTTTGCGTTTCCGGGACATTTTGCAGCCATCGAAGAGGCCACCAACACGTTTACAAAGGCTGCGAATATGCTCACACGTTTAGCCATTTTGAAACGAGCTTCCTTTGCAAGTTCGAAGTGGCTTCGCACTTGAGAAGGAGAAAAGCAATAATGACCGCTACAAGCTGATGTCTTCTTATAGAGCTGGGTTCGGATGACTCGGCGAATTCGAAATTGCGTGTGTGCGTGACTGCGTCGTCATAACAAGTCCCTCAGGGGTAATGTTATTCAAATTTGTTCCTCTCTACAAATCAACTTTTATAATTTACACAAAGGGGTCTGACGTATTTAGTACTCAAAATATAATAACAACAACATTGTTGCTACAAAGGAAGTCAGTCTTAAATCAGTTAGCAAAAAAAGAAATCCTTTGGTAGTAGTTCTTTTGTTTCACGGAGTTTGTAACATTAAAATAGAATTGACCTTACAAACTCTCCCCTGAAGATTGCCTCTCTACAAAAGTGTTTGTTATTCATATTATTTTATATTTTATTCATAATGTCGTATTTGCTCTTGTTTCTTCAGCAGATAGATTTCTCGAGAGCCATGACTGATGGTGAAGTAATACTGATAATATCGCATATCGGAAATTCCTGCGCTTCTACTTTCGCCGTCAAAAAGTACAAAATTAGTCATGACAGAAAGGCGCTGCATCGGTTAAGTTGTAATATCAACTGAGTTGATGACGTAAATTGGCCACCGAAAAGACTTTAAAAGGTGACGTTTCGAGCGTTAGCCCTTCGTCGAAGCAAAGAAGCTGACAAGGGCCTAACGCTCGAAACATCAGCTTTTTAACTCTTAACGAAGCTGACGAGAGGCTAACGCTCGAAACTTCAGCTTTTTAACTCTTTACGGCGGCTAATTTACGTAATCAACTCAGTTAATAATACTAAATTACCCTGTTATACTCTCCTACCGACGCAGCACCACAGATTCTTCGGCGGTTTTTCTAAATACAACAACAGCAAGAAATGGGTTACCAACAGCACCTGATTTACATGTATGAAGGTATAATTACTTTATTTGCAATGGAATGTTTTAAGAATAACTGACGATACCTCTACTATGCTCAAGCTTCCTTTTCCGCCGGGCCAACACGGCTCTCTGGCTTAATTGCTGTTCCTATATCGAGAACCGCCTCTGGGAAAACGGATAATCATGCAAATATTTTTCTTTATTTTCAAGAAAAATGGAATGGATAAGAGGTACCACAGCCCTTTTTAGGATAGCAATGGGACTAAGGATGTACGTGTAATTAACTGAGCTCCATCGGTCGAGATGGTTATAGATAGGCCAAATAATTAAATTTTAATTAACCTAGACTAAGTAGATGTAAATAAGCAAGGAAACCATGTATAACATTAATCATATGGTATAGATCACAACTAAAAATTTCATTGAGCGGAACAAGGCGAGTGATCCCACTCGGGGTTGTCAATCAGACTCGCTTCCTCTAGGCTGCTCTCGGAGCCCACCACATTAATAAGTTTTACTGATAAAAGTGCGCTCAACTCGGGCAATCAAAGACGACTCTTCTCTTGCTCTTGCTTTCTGAGCAGACGTCGAAGTATTTTTCCACTGGCTGACTTTGGTATTTTTTCTACAAACTCCGCCCCACCCCGGAGTTTCTTCTCTGGCGGAACTTTACTGGCCACAAATTGCTTCAGTTCTTCCGACGTTACGTCTCCACGGCGAACCACGAACGCTTTCGGAAGCTCACCCGACACAAGAGGGGGTAGGTGGGGGTGGGGGGAAACAGCTGTTCAAGATTACATGGACTCTAAGATGAGATTCTAACATGTCCCTCTTAAACTGTAGATAGTTTTAATAATAAATGTGAAGTGCGTGCTTGGAAAATTTGAGAAAATTTTACTTTAATGCAGTGACAAGCATGGGGGAAGATTGAAGGGCAGTGAAACTTGCAACGTTCTCCAAGGGAACTATAGTTACTGAATCAGGTAAAACTTTTCACAGCTGACCGGCCCTAATTAATAAATAAAAAAAATAAATCGCATATGTTTATTCTTCTTCTATTCAGCTCTCAAGGAAAAAGGTCAAAAACTCCACTCCACTAAAACGCGGAAAAAAACTTAAATAATTTGGTACCCTAAAACAAAAATGCCAGAATGGAAGCAACAGTAACGGTCACAAGCAAATTAACACGGCCCTTGCTGGCCGAGTTCTTCATCTCCACCTGAAGCTTGAATCGAAACTCCCCCAGGCTTTTGATGGATTCATTGGCCTTAAAAACACCATCCATGGTGTAATTGATTCGGAAGATTGGCACAGGTTGCACTGTTTCTTGGTCTCGGCCAATAAACTGAGACCCGCTTTCAGCGCCTGAATCACACGGTAGTAACGTAATGACGTGCCAGGCCTCTCGCCATCGGCCATTTTCACAGAGATCATGGCAGTCAACTCCTCCGAACCAATCGGGGGATGGAGCGAGCATGCTGATTAGAGACACCTTAGAGTGAATGGCCGTAGCCTTGACTTGAATACCGGTCTTTTCATCTACTGCACCAAGCCCATACCCCGGCAGAATGAGCTGCCAGATCTTTCCAGCAGACTTCTGAGCCTCTACTTCGCTTTTGAATGTTCCAGTTTGACCCTAAAACTATTACTACTATTGAAGACTGACAGCTACAAAGCGGGTTTACTTGTGTATATGCTATATTCACATGAAATTTCTAAATTATCCCGAGTTTTGGTATGTGATTGCGTTTCTGACTTCTTTGTTCTTCTTCTACAACTCAGTGGGGCGATACAATTTTATCACTTTCCGAATCGTGTCTCTTGTCAAATCCCGTCGGAAAAACGACTAAAACGTCTTCTTCTAAGCAAGTGATTCTGCAGATGCATTCCATCTGCTTTTCCTTTAAGGATATGTGGTCAGTAAAAATTTGAAGAGGTGAAGTTAAAGCAGCTGAAAATTTGCTGTTCACTCCGACAGTCGCCAAAAACGGCTTCGTGTTTTGAAATTGCACCGGAAGTCAGAGACGCAATCTCATATCGACACTCGGGATAATTTAGAAATTTGTGTGAATATAGCATATGCACAAGTAAACCCGCTTTGTAGCTGTCAGTCTTCAATAGTAGTCCTAATAGTCGGTAGGCGAAAATTGACACTTCCACAAAGTGGTATGGCTTTTCAGTATTTAGTATTTTCTCTTATTTTCGCTTTACCATACGGAAGATCTTGACTGAGTCACGTAGATGAGCAATCAGTCATGCCTATTAATTTATTTAATTTATTTGATTCATTTTGAACTGATCCTTGATCCTTGATCCTTGATACCTGATCCGGTGATCCGGTGATCCTTGATCCAGTGATCCTTGATCCAGTGATCCTTGATCCAGTGATCCTTGATCCAGTGATTCTTGATCCAGTGATCCTTGATCCTTGATCCGGTGATCCTTGATCCTTTTTTTCCAGGAAACCCTTTCGTTCGCTACTATTGTTAGGACAAGGAAAGGAAATTGTCTTGGGTATGTCTTTCAAAAAAACATGTTTTGGATGAATATTCGGATAAAATGATCCTTAAAAAAACTAAGAAACGAATGCAACAAAGTTCGTTTTCTTACCTTGTTCTGCCACTAATTTAACACCAGCAGAAGCATTCATTCCTCCCCGCCACATTATGTAATCAGACCGATGAGTACAACCGATTAGATTCGAGAAATGAGCACCGCTTGGAAGAGGTGTATTCGGATGATTATCACGAGTCCACGAGGCCTTCCATGTCAAAGTATGAGTTGGGTTTCCAGGACATTTTTTTGCAGCCATCGAAGAGGCCACCAACACGTTTACAAAGGCTGCGAATATGCTCACACGTTTAGCCATTTTGAAACGATCTTCCTTTCCAAGTTCGAAGTGACTTCGTAAAAAGAAGAAAAGCATTAATGACTGTTACAAGCTGATGCCTTATTAAAGAGTTAGGTTCAGATGACTTGGCGAATTCGAAATTGATTGTGTGCGTGACATCAGCGTCGTAAACAAGTCCCTCAGGGGTAATGTTATTCGTAATTGTTCCTCTCCGCAAATCTTCTTTAAGAATTTATACAAAAGGGTCTGACGTACTTAATACTCAAAATAAAATAATAACATTGTTGCTGCTAAGGAAAGTAGTCGTTGAAGATTGAAAAGTGTTTGTTATTCATATTTCCCAACCGCCATTGATGTTGTATTTGCTTTTGTTTCTCCAGCAGATAGATTTCTTGAGAGCCATTACTGATGATGAAGTAATACCGAGAATGTTACATATCGGAGATTCCTGCGTTTCTACTTTCGCTGTCAAAAGTACAAAATTAGTCATGAGTGAAAGGTGCTGCATCGGTTAAATTGTATTATCAACGGAGAAGACAACGTAAATTGGCCACCTTAAAGAGTTTAAAAGGTGACGTTTCGAGCGTTAGCCCTTCGTCGCAGCAAAGAAGCTGATAAGGGGCTAACGCTTGAAACATCAGCTTTTTAACTGTGAACGAAGCTGACGAGGGGCTAACGCTCGAAACATCAGCTTTTTAACTGTTAACGAAGCTGACGAGGGGCTAACGCTCGAAACTTCAGCTTTTTAACTCTTTACGGTGGCTAATTTACGTTATCAGCCCAGTGGATAATGTGAAATTACCCTGTTATACTCTCCCACAGACGCAGCGTGACGTGTGATCGGACCCCTCCTTCGCCACCCTCCAATGCGGCTCTCTGGCCTAATTACCACTCCCATATTGAGAATCGCCTCTGGGAAAACGGATAATCATGCAAATATTTCTCTTTATTCGCAAGAAAAATAAAATGGCAATGAGACAAAGGATATACGTATGATACACCTTCATCACGCAGCGCCACCTTGGATTGCGTGGCGCACCAAATCGAGGCTGGACGGGCATTCTGTCGGTGTTGTGGCTTCTGTCGCGTAGTCGAAATCTCTTAAATATATTCGATATTTTGATTCACCTTTCGTCGAGAAATGGCTTGAGAAAGATGGAAAGGTCCCGAAGAAAGACAGAACTTGTGGTTACAGCCTTTTTTGCGAAGGCTATATCTTTGATACCGAAGGTAAGTTTTAGTCTTGACGAGTTGGTGATGCTTCGAGTCTAGGTGAAAGTGGAAATTGTACTCAAACAGTTCTTTCAAGTGCTGATGAAAATAGCAACTTTGATATCGGTGCTATATAAGTATTATTATATTATTATTATTATTATTATTATTATTATTATTATTAAAACAGTTGTGTGATTCACGCCATTCATACTATTTTAAGGATCTTATATTGTTCTTCTCAGAGCTCCATCGGTCGAGATGGTTATAGATTGGCCAAATAATTACATTTTTATTAACCTAGACGAAGTGGACGTAAATAAACCAGGAAATCATGTATAACATTAATCATACGGTATAGATCACAACTAAAAATTTCTTTAAGCGGAACAAGGCGAGTGATCCCACTCGGGGTTGTCAATCAGACTCGCTTCTTCCAGACTGCTCTCGGAGCCCACCACATCAATAAGTTTTACTGATAAAAGTGCGCTCAACTCGGGCAATCAAAGACGACTCTTCTGTTGCTCTTTCTTTCTGAGAAGACGTCGAAGTATTTTTCCACTGGCTGACTTTGGTATTTTTTCTACAAACTCCACCCCACCCCGGAGTTTCTTCTCTGGCGGAACTTTACGGGCCACAAACTGCTTCAGTTCTTCCGACGTTATGTCTCCACGGCGAACCACGAATGCTTTCGGAAGCTCACCCGACACAAGATCGGGAATGCCGATGACTGCCACATCGCTCACGTTTGGGTGGGAAAGTAATAATGCTTCAAGCTCCGCCGGAGGAACCTAAAAGACAAATTGCAAGGCTCACTGTTAGCAACATAAAACACAGCGGTCAAACGTCTGCGCTTCTGCAAATGTTGTAATGACTAGTCAGGCTGGCAGAACCAAGTTGTCTCACAATATCAAGAGTTCTAAACTACCACACGGAGCAGTAAGTCACAGGATATAACCTTTGGTAAAGCGACCCAAAAAAGAGGGGTAAATCGACAGGATACCCGTACTTTAAAAGGCTTTGTGTTCAATAAGTCTCTAGTTTTCCATTGCCCTAGTTTTTTTTCCTCTTGCAGATTTCTATGAGCGTTTAAATCCTATTTCGCTGACTCTGCGAGACAGTTTCGGTAGTTGTTTCTCATTTTTTCATTTGAAATTAGGCGCGGAAGACCAGAATAGATCCCCTCGCGCATGCCCAACGTTTGACCGCTGTGTTGCGATATGGTATCTTTATCGACAACACCGCTGACAAAGAAGTACAGAAGACCAAAAGGAAATACTGGCATCCGTGGGCGGAGATAGTTTACAAAGGCCAGTGAGAGAATATTCATTCAACTTCAGTTATCGATCATTAGCTATTAACTCAGATACGTTTAAGAATTCTGCACGGAAGAACAGTTGCACAAATTACCTGGAATCCTTTGTATTTAATGAGTTCCTTGAGTCTATCAACAATAAAGAAATAGTCATCTTCGTCGTAATGTCCAATGTCTCCTGTGTGAAGCCAGCCATCCGCGTCAATTGTCCTCGCGGTAGCCTCTGGGTTGTTCAAATAACCTAAAAGATTTTAAATACATCACCATCGGTCTCGATAAAAGCCGGTTGCCGGTGGTCTTAAGCCGCCTATAAGATCTCCGCCTGTCGACGTTTGTTTGGCAGGCGTGTGTAGCGTTTTCCTTTAAGAGACATTTCGTGTTGCTTATTTGTTGCTGGGCTAAGGTTCGCTACGAATTATGGTTAGTCGGTTTTTGTATCATGACGTGCTTACATCTGGATTAATAATAAAGTATTTGTTGTGTTATCTGCGGTTATCCGTCGTTTAACCCTTTGATCCCTAAGAGTGACGAACATCTAATTTCTCCTTAAAATATCTCCCCAAAGTCACAGGTTAAGCTCACGAGAATATAGGAAATGATCACTAAGAAGAATACCCTTACTAATGTTAGGGTGTAAAGGACTAATCGACCATCACCTCGAGCAGGATCTCGTATTTGGATTTTGCCTTACAGCCCCTTTTCCGGGCACATCTGCCTCTTAACACCATCGGCAGCCGCTCTTGGAAAAAGCTTTTTGAAACCTCTGCATCACTCATTTCTATTGGCAAAAGCGATAGCCGCTTTGTGCAAAAAAAAAAGGTTTTCTGTTTAACTTGTGGAGAGAAGCCTTGCACATAGTTCCATCCACAGACTTAAGCTGAGTCTGAGTCTATCTCAGTTTCTTGCGGGTGAAAAGATCTAAGTTATCATGGTCCATTTACCTTCAGAAATGCTAACATAACGAAAAAAGAAAAAAAAAGGTTTTGCACGCTTCTGCCAGTGCTTCTGGTTTTACTAGTGGGGTAGTTGTAGTTGCCGCACAGTCCTCTCCTCTAGCTGCTACAAATTTCCTTGTAAATTGGTTATGAGACTTTGGTGTTAGATCAAAAGAACAACTTCAACCTGATAAGTTTGAGAATGCTCATTACCAGTTTGCTGAATAATGTGTGGATATTACAGGGAGAAATTAAACGTTAATCACTTCTGGGAACTAAAGGGTTATTTACCCAGAAACTTCTGCAAGCATAAACATCTGGTTTTCAGATGCAGAGGGAACTGATAAGGTGTAAGCCAGGTATTCTCGGTTTTAATTTAACAAAAGGTGGTCGAGGTTTCTACCAAAATAATTTTCTCAATGGAAAAGTCTAGGTGTTAATAGCTTCGATACCTTTCATAACAATTGGTCCTTTGATACATATCTCTCCGTCCTGGTTTGGTCCTAGAATCTTGCCACTTCCAGGATCAATAATCTAAGGAATTAAAACCATACTAAATACTATGATCAAATAAAAAAGTGGATAGCGTTGAGGACGCTCTGTGATTGGCTACTCAAACTCCAAAACGCCTTTGCTACTCAGGTCTGAGAAACGTGCACGGGATTTGCGCCCGATGATATTGTAATCGTTGTAAGAATAGATGAGCTAAAATCAACTTTTGGTACCATATTATCTCACTGTTTTAGTATATACTAAGACAACTATTCACTTCAGTGTTGGTGACTAGCGGTGGATATTTACCTCGCCGCTTCGTGGCTCGATAAATATCCACCACTTACCACCCCGCTTCGGTAAATAGTTGTTAATTAGCCAAAAGTTATAAAAAATATCTAATCATGTTATTCAAGCTATTCTAGGCACACACCTTACATTCTAGATTTGGAAGCAGACGCCCTATGGAGCCAACCTTATGTTTTTCTCTGGACCCAAAGCCATGAGATGAACAAGTCAGTTCAGTCATTCCATAACCTACCAAAGAGAGCGATGAGAAAATGGGGCGAGGCAAATCTCACAATTACAATAATTTACAAGACACTGTTCTCCATATGATGAACAGTAATTATCTAGGGGTTTGTTGATTTGAATGCGGTAAATCGTTTGAAAACTGGAACCGAGGATTTAGGGAGACTCAGGTAGCCGAGGAAAGGCTACCTTATTACATTTAATTTCGCGATTTTGGCGTGACGGTATTTCGCGTGACTTTCAATAAGCAAATATGAAAAAGGGCATTAAATTTCGCAATTCAAGTGGTCTAAACTTCATGTCATTTTGCAAAATGTGTTACCTTTTGACGACTGCACGAATCTAGCGATTCAAATGATGAAGAGAATCGCTAGATTCTCTACTCCATATGCGAAATCTTTGTAAATTGACGTCATTTCACGACGGAAGATACAAGAGAGAACTTATCAGTAAGGCCACTAAAAAATTTGTGTATTTGTCCCTACGTATCCTGTGTGTGTTGTTGTTATTACGCGTCGATCACTTTTTTTCAGTTGTTATTTAGTGAGGAATACGACGGATTCTCGACTGACAAAACTCCGCAGAAAATGGGCTGAAAAGGAAGAACTTTTGAAGTTGAGCCTGCTAGCCGGACATCGGACAAACAACTACAACCCATAATTCCTTATGACACGATGTCGTGTCCTCCAGTGACACGACATGGTTTCATTCACTGCGTAAAGGCTTTAAGGTAACAATCGCGTTGATTTCCTCAGAGTTTTCTTCGCAAAGCGGAATGAAAAGGTAAATAATGCCTTCTAATCCTTCGTTTCTTTATTCGAAAGGAATTGACTTCGAAGAATGGATCAAATCACTTTTTTTCTTTGATTTGAATTTTCTATAAGGGATGCAATTTCGCGTGTTTAAATTGCGCGATAATTCTTTTTCGCGGGTCTATAATTACGCAATTTTTTTACAATCACGTAAAACGTGAAATACAGGTACTCTCGTCGCTTCAAAGCTCGATCAAAGTGAGGAAAATTAAAACAAAGAAGTGCTGACCTTGACGAACTAATGGCGCACTTGGTATCCTCTTGGCAGCATTCATTTCCAGGTCTCCACCTAGAGGCGCAGCCCCAGAAGATATGACCTTCAGACTTGATAAGTCATATTTGTCTACCATGGGATGTTTGGATAAAAATAGCACCAACGGAGGAACAAGAGGAGCAATTGCCACCTAAAAAAAAGAAAAATTCAAAATATACCATTTAACCCTTAAGAGTAACTAGCCTATAATTTCTCCTTATAATATCAAACATTAAGGTCACAAAAATATTGGAAATAATCGTCAACTAAAGAAATTCTTGATTGTTACACAAATTCTCCTTGTCAGCACTTTGGGAAAAGTAAAACTTTCGCAAGTGCCTTCATAAAGGGACGTTGACACGAGCGTTTAAAATTCAACCGCGGAAAGGAAACCAAAACTTCATTTGAATAAAGGGGGTAAGTTTCTAAAGAAACTGTGGTGCAGCGTCAGTGGTAGAGTATAACTGGGTAATATTGAGAGTTACTGACAAATATCGTATACAAGGACGAACCGTGGAACAGACATGGAGCGGCTTATAAGATCACTTGCTCCGACTGCCACGCCTCCTACATCGGGGTGACTGGCAGAAACCTCACAACAGGATTGACTGAACACAAGCGAGCGATAATGAAAGGTGATGTCAACAACCACTTTGCTAACCATCATCGCCTAACGAACCATACTATTGAGTGGTACTCTGCGCAATGCCTAACCTACAGCACCAACTACTGATCATTTTTTTATAAAAAAAAAATAAATAAAAAACTCAATAAGGATGAACTCAAGTGTTATTAAGTAGAGTGAGTCAGATACGAACCTTGTAGTCTTGAATGGTGCGAAGAAATATTTCTGGGTCAAATCTTGTAAGGATGACCACCTTGTCACCAGAATAGAGGGCCAGACCCATGGCAATAGTAAGGCCGTACGTGTGAAAAAAAGGCAGCACATTTAACCATGTTCTTATTACCGGCGAAGGACCATCTCTAGTCAGCAAACATAATTGCGCTACCTGGTTGTAATGTGTGATGACCACACCCTTAGAAATACCAGTCGTGCCGCTTGAAAAAGGCAAAGAAACTGGATCCTCCATTGGGTTGATTTTCACGTTGCTAGGGAAAGCTGTCCCATCGTCTAGTAGAAGAGACGCAATCGATTCACAACCTTGCGCCTTGCCAATAACTATAACAGAGCGGAGTTCTTTCAATACGCCGGCTCTGAAAGCCCTCTCTGCAAGAGAAGGCATGGTGATGAGGTATTTTGCCCTGGAGCTGGTCAGCTGACGAGCGAGGTCCTGGGGAGAGTACTGTGGATTGATGGTAGTGTTGACACCACCGAGCCGCGCCACGCCATGGAAAATGATTGGATATTCAATCACATTTGGAAGATAAATGGCCATCACATCGCCTTTCTGAAATCCTCTTCTGGCCAAAGCAGAACTAAATCGATGAGTCAAGTCTTTGATTTCATTGTACGAGAGCGATCTTCCGGACTCTCCGTCAACCTGAAAGAGGAGAAACAAAAACCTTATCAGAAGAAGGGAAAGAGTTTAGCGGGTTATTATCAAAGAAAAGAAAAGAAAAAAAAAGAGCTTTGACTCATGGTGGGTGACGTTGCCACACCCTTGTCCCCAGCGCTTCTCTGTTACCTAAAAACGAGACAAACTATGACCTGCACCCTAGTCTTCATGGGTTGTCCAAATTTGAGTAGAGAGAGGAGAGGAGGGTGAGCGGAGGCGGGGGGGGGGGGGGAGGATAACCCTTTTGCTGCCTAGAACTCATACCTCAGTCTGTCTAAAAGTCTCTAAAACTTTCAAAAATAGTGGATTCGATAGGAATTGGACCTACTTAAGGAAAATTATCATTTGAGGGAAACAACAGAATACTTCCTTAGCTAGCAACAAAGAAAATCTTTGACCGTGAGGTCATCCCCCCTTTTTTCCGTTTAGCGTCAAATGCGTTTGGTGATATTGAGTCGGTCAGTTGGATTGAATAAAAAAAAAATTTAAAAAAAACCCAAAAAAAGAATTACAAGGCTCTAAATAGGAGGCCTGGTACCCCAGCATCATTGCTGTGGAGCCTGGAAACAACAAAACAAGACATGCACCCAAAATCAATATGGCAGAAACGTTAGTTGATGTTACTGTTGAAAAATTAAGACTACGTAGGAAAAAGGATCCTTTCAAGATAACGAATGATTCCAGACTGAGCTGGGATCTATGTAAATGTACCGTATAGTAAAATCGACAAATATTTGTGGCGAAATCCTAATCATCCTCTTCCCATGGTCAGTGAGGATGTTATGTCGCAATACTTGACCACAAGCGCGCTGTACTCTGCAACGTACTTGTTCACCGGATTTTTACTGACTTGCGAGCGAAAATCTACTTTTGGAATGTGAAATCACGAAAATCGAAAACTAAGAAATGTAATTATTCATCAAAGGAAGAATCTTACAATTGCTGTCCTGTCTCCATAATTGTCAAACTTCGAGAGAACGAAGTCCGGCCATGATACATTATCAGGAATCTGCAGGTCTGGATACTTGCTTCTCAATATCGGCATCCTTGTTCTGATCCTCTTGTCTAACCTATAGGCTATGAATAGTTTCCTATGAAGAATGAGAAAAAAGACTCGTTAACAGTGATACGACCTCGACTGCCAGCTCGTGATCACGAGGAATCAACACAAGTTATGTCCTAAGGTGTCGTCTTGTCTGTCACGCAAGACGCAAATGTAACGCACGCTTAATTGTTCTTTCGAATGCACAAAGGTGAGCAAATTAAAACAATTTATAAGAAGGAACGATGATCCTCAAAACAGGAAAGGGAATACTGAAAATTTAAAAGCTATACAGCCACTAGTATTGGAAAAAATAGCATTGAAATTGTATGACCGGCGATATAGCAAAGATCTGAGCCGTAAAAAGTTCAGATATATCATTCCATTTCCTCGGATTTTCTCGGCCGAAATAGCTCGTTTCCTGGTGAAACTATTTATAATTACAAAAGAAAGGCAGCATATTCTGGACCGTGAGAAATACAACAGAATGATGGGACGGAGAACGGTAGAGCGGTGGAAGGGTGAAACGGTGGAAAGGTAGAACGGTGAAACGGCAAAGGTAAAATGATGGAACGGTGGAACGGTGGAACGGTGGAATTCCACCGTTCTACCATTCTACCTAGTAGTTCAGTTCTGTCATCATTATCAGGGGTGCATATAGACGTAAGTAGCCTGTCTTTAGGTACGGCGTGCAATCCGCTCAGGAATTTAACCCCACGGTGGAATGTAGAACTGTAGAACGGTGGATCGGTGGATCAGCGGAACGACTTCTTAAGGAATATCTTAAGACGCAGAATGACGGAATATCCCAAACCGCGGAATGTCTATTTGTACAAAACAAAATTCCCAAAAATGGGATTGCAATAAAGTAAGAAAATTATTTTTAATGTACATGCAGGCGAAATTAAAGGAAGCATAGGCAGGAGCCCTGGCATAGGTAATTGTTGTTGGAGCTCAGAGGATTGGGGAGCCATGAGGCTTTCGAACTAGCCCCTTTTAATTGTGCTATACCGGTAGCCACATGCAGGCTTTGACTGTCAATTATTTTTATTTCGTCGAAAAGGAGGGATTGCTTGTAGTCTGGAACCTTTCCCAGCCAGTCGCTAGAGCAACAGTGAAGGGCGACGACAATATATGATTTGTTTTTCTTGGACACGCGCCACGGACTAAAACGGGAAAGGGGACTTCAGAGTCTGATATTGGACACATGACCGCTAATAATTGTGCAAGGTCAAAGAACAATTTCAGAGACAATAACTTTGTTGCCATTAGGTCATTGAAGTGTCATGTGTACCCTCTATGAGAAAAAACTTGAAAATTTTCTTCGTTCTTAGAGTGTTTTATTTGCTTTGTTTCTTTCCGTCTACTGAGCATGTTTTTGTCTACTCGACCAAAGTTAACAGTAAAACTACAACTTAATCAGTCTTTTATCCCAAAGCAAGAGAATACAAATTAAGAGAACCTATCCCCATGACCCATAATAATTTTTAAAGTCTATTTAAAATGTCGCGCCTCGCTGGGAAGTTACTCTTATTGCCAGCTTCCCTAATAATGAGGTCAACGATCTCGATATCATCTGTCGCTACGGTTTCTGGTCTTAAAGTTTTAAATTAATTTCAAACTAAAAGTTTTAAAAACTGAATCCTCTCAAATTTATAAATGTTTGGCTGACCATTTGAATACTTTCCTTTGTTGATTCACAGGCATACAGATGTTTGAATCTACAAAATAATCGCACTAACTGTAGTTTTGGCTAGCTTAGCGTCTACTAGTGTATTTTATTTTTTTCAATTTCTCGCAACATAGAAGATAATCAATGTCACTTTGTTAAAATTCAAGCAAGATCAGACGACTAATTTGTCGAAGGTGGTTCATTTGTGCCCCACCTGTAAGGCATAACTTTCTTGCGAAGGAAAAGTACGCTCCAGTATGGAGAGATTACAAACTGCCAGTATGTATGTCATTGGGTCTCTACCATAAAAAACAATTCGACTGCAGACACCACTATTTTAAGAAACTACCCATTCCCGGCTCCCTTTCTCAAATATCGATAAGACAGGAACCCCTTTTTTCTAGGAATGCCGCAAGCTTCCGCGCGGTTTGAAAAGAAGGCTAGGTTACTATTTCTACGGCAGAGAAGGGTGATATGGAAGATAAATGTTGAAGAGCGGCAAGGAAAATGGCGAAGAGTCTGTTTAATAAGGCTGTAGAAGACGCAGCATTAAGTATTTCTTTGCGTCAAGATGGATCCAGGAGTTTTAAAGGTACCCGACTGCATAGATTTTATAGATACAAGTCTAATTTTGAAAACCAACTATGGCTATTGGTAGTCAATCGATGGTAAAGTCGATTTTCAACAGCTGAAGAACCATTTTGATTTGCATCTACTTTGTGATAATCTGAGTTTTACTTGAACAGCAATAACCCTTAAGACCTCGCCATGTTCTCTTATGTAAACAGCAAAATAAACAGGTCAGCAGAGCACATCGAATTCAAGTTACCGGAAGGAAAAGCCCTTAATTCCTTTTTTGAATACACTACATCTAAGTTATAGTTTAACTGGTTACTTGCTTTGATGCTGCTGAACTCAAGCATTAACTTGTGGGAAGATTATGTGCGACAAAGCGAACATTTCAAATGTGCAGATTCCGCGAATTAAATGTATTTGTTAAAAAAACGGTGACACTGTGGGAACAGAGTGGTTTGAGTGTCTCCATCTCCCCAAAAATTAAAACCTTGGATTTATAGCATGGTAATGTTTCCATTTGCAAATGTTAGATACAAATCTGAATTAACCTTTTGAATATAAGATGTAAAGTATGTGTTTGTAAACAAATTTATGAAATTGTTAGATGTGAATCAGATTACGAGTACTTTAACTAGGAAATGATAAAGAACTCAGAAGGTATTGGGTATCGGATTATTCTTAGCAGGATTCTTAGGCTAATGATTGATAGCATGAGTTATTCAGTATGTAAATGTAGTATGTTATAAGTTTTAGTTGCACATTGCATTTCACCATTCCTGTTGCCTTATGTTGTCCCTAAGAGAGATGACACTAGATCTGCTGTGCCTGAGACTGACTTCTTATTTGTTACATAGCTTTATAAGCATTTCAGGATGAGAATCTGATCTTCTCGTGTTATTTTAAAAAAACTTAACTTTGATGAACATTTTAGGGACATCTCAAAATGACATTGACCATGATTTTAATTTTTTTTTCGTTGATAAACACAACATGATTGCTGCTTTTCAATGGTTATGTAACTTTTTTCTAAAGAAAAAAGAGGAAAGAAAAAATATATTAAAAAAAGAAAAATAAAGACCTACAGTGTGTGGTCACTCTTTTTTTTTAAGAATTTGATAAGCCAGACAGGGGGCGTTCTTTTCGAGGACAACCAAGAGGCAGAAGCAGGGGCAGAGGGAGAGGAAGAGGTCGTAGTAGTAGCCACCATAGAAGCGATCCTCATCCTAGGTCGCACTTAGCTGGTGATGATGATGATGACATAGACATGGATGAAGGAAGCCAAAGATCTCATTCAAGATAGTAAGTCAGAATAGTATTTTATTTCCTCCTTTTAAACCAGTTTAATATCAAAATAAACTTCTATTTAGGGTAAAGTCTACTTTTATATATTAATACAAGGATGACAGTTACCATATTTGCTTGATTAAATGGGAGCTGACAGATATTAAACGTTAAGGATTTCTGGTGCAGCAAGTGGCCCTGCCAAGGGTCTAAAGCCATAAAGTCACCTTTTCAAAATTTACTATAGAGTTGACTCCAGATATTGTGGACACTCTTTGAGAGGAGATTTAGTGTCTATAATAGTGAGAGTCCATAATAGCAGGGTAGGAGAGAAAAAAAATTGTTTTGCTTTTAAACATATGAAGTAATATGTAACTACTCAAACATTAAGTTTCTATTGTGGCCATAAGCAGGAAATTCTCATGTGTGCCTTAAATTGAAGAATGGTTTCTTTGTTTTCTTTTATCTTAGTGTTGCTTTATATCATGTGAGTCAGGATTTAGGACAAAGTATTTAAGTGCCCGCTATAGCGAGAGAAAAAAACAAGTGAAATATCACACTAGGGGGCATGAAAGTGTTCATATTTCCACAATAGTGAGTGTCTGTAATAATGGGAGTTTATGCGTTAAGCCAGTGGAGCTGGCTCTTGTCCACAATGGTGGGGTGTCTGTAAAAGCAAGGTGTGGGCAGGGAAAGAGTTGAGTGTATACTGTATTTTCTCCATTTTCATAAATTTACATTGCATCACTTTTATTGATATGAATGTTTTTTTTTTTTTAATGTAGCAACCCTTATTCCAGAAGACCTCCATCTCGTCGTGGTGACAGAGGAAGTAGTAGAGGTGATATAAAGTCTAGACTAGGGAGAGTCCCTGATGGAGCCACAGGAAGTCAAGGAAATAAGTCTGATTGGTATAAAGTTGTGGTAGGTATTGAAATAATCTGTGTACATTTACAACTACTTATATTTATTTTGTTCCTTCCATAATTTGGTTTTGGAGATCTTACTTGAAAATTGGCCTCCATATATTCCATTGGTATAACCTTGATTTATAATGGTAATAGAACTGAGTGGACTCCAATTCATGATGGTAATAGGACTAAGTGGAGTCCAAGTTCAGTCTGTAATCATACAAGTGATTAACAAAATGGATGACTGGGAAGTGGGAGTCCAATTTGTTAATCACGAGTATGATTACAGATAGAATTGGACAACACAAAGTCCTGTTACCAATTAATCAAAACTATGACAGAATTTGATAAAGAAACTAGACATTGGTTATATGTTTTCATAAAAAAAAAATCAGTTAACTTGGTGAAATGCGAGACAACAGTGCATACACATGTTGTGTTGTGTCAACTTACACAGGCATGATGTGTTAACTGTTCCTTTAGCTGTCCTATTACACTATCCAATTACAAGTGTGACACGTACACTGTCCTATTAGTGCTCAAATCAGGCTGGTGATAACCAATCATGTTCGAGAATTTGTTATAGTTTTGATTGTGTTTGTAATCATACAAGTAATCAATCAAGAGTATGATTATAGACAGAATTGGACAACTTTTGCGTTGAAATTTCTGTCAAGGTGTATAATTTTTTTATTGCTATATTTCTTCCTTTATATAATTTTTCTTTTGTATTCTATTCAATGTAACTTGCCTATAGATACCACAGGGGAAAAAACACGACAAAGAATGGCTTATTAAGAGACTGCAGAACACATGTGAAGAGGCCTTCCAACCAGTTAGTGTAAGTGACTGTCAGTGAATACTTCCTCATTGCCAAGTGAATAGTGCTTTGCTAGCTGTATGATTGATGATCCCAAAGGGCATGAGACATAGTACTATTTAACTCTAAGGAGCCAAAGGGACACAAAATTACTTCCTGTTTCATTTCAGCTTTGGTAGGCAGTGTTCTCCTTTTCAGGCAGTAACCAGTTACATTTACCACCTGTAGTACCTCTTATTACTGTTTAAAATTGCTTGGAATTCTTGAAAATTCAACAGGTAAAAGGATTGATTTACAGGTTTGAAAATTTATTTTACCTATCATGCTTAAAATAAGGGAGAACACTAGGTAGGGCAAAATGTTTCTCAAACAACCAAACTTTTCAAAAGATACATGCAGGTGTATGTGTAGGATTTTTCAGGTAAAAAATGGCAGGTGAATAATAATATTTTCCTCTGGTTGTAATTTTATTATGACTCAGGCAGCTGTACTCTGATTGCATTTCTTCACTTTTGCTGGTGAGACCTGCCAGTAATTGAGATTGTTTTCAATAGCTTTGGAAAAACATTGTTTTTATAGTTCCATTCATTCAAGGGAGAGTCTTCAGCCTTCTTTGTTGAGGGAAGTAAAGTTGCAGAAGCATTGAAAAGAGTTAGTCATAAGATAACTGTCAAGGATGGGACAAAGGTAATTAAAGCTACTGTGTGTTATGTACAGTACTGCTCAAGAGTAAGTTGACGATCTTGACTCAAAACTCAATCTTTGATCCTCAGCATGATCAAGGATTGAGAAGCGAGGATTACAATTCTTGCATGCAAAATGATAGAGAAGAACAAAGCATTTGATGTGCAGCTTCTCTTTAGTCACACAGACCTCTTGCACATATGTAAATATTTTCATAAAACATGAGACTCAAAAATTGGGTCTTCACTTCTATAACTCATACTTACCCCTTTCACTTCAGGAAGTTGTCAAAAAGTAACTTCTTTCATATGTAACAGTACTGATACATTTTTATGCAGAAAGATAACAAAAAGAAAGAAAACTGTCACACAGGGAATATTGGTTCATTTAACACCAAAATAATTCTTGGAGCTAAAATTACCTAAAGAAATTCAGAGAATCGATACAGTTTGTAGACCTTTAACCCTTTACACCCTAACGTCAGTATGCATATTCTCCATACTGTTCTCTACACATTTCCTAAGTTGCTGACAAGGAGAACTTGTTCAACAATCAATAGCTTCTTTAGTTGGTGATCATTTCCTTTATTTTGGTGACCTCAATGTGTGACTCAGGGGTGATATTGTAGGGAGAAAGCAGATGTGAGTCATACTTAGGGGTTAAAGGGTTAAAGTGAAAAGGTTAACATCAAAGCATCTGTTAACAGGCATCTCTTTAAACACTGATCATTAATGAACTTAGGGTGTAAGTTTCTTAAGAAACTGGTGCTGCTTCAGTGGGAGAGTATAACCTTTTGCCCTGACAAAGGGCTAACACTGGAAACATCAGCCTTTAAACTCTTTACAGTGGCCAATTTATATTTTCAACTCAGTTGATAGCACTAAATTACCCCATTAAAGAACTAGTTATGTCTGGTCACTGATGTGGTGTTTTTTAGCAATATTTCCCTCCTTGAGTTGGTAGAATATTCTGCAACCAGTGTATACATGTACATATATTTACTAGCAGTCAGTTTCATATTATCAAGTGTCTGACTGTACGTTGTCCATAATGACATTCCTTAATCATAAAAATTACAATTTCCTCATTTGTGATGGGTTTAAAAAACTCCTCTTTTCCACTAATTTACTTGCTAAGTTGTTATTAGTTCAATAAGCCAATCACATTCAAAGTTGTAGTTTAAATCAACCAATCACAACCACTAAACAATTTATGTCACCTTTGTTAGTCTTTTAATGCAAATTTTCCCTTTCTTTCATGACCTGGCTATTCTTCTTTTTGCAGAAATTATAATTTTTATATTTAATTGGTAATCATGATAAACAGATCAGACCTCCACTGCGTGGGTGTCCGATTTTGTTATCACTTGTATAATTACAGACTGAATTGGACTCCACTAAGTTATATTACCATTACCGTCAGACCACTGTTAACCAGCTAAAAGCATCATATGAGAACCATCCACCAAATGATACCTCTACGTTCAAACCATTTTCTGTTGTCTGTTTATCACATGTAGCTGATAGTAAGTGTGCGTCCTAGTGCTCCACCCCAAAACCAAACCAGTAATTTTCCTGTTCGTGAAGTTCATGATGGCAGCAGCAGAGGAAGTGATTCATTAGAGGATGGCACAAAACAAGTATTGAAGGTGAGTAATTTATGCATAATTATAGTTTGTATTCATCCTCATCATCACCATCATCATTAAATTGTCGGCATTATGTTCATTATTGCGTTCTCTGTCATTGTTTAAATTGACAATTCTTTCATGAGCAACACTTCAAATTGAACTCCTTTCTTGTCTATCATGTTTGGAAGTAATACACAGTGATTGTACATATAGGTGTTGCACAATGGAATTCCCAATGGCTTTATTGGCATAGTTGTCAGTTGACCAAAATAGGTTGCAAGCTTTCAAAGCTTTCCTGTAAGAGACGAATAATCCTGATGAAAAATTTGCCCACAAAAATGAGAAAAGTAAACTATGGAAATATAAGATAGTTTAATTAGAAACACTACCTATAAATCCCTTGGGTATCATTGTTCATGGTTCATAAATTTTATGGGTCAACATTATTTGCACTTGAAGGTTTGATAATCTGGTGACCAAGAACACACAGTTGATACACTGTCAGGTGCTGCAATGTTATTTAAAGTGGGACAATGGAATTAATCTTAAGAGACTGATTAGCAACCTTAGTCAGTAACAAATTCATTCCTAAGTTCAATTATTAAGTCTCTAATAGCTGAATTGTCTTCTCTTTCACTGTTTCATACAATGTAGGATTGTCTCAGTAAACGTTATGATATTACAACAAAAGCACTTGACCTCTCTGATTTGTTTCATGATGAAGGTATGTTACACTTGTACTTCTGTGACTGTATGCCAGTTATGTCTTATCTAAAGAGTTGCATGGAAAAATACTGTAAATGACATCTGACTTTTTCTGATTCTCCTTCCAAACATCTTGTAATTCTTTGTAAAACACTAGGAGAATGAAATGTTGCATCAAAAGTTAGGGTTTTTTTTTAAATACAGCTAAAGTCCTAGCCTCACCTTATTTGTTCTAAGTTGTTACTTGTAGCTACATGTGTTTTGAAATGCCCTGTTATTTCCCCTGCCATAGTGAAAAATAAATGCATTAGAGGAAGTTCAGTTGTACTGAGTGTGCAGAAAGTTTAGGTTTAATGCATATTATTTGCAGTTTTTAATTTGAATTACACAAGCACTGATGGATTTGATGCAAACCTAAAACAGAAATTTCATGATTGTACATGGACAAGATTGTGGAGTGAATTTTTTCCATTTTAAAAAGTTTCTTCATGCTTATCTATTCCAAATTTCTTACAAAATCATTTGGTCACCTGCACTGTATAGCTATTGTGTTTTAATGCATAGCATTAGGATAACTTTGCACACACAAATCTTTATTATCTTGTTTACCCACTATGTCGTTCAGCATTTTTTCAAACCTTCTTTAGCTTTTGTAGTGCTTGGCAAAAAATGCTTTATTCATGGTTAGTAATGTATGATAGCTGCCTTCTTCAATTTTTGTAAATTCTCCTACAAAGGATGTGTAAGAAATGTAAAACAGCAGTCTCATATAATTATGTATAATCATGGCAGTTATGTTTATTTTACTTCTAACAGTGCTGAAATTAAATAATATACAAGGAATACTGGCAAGATATTGGCTGGCATCAGGAATTGTGAAAATTATTGGAGAGAACTGCCCTGAGGTGATTATTCAAAATTTATCAGTTTATTAGATACACAATGAACTAGATTGAAGGGCAGGTTCTGGAAAGTTGAGGAGAGTGAAAAATCCTCTAGGTGAGATAAGCAAAACTAGGGTTCTACGCTAGTATGGCATGTGAAATGTCTGTCTTGTGAAACTGCTCGCTTAGAAAGCAAATTGGTTCTTTGGGGTCAGTTGAGCCCTGGTTTAGAGACAGAAGAAATAGGGTATGATTCAATTTCCGTTGTATTCATTTGTGGTTATTTATGTTAAGTGAGCAATCCCCAATCATCATAGATGTATGTCAACAGAAGAGTTTGGAGATTGTGCATTTAATCAGCAAAGTAATGAAGTAAATAAAGTTACATCACCATCACCATTTGTTTACCTCTGTAAATATTTCCCATGTCATTCGTTCAATGTAGGTTCAGTCACTTGACCTAAGTAACAATCGACTGAAGAGCTTGGATGGCTTTAAGGACCTTGGGAAGGAAACATCAAACTTAAAGCACATCAAGATCTCCAATAATCAAGTCAGTTGCATTATTCTTAAGGGGTTTGTAACCATCACCTCTTCAATTATTATGTTTGTGTGATCTTGAATACATGTAGATAATGTGCTTTCTCTTTTTATCCCTGGTTCAGCAAAAGAACTATGCGGAAAGTCACAGAAACTCTGGCTTAATTTATTCTTTGTTTGAAAATTTTTCAAACAAATTTTATTTTTAATATCCTTTTCCTTTTTTCATGTTTATTGTAATTTGAAACAAGGAATTCTGAATCTAACTGGCTTGAGAAATTTAAAACCAAGAAAAATGTATAAGTTACATCAAAAAAAAAATTATCCAAAAATACCTTGTTTCTGTGATTGTGCAAAAGCCATTTGCAGAAAATATCTTAACAACCTTCTCTCATTTTTCTGTGTGTTAATGGTTTAGAAGCTGTTTAAATATCAATTAAAGAGTTAGAACACATTTATACCATAATTTAGAACCAAATCTTATCCCCTTGTGCAAGCTTTTTGAATTCAGTTGACAAATTTAACCTTAATTTGTCCAATTGCACTCAGAGGTGGAAAGTGCTACATGTTACATTGTATAACTAGTATTTATTTACAGTTTTTAAATTATTTTAGCTGAGAGCTGTAGAAGAACTGGACAAGATAAAGTCCTTGAGTCAGCTTCAAACCATTTCACTTGATGGAAATCCTCTTTGTGATATATTTCAAGACAAACAAAATTCATATATCAGGTATGTCTTGCTAGTCTATCAGCTTCAACTAGAATGTTATTTTTGTTAACCATTTTTTGATTTTCTGTTGCCAAATGGCCACTTTGACAAACCTTGTGTTTGGAGCAATGCATAGTAAATTTCCTACCTCTTGAAAATTTACTTGTGTTAAGTGTTCAATTCACATGGAACTGGGCTTACTGTATGAAATTTGAGATCACTGTAATTTTTAACTCAACAAAGTTTTATTCAATAAGTGTAAAGTCCATCCTTCCGCTAACACTCTACATGTAGCTCTAGGGTCAGCAAGCAAACCCAGCCTTTCCTTCTCATGGGATTATTCCATAAAAAGCTTTCATTGATTATTATCAGTTAATATCAGTGTAACAGTACATTTGCTGTGTTGTATTTAGTGCTATCAGAAGCAGGTTTCCTAAAGTAACCACTCTGGTAAGGGATATGTTTTTTTTTTTACTCACTGTATGTTCAAATGATTACTATCTTTTAGTTTTGTTCAAATTTAATTGCAATGCCTGTGGAAAATTACTTTGTTTTGATATATATTTAAAAAAAATCCCAATTATCTTCAATTGCTAATTAAGAAGATTAAGCAAATGATTGCTTGTTACAAAATACCAAACAATAGCTATACACTGAATAAAGCCAACAGTTTTATTTGACATTGCAAAAGTTATTTACTCCTTGGGTAAAATTTGGTTTTCATTTACCTCTGTTTACATGTAATTTCTTTGCCATTCTTGGTAATGTAAGCATGGTTTTTCTTGTGTAACTATGGGATTTTGTCTACCTGGTAATGTATCTTGTGCAACTGTAGTGGGAGGGGGGGGGGGTGTGAACGGAGTTGAAAAAAATCTTTCACTAAAATAGCCCCTATGGTGTTATTATCAGGATGGTCATGAACTTCCTCCACCAATAGGATTTGACCTACCTTCTGAAGAATCTCTCCCTGCTTCGAAGGTACTTTGTTGTTATATACATCGCATGTGTTTTTTTTGTTGTTGTAAAACTAACAACTGATTTAAGTAAACTTGTTGAGCTATGGCTGTGCATGTAGTTGCTTGGTCCCACTGATTCTGTCTTTGTCTTATTTGTCACAATGTATATGTGTGTGGTGATTGTGAATGAGTGATTGTTTTTCTAGCTGCCATCTTTAACCCTTTCATTTCATAAATCGGACCTGTCCAGTAATTATCAATTTTATTGTTTGATTCATTTGATTTTTAGGAAAGTTATTTTGGTGATCTGGCAGTTAAAGAAATGGTGCTAAAATTCATAGAGCAGTATGTAGCTCATCTTTTTATGTATAGCCAGAAAATTTAGATTGTGGTCTCTATCTTAAACATGGCAACCATATTGCAACAGTACAAAGAGCTGAAGCCTTTGGAGACATAAAAGCAAGCTCTTGAAAGTGAAAATTCAGGGCAACATTTGTATTTTATGCAAGTGTTTTGGGGTTTTGAGGTTTTGACATATCCCAGTGAAATGGTAAGGGACGTGGACACACACACACACACAAAGGGCTAAAAATGTGGCGGAATGATCCAGCAGAAAGGCTCTTCAATGAAATATATCTGATCAACAACCAAAAAAATTACTCAACACTAAATTGTTGTGTAAATTTCAATCTAGCTGCTATTCCAAAGTAAGGCCATTTGAATAAATATCTTCTTCATTCAATAGTTTTTCAGTTCAGCTTTTCAAAGGAATTCCCTAAGAGATAGTAAAATTGGATTTGACCAATAAGCATGTAAAAAAGTGATATAATTTGATTCATGTACCTCTGGCAAAAATAGAAAATCATCATTTCTCCATTAAAAGTTCAAGTTCACCATTAAAAGTCCAGGTAAAACTTTCCACTGTAAACAAAGCTATCAAACTAAAGGTAACAGAGGAGAATGGCAGCAACAATTACCCTCACTTGCTTTTTTTTTATCTGTAACAATGAAGGAATTACCTAAGATCTGTTTTATCACAGAATTTGGCATCTTGCTTATGGGTGATGGCAGTGATGGTATTTGACAGCATTTCCCTTGACACTTCTTCCCTTTCCTTGTGCAGTGTTGTTGTCAGTTATTCCTCTTGAGTCTCTACCACACAGCAGTTCTAAATAAGGTTTTCCTCCTGTTGACAAGAACTGCTTCACCATTTTGAACACATCATATCTTCTGTTGAGTGTTCTTAAACTGGAGTACCTTCTCAGCTAAGGCTCAGAGTGTATTTGCTCTGCTTGAAAGAGATTCATTTTGGCTGGGTCAGACGAAGCATGTGATGGGGTGGTACAGGCAGATTTGTACTAAACTCCAGCTGGTCTGTTTAAACCCATGACATGGACAGAGCAGACTCAATGAATCAGTTTGCCTCTATTAGTGTCCGTGTCTTTCAAAAACATATAACTGTGGTACATTACAGAGATGCTATCCACAAGTGTTCATTATATGAACTGGTCAACAATTACAAGGCACCTATACCTTCCAGAGTTTTAACCATTGGCTGCAAATATCAGTTTCTGCTGTGCATGTTGATTCTGTCACTGCCATCAACAAATGCAATTTCACAGCAACCTGTGTTATCTGTTAAAGACATTATTCCAAATTATGCGTCATGACATAAATTGTAACTGTATTCTCTTTTGGTACCAATGATGGCCTTGATTTGACTAATCACCTCAATGGTTATTTCTTAACCAAAAGTATAGAAAAACAGAGAATATGCATTCCACTTCTTTCAGGTGGCTGTTCAGAGTTTTTAAGTGAAAGACACTCTACATAATTATTTGAAGTTTTTGAGTTCTTCAAGAGCCCAATCAAAACTTTGATTTGAGTATTCACTGGTTTAATGTATTCTGGCTATTGTGAGTGCTGGGTAATCAATTAAAACTCTCAGGTAAACTGCCATTTAAGGAATATTATCGCAGAAAATTAAGCCCCGACTAGTATTTTACTTTCTACTTTTTTCAAAATTGAGTTTGGCTGGGAGTATTAATTTGCCATTCATCATCCTGATGTTAAAACATGAGATGTTTTGAGTATTCTTTGATGTTCAAGGTGGTGCCCCAGTCTGGCGCAATCTACCGGGCGCAACTTTATTTCTCCTTTTTAGATATTTTAAGATTTATGACACAGACAACAGACAAGGCCTTCTTCAAGCTTACCATGATCAGGTAATGGATTGTAAGAAATATCCAGTGATTATGACTTGACATGTCTTTCAGTCGTAGCTAAAGGGGTAGCTCAGAGAGGCGAACATGTTGCTTGTCCCTCTTACCCAGTTTCTCTTCGCCAGTTCCTCTTACCCAGTTCCTCTTACCTAGTTCCTCTTACCCAGTTCCTCTTACCCAGTTCCTCTTACCCAGTCCCTCTTAAGCAGTTCCTCTTACCCAGCGAAAAAAGATAATCATCCCACTGCCTCGTGAACCCTGAAAGCGAGGCGTGCTGGGAAAAAAAATTTCTCGCTGATTGCTATTAACTTGCGACACGATTTCGCCAAGAAAAAGGAACTGCTCGTAATCTACCAAAATCGTGCAAATGCCCCGGATGAGAGTGAAGAATTTCTCGTGCCCCATGCTTGAGAGAAGGCTAGTAATCTTCTTGTAACGACACTGATTTCGTTGAAATTAAGAGTGCTGACAATTTGGTTTTTTGCAGGCAATATTTTCCATGTGTGTCAATACAGAAGCATTAGGGAAGGATCGCGGTGGTCAAAGGTCAGTGTGTTAGTTTAGTGAACAACAGCTGTATTCAAATCTTCCTTAATGAATAGGTCAAGTTACAGCTGTATGTTGAAACTCAATTAAAGAATCATCTGCTGTAGTTGTGTCATCAATTGGAGTCTTTTGTGCATGTCAAATTTGTTTTGTCTCTTGATCAGGGCCCCTTCACTTGGCGACTACTTGAAGTACAGCCGAAACTTGAAAAGAGTCACTGACCCAGGTAATGTTAACAATTGCTAAAAAGTTGTTACGTTTGTACAATCACAGTAAAAACATTCCATAAGGAAAGCTATATTTTTCGATCACCCTGCTGCAAATCTCCAGGATAGCTATTTGGAAATCACATTTTATCCTGGCCTTAGGTACAATGGAATTATTTAGTTTCATTAACTGAGTTGATAGTACGGCATATGGTTTGATAATGTTAATTGGCCACCGTAGAAAGTTTTTAAAGCTGATTTTTCGAGCGTTAGCACTTCATCACAGCGAATGACATGGTAGGTTCCAGAGGGGAGGTGTTTTGGACAGCCATTTGCTAACTTAACCTGCCTAGCAGTCACTTCCGTTTCCTTCTAGCCAATGAGAGTCACGCCAGAAGAGGACCTGAGGTAAAAAGAGCAAACAAACAACACGCCATTGCGAAGCTCCCATATGGCTGAGAGGAAACGGATATGACTTGTACAGGCTGCAGAGCTGACGTGATATACTTTTGTTTCTTTTTCAAAGATTTGTGAGCGAGTAACGTCCCGATGTTTTGAGCTGTTTGTTTGTTTCTTCTTTTGTCCCTTAAAACGGGCTTGGGGGTTTAAAAACGGCATAGAGTTAAGGAAAAAGCCAAAGGGAACAAGCACGGTTTAGGATCTTCTTAGTTGCCCAAGCGTTCTAAGTTGTGATAACATGGCAACGTCGTGTTTGCTTTGAATGAAAAAATTAGCTTCAACCTGAGGACGCGTGTAATAGCGAGCAAATCGTCGCACTCAATAATTTTGTTGTGACGCTGTTTTGTGAGACACAATTGTTCATTTAAAAAAACGTTCATTTAACAATGGACTTTGTTTGCAGAGCGTCGAAGCAGTTTTTTGAAGCACTCAAAACTCTCTGTTGTTGCATTTTTGAATGAGCTGCCCAGCACAAAGCATGATTTGTCAAGTTTTACTGTCGATGTTAGTCTGGCCTTGGTAAGTTATTGCACCGAATTACTGTTTGTAACAATCTACTGTAGCTTAGTCTTATCTATGATTGTTTTGTATTTTTGAGTAATTTCCTGTACTGAGTTGTTCTCGTTCAGCAAGCCTCACGGGTATTTTGCCTTAGTGAATCCTGGCATTGATTCTTATTAATTGACTCCTTACTTCGCTTTTAGAGACCAGCAGATTTAACTTTAGCCCTGATTAAATGCTATGTTTTTCATCTAGCCTTCCTGCTTGTCCTTTGCGGTCAGAGGATTGTTCTTAGAGAGTAAGTAAGCTATCTTAGTTTTATTTCCCTGGACAGGGCTCCGGTGGGGCACAAGGAAAATAACTGGGAATGGGGAGAAGGAAAATGGACATCTGTTCACCGTCCCAGTCCACCGCTTTTTGTCGCTTTTATTCTGTTCCCGCTCTCCATTCGTTTCCCGCCCATTCGCCCTCATCTCAATGATAAACTTAGTCTCAACCTACCCTAACTGTTTTTTAATTTGGTGATGTACTAGCAAAGTCAATGTGCTACGTTGCATCAAAAGCATCGAACAACATGCCCCAAAACAAAACAGAAATACAATGTCTCGCGTTAGAGCGCTTTTCAGTGAGACGTATGCACACTGTATTTCACGCTGCCGTCAATCATGTCGCGATCCTCTCTAGAAAATAACTGTTACTCCTCGCACAGTCCAAAAGGGTTCATTTTTGGTTCATTTTGTTTTATATTCGTATTCGGTATTCCTTACGATAATGGTTGAAGGCAGCTCAAAACGCAGCCCTAGAGCTGTTGTGTTATTGAAAAAAGCAGTAAAATGAGATTTATTCGGGAAGAGGTTTCTTTGTGCCGAGCATAAAACAAAACGAACATAGGAGTCATTTTCTTGGCATGTATTTGGTATCCGTTCTAAACCGTCAAGCATACATACAGCTAAAAACTCCGCTAATGTTCACCATAAACTTACTGGTAGTGTCTTCATCCGTCGATTTGACTTGAGTTAAATTTAACTGAATGTTTTGATATTTCAACAGACTCTAAAACATTGAGGTCTTTTACAAGAGTATTTATCGCTGTTCCTGCTGCTGGTGGAAGCGCGTAAGTAAAGTTCAAAGTGCAACTGAGTATCAATAGTGTTGTATAGAGTTAGCAGTGAGAAGCTCGCTTGGTGTGGAATATTTTGACTTAATATGGTCCTAAGTTAATGAAGAGCTTGATCTTACAAACAGCAGGGCTTGGAACATGAGTTACGTACGAGAATAATATGCAATATTCCTCTGTCTAATGAAATGGTACTATTGTCTATTATAGGGTGGGGTAATTGTATTGTATTCAACTGGACTCATTATTATTTATTGCGAAACAGCACAGTAACAGAGCAGCAATCAACGAAGAAAGAGGCTTGTAGAAAATACTTTTGTTCTCTAATTTGTGGTTGTGAACCTATGTAAAGTGGACACGAAACTTCCTCATAGTACCCGAACTGAAAAGAAATTTTACCCCTACAGTTAAAAGCAATCCCTTAAAACTGCTGCAAATTTTCAGTACTTAGTTATTTATTAGCTAAAAGTTTCTAATCAGTAGTTTTTATATATTTTAGGTTGAGTATAATTAATGATGAGCTGCATATTAGCCACGCTTCGCCTTCTCAATTGCAGGTAAGCAAATGCATGTAACTGTTAAAAAGAAACTAAGAAAATTTAACGCCAATCAATCTGTAAGTCCCGAGATTTTAATCATGCTTGGACGACAAGCGCTCTGGTTCGTTTCATCTCATACTCATCGCTAAACGACCAAAGATTGCTTTACCTTTAGGTTGTAAATTAACTCTTTTCACCGCTCCAGGGTGCGGCTGTTGAAAGTACGATTGCCACCAACAGCACTGAAACGTTACAAGTCAGTTCAGCTGTTCTTGGTTTGACATCAGCAACTACACAGGTAAAAAAAATCGCTTTCTTGATGATGTGGGAAGAGACGTTTTGGGATATGGCATTGCTTGTCTCCGTTTTCCTTCCCCTCGTTAAGTTTTTTTTTCCGCGAAGATAGATGGTATGCTCTTGTCGCAGATAGCGAGAAGCCATATCTACAAATCTTTATCCTGGTTAACTGATGACAAAAAACCAATTCTAGTCCCGTGTTCATGTTTTAACTTAAACTTTCATTTATGTGTCATGTTATCGCAGCTACGAATCGCTGCTTGGTCTGCCATTTTTGGTAATCACTCGACGTTTTTTAGTAAGTTACTGATGCTTTACACGCTCCAGTAATCTATACTTTATTTGTAGTTCCCTCCTTAATGTGAATCGGATATAACTTTGTTTGGCGAAAGAGGTTCTCAAGGACGTCATGTTGATACAATTCGCTACTAGCTGAATTCTTGTCGCGCTAATTCAGGGGAAAGTCATTTTGGCAACTTAAAATCAACTCCAGACTGTGTGCGAGACAGCTTCTTAAATTTCTCACCCGCCGGTTTGCTTCCTGTTTAAAGTATCTTTAATAATACTTTTCTTAAATCGAAATAGACAACTTTCTAAAAATCAGTGAACTGGAATTCGTTTTGCAGCAGCAGCAGCAGATGATTCTCCAGTTTGCAGAGCGGTCGACAATGAACGTTGAGTGGTCATACAAGTGAGTAGCATCAGAAAAAGCGTTGTTCCTCAAAGCTGTTAGTATACCCACGATAATGACCATTGCTAAATCTGATATAACATTATAAGCCTAGTTGTCCTTAACTAGTACTCAAGCAAATGTCTGTCAGCTATAAGGGAAAACCTGTTACTCTGAATGTATGCTAGTACCCTTTTGCTGATGGTTTTTATTGCCTCGTAGGTGCCTGTCTGAAAATAATTGGAACTTCGAGAAAGCCGCAATGGCGTTTTCTTCATTAAAGGTACAGTCGATTTCTGTTAAATTTAGCCTCGCACAGGATCATTTCTCCTTTGATTTCCTTCATATAGTTTTTTGTAATTTTACACTCAAAATACTCCAGCTGCAGTTAACTCGTTGGGCATCATCGTTACATTTTGACAAAAATATAATAAACAAAAACTGATCAGAAATTATTGAAAAGATGCGCCAATCACAGCCGTGGAATTCCATCTAATCACAGCTGAACACAACAGTTTATAGGTGACGCAACTCAGTTGACCTCATCGCCAGAAGAAAACTAGCAGTATGCAGTAGAAACGTTACGATCCACATCCGAAGTGACCACATCGTGAGACAAACGAGTGTACTCCTCTTTTAAAAGTGTTATTCTCCACGATGACAAACCACAACTTATTTTACGATATAAATTCTTTTGTATTTCAAATAGTGCAGAAGCCTCGTAGATTTTATGTTCTTCACCACAAACTACTTCTTTTCCGTTTTAGGAGAGCGAGAGGATTCCGCCTGAAACTTTTGTAGAATAACTCCAGGCAAAAAATGCAATGCAAAATGCAAAATGCAAAATTTTTATTAAGGAAAAAAAAAAAGGAACAAAAACTGATCCGAAAATTATTGCGAAGATGCGCCAATCACAGCCGTGGAATTCCATCTAATCACAGCTGAGCACAACAGTTCATAGGTGACGCGTACTCAGTCGACCTCATCGCCAGAAGGAGACTAGCAGTATGCAGTAGAAACGTTATGATCCAAATCCGAAGTGACCACATCGTGAGACATACGAGTGCACTCCACTTTTAAAAGTGTTATTTAATTACCACGATGACAAACCACAACTTATTTTACGATATAAATTCTATTGTATTTTAAATAGTGCAGAAGCCTCGTATATTTTATGTTCTTCACCACACACTATTTCTTTTCCGTTTCAGGAGAGTGGTAGGATTCCGCCTGAAGCTTTTGTAAAATAACTCCAGGCAAAATTCAAAGCTGGATTTAGATTTTTCATTTCATCCAACAGTTCCTTTGCCAACGTCCATGATATTGTTTACATCTCTCTGAACTTCATGCTTTAACTTTGTTGCAGTTGTTGTTGCTATTTTTAGGTTATAAATTCGCGGTCGTTGAATTTTCTATAGAATATCCTTGTAAATAATTTCCTCAGCAAATCAGTATTAGCCTAGTAATAGCGTTCAGAACAGCGTATTTTATTTGTTAGCATTTAGAAATAGACTTTTTAGAACTTTTACGACATCTGCAACTGATTTTTCCAGGTATATATTGTTAACCAGAGCTTCACAAGGACCAGTCACCGCTGTATACACCTCTTGATGTTATTGTGAAGAAATGTTGACAGGATTAAAGAATAAATTGATAACGAAGTGATCCTCATTGTGAACTGGTAAAGATAAATTACAGGAAAACAGGATTCAAAACCTTTCCTCCTGAGTTTAAGTCGCAAACTAGACTTCGAAACCATTTGTTGAAAGAAAGGCAAAATCACTGCTTCTATAAATCATATTTTCACCTATGGCTAAAAAAACAGGGATGAGATGAACGCACAGTGTTATTATTTCTTTAACACTGTTCAACGGTGAAGACAGTAGTTTACATAGACACCCTAGTTCCATTATCCCGTGGTAAGGTGAGCTGGAGCAACTGTGTAGTGATCAGTCATGTTTATATTCCTGGATAAAACTGTGAGCTTTTGAAACCTTAACCCCGTGATGCTAGTTGGGTTGAGAAACATTGTCTCCTGCAAGAGAGTTGCGCGTTCAAAACTTTAAACTAAACGTGCTCCCGTCACTAGTGACATGAGGCCAACAAATTACACTTTGTCTTGATATTTCTAAACGTTTAAAAGCATTCTAGAACAGCAAGCATCAGGGACATTTAGATCAGAAAGTCCAACCTAGACTAACACCTATAGGTTGTAAACTACCTCAGGCAATATGTTTACCTAACAGAACCGGTAAGAGCTCAGTGACATGATTGTGTTTACTTTGCACTGCCATGCGAGTTGGCTAGGGGCAGAATGTAGTAAGGCTCTTGAAGTTTTATGTACTCAACCAATGGGATTCACTGGACTTACAAGAGGGATTCCTTGTTTGCACCTTTGTTAATTTTGAAGATAAAGAGAAGAAAGTGAAAGATATGCGTGTTATTCACCATCCTACGTCGGTCCGTATTTGGAAAAAATTGTGCCCGCGGCACAACTTGCGGCCTCGAGCGGTACACAAGACAGTAGGCACAGTTTTTCCCAATATGGACCGACCTAAGCTGGTGAATAACATTTTTATTTTTAAACCTAAACAAATTATCGCAAAAAGAAACCTGCATAAACTGAACAACTTTTAGCAAGTAGCGAGAACAGAGAACAGAGGCAATTCATTTTACAGAGAGAGGCTTCACCAAAAAATTTTTATCTGCGTGAAGATGAAGGTGATTGCAAAGGTTTGTAACATTTGTCTCAATTTGACACCAATTAGGGAGCGCGTGGGAAAACTCAAAGTACATGTCAACTGTCGAATGAACAACAGCACTGGTTTGGCAAACAAACTCGAGTTGGATGACTATCAAGACGATTTTTCTTCAAAAACAGTTATAGTCATCTTACGGAAATTTATATTAACTTCCATTGACGATTAATATACGAAGATTTGCCTCTTTTCAGTTTTCAACGGAAAGGAAACTCACTGTAAGTAAATTTAAATGAATGTTTTGAAGCTGTCATAGTTTGATTGTTTGCTTACTGCAAAGGCGAGTGTAAATCTTGTCTTTTTCCCACCGAAAAACTGAATCAAATGCAACCTTTTTTCGAAACTCAAGAGGATTTAATGCGGCTTTCACCCCGTGAATTATTTCCTTTCTGCCGTGCAATCTACGGAATAAATGTACAAATTCAATGGTTTGGTTAAGACTTTCCTAACGTGTATTTGTAGTAGGACTTAAAACTTCGCTCAACTTTTTTCAGTGAACAAATTGTTTTGGAGAATTCAGATATTACCCGAATGAAAGTTACATAGATTAATTAATTATAAACAAATACCTTACTTTTCTAACTTACTGAGTTACTACTTGTGAAAGATTGTTATATGGCGAATTGTTTTTAGACGGCGTATCAACCCATTCAATGAAACACTTGTTATCACAAAATTAATCATAACAATTATAATTTCCTCAAATGTGATTGGTGCATCAGCTGCTTCATATTTCAATAATCACTCTGTACAGTTGTTATCGGACAGTTAGCTGTAATCGGACACCTGTAATCGGACAGTTGAAGCAGCCAATCATACTAAGTCCACTCAGCTAAATCCACCAATCACAGAATTGATCACAATAACCATAGCAACAACCACTTACCCTGAAAAGAAAACTGGGAAATTTCCAAATTTTAAGCTTTAGACATTGTCCCTACTGGAGATGTTTGTCCAAAATGCTTTTTTTTTTCGGAAATTGTAATGGTTATGATTAATTGGTAACAGGACTTTGTGTTATCCACTTCTGTCCGCAATTATACTCGTGATTGACAAATCGGACTCCCGCTTCGCAGTCGTCTGATTTTTTAATCACTCGTATGATAACAGACTAAATTAGACTCCACTCGGTCCTATTACCATTATTAATAATGGCAATAGGACTGAGCGGAGGCCGGTCTGTAATCATTTGAGTGGTTATACTAAAGTTCGAATATAACGCGTGCTTTCGTCGGTTGAAACAGCGCACTCTTTCAGAGTATAAAACAGAACTTTTTTTCGTTAACTGAAAGTAAAATTCCGGAACAACCGAGTCGGCAAATAGCAACAGAAGAACCATACAGAGGTTCATTAACATGCCGAGCGCCGTTAATGACGTTATCATAACTGTTATCGGTTAGATTGCAAGCTTACTGGTGGAATTCATACTAATCATGACGGTGTCAGAGGAAATCTTCGGTCATCGCAGAAAAGCAAACCTCAGAAATAACATAGGCCGCCTTTTTTTAATTCAAACTTTGCTTTTATTCTTACAAAGTGTTTCATTGGTTTATTTTTTCTGAACCAGTCTCTGCGCGTTTCAGGAGGGATTCTCCTTATATGGATATTCGACACAAGCATAAGGCGCCGAAAGCAAAAGAAGTGTCTCTTGGTTTTCACGTGGCTATCTGTGTATTTTCATCGATTTCAAACGTTTTTCCTCCCAACATGGTAAGTCTCAAGTAGTTGAATCAACTCTCAGGGATGCAGTTCTTCTCTTATTTCGCTGCAGAAAGTAGAAATTTATTGAGTTTCGCAGTGCACGGCTCCAATAAATAGCTTTGGTGAAATGTTTGTATGATCATGCATTTGTTGACGTGACTCTTTCTTTCAAACAATCTTTTTTTCGGTTTTCTCATTTTAAAAGCAGTGTGTTCACGATCAATACATTTAGTAGAAATTCAGTACTCATCAATCAACACCCTTGTTATTATTTGGAGAAAGCCTTGCCAGGACTTAGCAAATAATCCGTTGAATTCGAAATTATGTAGTCGACATGTAAATTTAAGATTCTCAAACTTAAGTTCTCTCTAATGCTTGTAAAAACTGGCAAAGACTCTGAGTGACAGAGATCGCGTAGTCTGCACTGGTTATATAATTTTCAGTAGCTGGAGAAAAATTCTGGTCATCATTTTCTCAGAAGAATAGTGAAACTTCACCCATGATGATGGGGAACGCTAGCAACAGCGTCCTCCAACTTCCGGAATTTGTAGCTTATCATGTTTTGTATAATTTCATCTCCACCACTGGTCTAAAGAAAGCGATAGATGCACCATCCCTTGTATGGTGATACAACAAGATGTCTAATAATATCCCTTTCTTTGTGGGAAACTTTGGCACAAAGAACTATTACTATTTTCATAGTGATGATGTACCTGTGAACTCTTCAAGAATACATGAGAGGACACTCTTGTCTCTAACACGGAAGTTTCAATGGAATTAGATGATAAGCTGAATTGCACATGCATTTTCATTAGTTCTTTCTCATGATCCATTAGAGCATAGACACGTAGATGATGTCACTGTAAACAACATTTTTCTTTTTTATCCTATAGAACAAAAAGATCCTATGTCGCTTGGGTCTGTGCAGTAATAGATCAGAGAAGATGTCAAATTGTGATAAGATGTTTAGTGACTCATTCAGCTGTGCCTTGTGTGCTACATTTTGTCCTAACCTCATTTTAATGTCATCTGCGATCTACTGCTGAACAGATACATGGCAACATGGAATCTATTTGTTCATTGAAACAACTTATGGAAACCCTTGCTGGTATGAGATTTCACAGACGTAAACTAAAGGAGTGTATTGTTCTCTTTGCAGAGTCACACCATTCTTCTAATTCAACCCAGTGCAAAGCCAGAATCCAGGACATACTCTGATTATGAAACTAAAGATGAGTGCATGGAAGGTAAAATTATAATAATAAATTGGATTTTAGGGGTGAATCTTCATTCCCTGTTTTCTGATTCAAATGGGAATTCTTTGTGTTGGTTCTGGTGAAGGGAGAAAAAGAACAAGAAGGTGAACCAAACCAAACTTAACCCTCAAGTAATGTCAGGTACAGGAGTCAAACCCAGGCCTCGGAGGTGGGAAGTGAGTGCTCTCCCAAGTGGCACAGTGTCATACCTTAACTTGTGAAATTCCATTTTACATACTGTACCCTACCAAATATTGAACCAAATCACTAAGTGGGTTTAAATGCTTCTTGGGTTGAACAATTCTCTCAACTTAACATTACTGGATGATAAATTGCACTATTTCAAAGAAACTCCCCTGAAAACAATTTGCTAATGACAGTTTTGAAGTATCAGTTTTTGTGAGGATGCCTTTGCCAGTTTCATTGGTGAATCACTGGACATAGTTTGTACAGGTCATGTTCTAGATAGAAAGTTATTTTTTCTAAGCAACATTGAGTGTTTTTCATAGAAAATGTTTTGTCAACAAGGGCAAAAGTACCAGAGGCAGTTTAAAATTTTCACATTATTTTGATACGCAAGAGTTGTATAATACTTCATGAAATCTAAAAAACTTGAGGAATAAGTTTTAGAAAGTTGTTAAGTTTTGTAAGCTTAAAAGAGTGTGAAAACACACATTGAATATATATAGTTTCCCTACAATAGCTTCACTTTTCAGTTAACAAGTAAGGGAATAGACAATTTAATCAGCTTGATTGGCATATCTTTTTGAAACCCCAGATTCTCTCAACTAATTTTCAAGGAAATATATAGCCACCAGATGGGGCAGTTAAGATTAGAACTTGTTAAAAAAATGTAGCAGCATCTCTTATAATATTCCATTAACTGTATCTTTCAGGAGTTTGCAAGATATTTGAAGAATACCTTAAGAAGTCCAACCCAAGCACCCCGTCAATCACATACGACATCAGCCAACTGTTCGACTATATCGACAATTTGACAGACCTGTCTTGTTTGGTGTACCATTCTAAAAACAGCTCCCTAACAAACTTGCTGCAAACCTGCATTGTAGATTTGTAGGCTGTAGTTATCAGTAGTTTAGTGGCTTGATACTTTGGGTACTTGCTGGAGGCAGTGTGGCAGAGTGGTTAGGCCGCTGAACTTGTAATCTTGTGGTCTTGGGTTCAAGCCCTCCTTGCTGCTACTCACTGGATTCATTCTTGGTTGCCCCAAGTTTAACTCCTTGGCTGCATTTTGTAAACAGCTGTTTGCAGAAAGGGTGGTGGAATAAAGGCGCTAAACTGCATGTGACAACGCCAAAAGACATTGTCAGTAGTTTTCAGGTCACGGTTCTAGGACCTCAGGGTTTCAGGGAAATCAGAGAAAACATCACTGTAAGGAGAGGCCTAGGCATAGGTGTTTTATGAATTCATTTTGTTTGCAAGACTGACTTTTACTTCTTAATTTGTTGAAAAATGAAAAGAACTAACTAATTGACCCTAATCAATGACGAAAATGATGCAAACTCGACTAAAGTGAATTAGAAGACATCCTAAGAAAAAACTGTTTGCAACATGATGTTCTATCGTTTTGAACTGATGGTATTCATGTCTATGTTGATATTTATCCCCTGTTCAGTAGATCATTTGTCCATATCTGTTTCTCTTATTACCAGATTACCTTCCAAGATTGTCACCTGCTTTCATCCTTTTTTCTCACAACTTTTCTGAAAACAGCTGTATAACCAGCTGATCTGCCTCTGGCCAGTTGGAATTTTTAAAAACTCTATGTTTATTTGCAATTTGTTTGTATTGGTCCTGATAAGCTGTATTTGGGGAATGGTCAATTAATGTTATTATTACATTTAGTATTACGTGACTAGAAAAGTAGATGATCAGGTTCATATCCACACCAATTTTAAATTGTTCCATTTTGTTGTGTTGTAAGGGGCCTTACTCTCACAAAACCTTCCATCCAAGTTGCTTGCAATTCTTCAGGAAAGCTTCAGCTGAGGAATTGTCTAGGGATTATCCTGCGATAGAAAGGCTGTACGCTCACAGCACTTGGCTGCTTTAGACAAGCAACACTTGACATACAACAGCCTGCACCACTTTGCTGTCATGAAGGGCAATGACTAATCATGAGAAGTTTGGATGATGTTCTAAATTTTTAAGTATATGGGTCCCAAAACATTTTGGAATTTTTACAATATGAAGTTCCTTCTCCAGTTTTTCACAATGGGAAAGTTCTTGCCTGGAATAAACCTATATGTTGTTTTTAACAGGGAATAGTTAGTTTGTAAAATTCTTTTGTTCAGTTGTTGGTTAGATTTTGATGACTTTTTGGGGTTTTGTTTGTGTTTCACTTCTCTCTCTCAACAGACAACACCCAAAGCAGACATCTTTGTATGAACCACACAACAAGGAATGGATTAAAGAAAACATTTACATCATGTTAAGAAAGCAAGCTGGGAAATGACAAGTCTTAATGAAGATCAGTGGTCACTTTTTTTTCTTAGTCTGTATCATAATGCAACTCTGGTTTGTGTGACAATCCTAGTGCTGAATGTGTTGGTGGAAAGCCGACATGCTGTGACTTCTGTGGATGTCTTGTTCTTGTACATGTTGCTGAAATATTTTCTGTGAAATGCATGTTGATTCCTTTTTTGGAGTAAGGTTTTGCCTTGGACTCATTCTCACTGTCACTAATTACATCTATGAAGCCTTTTGTCCTTTTTTTTTTTCTTGTAATCTTTCTCTGGCAATATCATTCACTTCAATAAAGTTGTGAAATGAAAAAAATAAAGTTATTGAAGTTTGTGCTGCAATGTTTTATGCCCATTTGAATCTTTGAAGTATGTTTCCAGGAACTGTTGACAATACTTTTAAAAGGCAAAGACTTATTAATGCATATTTTTTTGTGTGTTTGTCAAGGGTAAGGGAGTTTTGTTGCATTCTAGGGCAATTATTTGACTTTTTGGGTAAAAGAAGACAACCAGACAAACAAAATAGATATATTAGACAAAACAAAACATCATCTGAGATGTGGGAGGACATAGTAAAAGATATAAACTACTCCTTCACTGAACTGCAAGAAAGTTTTATTCACAACTTGCAATGAAGCATTTAACAGTCTGAGCAAGAATGGGAAATTCTCTTTTTAAATAACTGCACAGTTAAAGTATACCTTTTTACAGCGAGGTAACCTTAAAGGGCAGGTGATGAACCTTTTCCCCCCCCTGCCTTTGACAGGACTGATGATCTTCAATGAACAGGTAACAATTATTCACTGAGGTGGAGGTGGCTAGTGGTGAATGTTCACCAAGCTGGGAAGCAGCAAGTTAAAGATCCACCTCTGCTACCTACACTGAAAGTATAGCACAACAAGATGATATTAACTCATTTATTCACTTGTATTTTTGGGCCCAAATCCTGAATGAGTAGCTCAGAGGTGAATAGCAGAGGATATTTGGAGTTTGAGTAACCAATCAAAGCATCCCTTAACACCATTTACTGTTTTAGTATATACTTATATTCAAATTATTCAAGGTTATGATGAATCAAATGATGAAAGAGTCAAAGATACTGTGCTTCTTCACATCTGGAATGTACAAACCACTAAAAATTGTGGTGTTTTCCCTAAAGTGGGCACAAAACTACTAATTTAGAATGAATGGACCTCTAACTCACCATTAACAAGATCTCACATGTAAATCTTCATTATAACACATCCTAATTACTTTGTTATGAATTCTGTAATGAATTATTTTGAAACTTATACACCAGGAAACCTGTTATTATACAATAAATTATTTTGCCTGTAGACTCTTTTCCAACTGGTCAATCTAAAAAGTCTGGACTTCAGAACAAAGGTTATCACATAAGTGACTGACAGTAAGCTGTAAGTTCACTTGTCAGCCCAGAGCACTGACAATCACCTAAACTAGTGAGCCATGGTGATTAATAGTAAGCCTTCTTTTTTTTTTTTTCTAAAATGCTCATAGTCTTGGTTTGTGAGGTCCAGAAGCATACAGCAATCTAGATGCCTCTGGTCTCCGCCGTGATTTTCGTCCTCTCCACACCATCACAACTACAATAATGACAACAGCTGTGAGGGACATAGCCAAAGCCACAGCAGCAACAGGTGGAAAGTCACCAGGAGATGACCTGTCATCACTGTCATCATTATCATTAGCAGCAACAGTATTTGTGACTGTTCTACTGTTAACTTTGGTGAACATGTATGGCTTGTCCTAAAAGTGGCAAAAAACTGCACTCAGTCAACTGTCAATGCTAGAAAGTCATTCAAGATATTCACTTTCACTTGTACTAATCTTGTAGGCCAACAACATTTTCAAATGTAGACATTTGTCTCCCTTAATTATGATATACATGATAAGCTGAATTGCATATGCATTTGATGTATTGGAAGGCAGATGCATGGGCGACATCACTGCCAACAACATCGTGCTTTTTCATCATGTAAAACAAAGACTATGTTAATGTTGCTGTTGGTCTGCACAATACTAAATCACAGAAAACATCGCAATGTGGTGAGAACATCAGTGACACATGGCTGCCACCTTTTTGTTCTTACCACATTTTGATGTCATCTGTCTTCTACAGTAATACTGAATGATGACATGGAGTCTTTTTGTCAGTGGGGTACAAGGTGTATGTACAGATAGGTTTCTCTGGGTTGAATCACAAGGTTACACATAAATTACACAATAAATTGCCTTTGACTGTGTAGCAAGCTTCTCATAACCCACAGACTGTGCTTTTCTGGACCAAAAAGAATTGTTTCTCTTTCCTACTTCCAACTGATACCTAAAGGAATATTAATTCTTAACATTGCATACCTTAGATGGGCATCTTAAGGTCTCCTGGTCACCCCACTGCTTTGTCTTGGATCCAAATGGTTCCAACTACAATGATCATTATTTCAAATATTATCTCTGACTTCCAAATGTCATAAATTAGAACGCATAGTTTTAAGTGAAGAATTAAATAAGATAATGCAAGTTTTTTTGTCAAGTGTCAGCCTTCATCCATCTCCAAACAGGGTTAATTTTGTGGTCAAACAAAAAAATACTACCACCAACCTGCAGTGGCTTTGTATACAACCTTATCCAAAGGTACTTTTCTTATACATGTAAATTAAATTTAGTTATTTTGCTCCAGGTTTCTTAATTATCTACCTTTTCATTAATTTCTGGCTTTCTTCACAACTATACTCAACCTTTTTTTAATAATTGTAATCATTACTTTGCATACCCCACACTCAAATAAATTGACTTTCAAGGCCTGGAAGAGAAATTTCCTGCAACTTTGCAGGTCAGAGTTCAGTTCTAGGGCCTATAAAACACTCCCTTTACCTAGGATTTAGAGGATCTGCAACAATAATTCACCTGCATTAAACAAAGTGTATCATCAATTTATAATAACCAACCTACCATATTGTTCCACAAAGCTAGTGCTGCTGCAGCATGACCTTGAACAGAGAAGTGCAAGCAGTCCACACCAAAAAAGGATTTCACCAAATCACCATCCTGTGAAAAAAAAATGCAGCTCCATATTGTATTCCTGAGTTGTTTACAATGTACATACTGGCAGGGTTGTAACTAAGAAATAAGGGAGCAGGCTGAAATTTTAAGAGAGGTGGCTCAAACTTGGCTAGCATTCCATTCTATATCAAACCACTATAATCTCTGCCTAATCTCAGAAATGTCTGTTGTGCTTTACTTACTAAAGGGATCACCAGCTAAAAGTCCAGCCAGTGATTGCTACTATTTCATGCAATGAATTTTGCCAGCATCCCCTGCTTAATGACAACCCTCTACTGACATTACTAACGGGAAAAACTCTTTAAAAAATTACATCACAACTAAAGAGTTGCTAAAGATATGTACTGCACTTTCTGGGATGAAAATCTTGATCTCTAAATAGCAAAAAGCAATCACCTGATTTCTTGGCGGCACCTGGAGGGCAGGTTGAATAACCACTGCAAAGTTATCCTTTGTGTCATATATTCCACTATTCACCAGTTCCTCCAATAATTTCTTTACAGGGACAGATAGAAAAAAATATTACATGTTTGTCAAAGCTTTAAAACAATTTGATGAGAAGAAAAGGATTACTTTAAGCTCATAGTCAAGCAATCCTAACTTCAAAAGATCAGTGCAAATATTTATCGTAATGCATCATTACTGATTCTTATACCAAGTTCATTTGCACTGTAATTCTTCTAAGTTCAAAATATTCTCTTTATTTTACCAGTACCGGTAATTATTTTATTTTTCCTAACAGTATATGTATATGATCAGCAAGCAAAGAAAATTTCATTTTTAAGTAGCATGTTTGTAAGTCAGGGTTACTAGGAGAGGTAACAGAATTTTATATACTGCAGTTCTTTACCTAATTGTGTAAAATTTAATGTTCTTCCTTGACAGGGACTAACAAAATCATGCAGATAGTTGGTAGCTACAGCTGACATTCTTAAAAACTCCCTCTTATTTATTATCCCTTTGGCCTCTAAGAGCCACTGAATCACTTATTAAGGTCACAAGAAGAGAGGAAATTATCAGCAACTGAAGAAGAGCTTGAATTCTCCTTGTCAGCACATAATGGAGAATATTCATACTGATGTTAGCATGTAAAGGGTTAATCCAACTGAGACCATATTATTTGCCATTATAATACCTACAAACTGTAATTATTTTATTTAATCACTCTTTAAAATGAAGTTAAGAGTTGGTTAAAAATAAAGTTTCAACAAGTGTGCTTCAACCTTATACTGTTTGACAGCCATGGTAATTTTAGCTCTTTCTGTGGCAACCTTTCTCAAACAAGGACAAGAGCTCCTGGAAAGAAAATAAATATGTCTGAGTCATAGCTTTATGGCTTGTAATCATTTAAAATTCAATTTCTGCATAAAGCTGATCTAAAAAAGAATAAGTTGTTACTGAAATGTGCATGGAGGAATTACAGTCCTCCCCCTCTATTGTGTGTACTCCTCCACCCCTCCCCCTCTACTCTGTGTACTCCTCCACCCCTTCCCCTCTACTCTATGTACTCCCCGCCCCTCTCCCCCCACAACCTCTCCTTAACATTTCAGGATTTTATACATCAGCAGGCTATTTCTGAGAGGTCAACAACTTAAATTTAGTCTTGCATCCTTCATAAGATCAACAAACCTATCTCTGTGCGTAAAATACAATTAAAGTGAAAAGGATAAAACACTGTGCTGAATTGAGCAGGGTGTATGTATCTCACAAGAAAATATTGTTATGGAACCTACCATCCCAGAATTTGGCACGAGTTGGTATTTGCTTGATGTAACTCATAAAGAGGAGAAACATCCATGGGTGGAACTAAATTCACAAACAACCTGGGCACCTAAGAACACAAAGTGACAAAGTCAACTACAATAAATATTAAGGACAATCTGAGACTGAGGTAAACAGTCAGAATGTCTCCTCAATTCCTACAATGGATTTGCACCCTGAACATTCATCTGGAAATACTTCATATTATCAATCTGACTAATTATAAAATCAAAACATTTACTCACCTTATTTTTTAGGTGATTTAGTGTGCGCATCATATATTTTATAAAAGAACCAGCACTGAATTTCTCCTGAAATCATTAAAAAGTAGAACAGGCATTAGTAATTGATTCCATACCACTTTAAACAATGATAAAACATACAATGTATTGAATAAATTAATATTAATGCCTTCCTCTAATAATTTATTTATCTATCATTGACTATTAAAACCCTCTCAGTACTCCAGTTTCTTTTTCTAATTATCACTCAAACTCCTGCTAATGTTACTGATTGTAGACTCTTTTCACTTGTCTCCAGTGGAAGCACAGCTTGTGGGAATTTAAGATCCATTTGTGAGCAGCAGTTGAACATAAAAATTAACTAATTCATTTATAACTTATCTAAACAAAATCTACATTTGAAATCCCAATTTGATATATATTTTTTAATCAGTTATCAGTAACATCTCAATGACTGGGTAATTAATAACAACTGATACAATATTTTATTAATTAATGACTTATTACAATTGATATTACTTGTGGGGGCAAAAGGTTGATATTAGCACTTATCATTTGTGCCAGGCAAATCTTACCTCATCCTCACAAACTTGACAGAGGTCATCTGTTCCAATCCAAATTGTGAGAAGTTTCCAGTCATTCTTGAAGTCAATACCCTAGTTTATATTCAAGCAACACAGAAATTTAAATCGATTCACTTAGACCTTTGGGTAAAAAAAAAATATATATATTTTTTCAGTTTCTATACAATATATAATAAACCACACATTTTAAAATGTCACACTCTGATTACCTTCATAGCTTTCATTCTTGAAACCAGGTCCTTGGCTTGATTTTCAAGGTCACTTTATGATAAACAAAAAAAAAAGATTAATTCCTTTACTATACCTTTATTATTGTGATCTATTAACCGTTTCACTCCCAATACCTCAGTACCCAGGTAGAAATCTTATTAAGATTCTTATTAAGATTCTTGATAGGAATCTTAATAAGAATCTTAGCAAGGTTCTTATAAGCAACTCTCCCTACTGTCTGCCATAAAATTCTTGTGATGTTAGTTCAGAGAATTTGGTAGTGGATGAACTCAGAATTTCTTGACTGGTATTTTTCTTTATTCTCATTACTTGCATACCTGATATTGTATTGATATTGTAAGGAGAAATTCTACCTTAGTCACTCATTGGAGCCAAAGGATTAATACTGACTGTACATCTTAAAAGGAAGTTGACAGTCCCTTGCCAAAGGAGTAAGAATGTTTCTTTCAATACATGTACTACATATACCTTGCAGAGGCACCAAGAAAGGCCACATTAAGATCATCAACAAAACCATCTTCATCCTGTGACACCTTTGCAGATGCACCCTTTACAGATGGGCTGAATTGCCTGATGATATCTGTAAAATAATTTGATAGAAATCAAACAAACAAACAAATCTTATATAATTATCACTAAATGCTACCATATTGATATATTAAGACTATTAAATTGTCCAGAATACTCCTGTTTTAAAATCTTTAGTACTCTTTTAATAAAAACAGAATGTCAAAAGTGTAAAACAATTGTTTCAAATTATTGATGGAAGATTTACACCTAATTTTGAAAGTAAGGGCTATTAAAATTTAGACATGCTCTAGTAATAGCCAGCAATTTAATAATCATACAAAAATATTAAACATTAGCCAAAAAAATTATGTTACCCCTTTAACTCCCATGAATGACTGAGACAGAATTTTTTTCTAAAATGTAAATACAATATCAACCAGATAAGTAATGAGAATAAACTAAGACAAATATCAATTTGGAGATAATTAGTTCATCCAATACTAAATTCTCCAAACTAACATTGTAAGAATTGTATGGTTGACAATAAGAAGAATTACAAATTTGATCTGGGAATTAAAGAGTTAAGTGACAGTGAAAGTAAAATAAAAGTAGGAGACTCACTTGGCACTGTTATTGTTTGATTCAGATGATTTGCTCCTCCAAGGCTACCAAATGTACAAATATGGAAAGTTTTAAGGTAAAAAAAATAAAGAAGTCACTTTGAACAAACATTTGTTAGTATTTCACACTTCCTCAAAGACATGAAAATAATAATTCAAATTTTTTTTGTTGCATTTTACGATCTGATCGTGTTGGATTGACATGATTATGAGTTTTAAATTAAATTGCCCACATTTGACACATGGTTCTGAATGGATTTGTCAGGACTACCTTAATTAATGAACCTTGAACAAAATTAATATAAAATCATATCAAGCTATTGAAACCAGTTTCCATCAAGATCACTTTGACCTGAGATTCAACTCAACCTCTTCTTTTCCATTTGGTAGATTCCTGGGAAGGATGCCTTTAAGCTGGGGAAAAAGCTCTTTAATGTTAAAGGCAATGGCCCATGAACTAGGATGACATCTGTGTGTTACCCCTTTTTTTTCTGATACTTGATTTCATGGAACTTTTAATTACCTGGATTGGTGCCCAAACATATTGTTATTTACATAAATTTTAAAACCAAAAGTAATTAACATCAGCAATCAAAATATTTTTACCTCCATGAGAAATCTTTGTAATCCAAGAAAAATCCATTCACTGATGTTGCTCTTGCTCCTTGGCCAACCTTGAAAAACAAAATTGTATTTATCAAAGGAAATGAACACCTCAAACTTCCATTAGATTGGAAAATAACAAAATTAATTTATTTATCGTGAAATAAACACATACTGTAAACAAATCTCCCATAGCTGCAATGACCTTGAAATCTGAAGCATAAAGCTGGTGAACTATTTTGTGACAAAGCAAAATAAAGACAAATGAATATAAAAGACTGCAATAATGATTCAGTTAAACTATTAATTCCCATAGGTGACCAAGAGAGAATTTCTCCTTAATTTATCAATCTTATTATAAAAGATTATCATGGGTTGATCTGACCATATTACCCACTTCTCACCTGAGTGCCAATACTTTAACCATTTAACTCCCAAGATCTCATTAGTAATTCTCCCTACTGCCTGCTATAAAAATAATACTTAATAATATGATTTTAATTTGGAGAATTTGGTATTGGATCAACTTGTAGTCCCCTAATTGAGTTTTCATCTTTATTCTCCTCACTAGTATGCTTGATTCTGAGTTGAAAGGAGAAATTCTGTCTTGGTCACTCGTGGGAGTTAAAGGTTTAAAAGATCAAGCTAGAGGCAAAAAAATTAGCAACTGGGCATGCAAATTCTATATAAACTATTTTTTTTGAGAAATTGTTGTCTTGAGTACAGGATAAATGGGTCGGAAAAAGTCACAAATGGCTTAGGTATAAGCATCTGATTGGTAGCCAAGACTTGTACCACTCTGCACCAATCACAAAACAAAGTGTTACATACTGAGTTAGTAACAACCTGTTGTTGCCGAATGCTCTGAATTCTGCTGCACAGGGCAGTTTTCATTTGTTCCAATAGGCTGTTCAAGAAACAAAAAGAAAAAGTTATTATCAATAAATATTATCATGAAAGATGATGATGATTGAAAACTATAATTCGTTGTTAAATAAAGTTAACTAATTCAAGATTTGTAACAGTTTCAGCACTTAACAATTTTTTTTCCATAATAATTCAAGATTAAAGCTTAAAAAATTCCTCACTTACAGCAGAGGCTGGTTAAGTTACAGTATGTTAAATTCACCTTCAAGAGATTTTGTTCATCTCTCCATCCATTTATCCCAGATTTATCTTTCATGTAAGAGATGCAGGTGTGTAGCTCTATCACATTTTCTGGGGTTTTCAACATTTTAGCTGTCTCCACATCAGCCACTAGGAAGCATTAAACAAAATAGCATTTAAATGTTACATATTAAACTTGTCATTTCAAAGAATTTAGAACCATAAATATTCCTTAAACCCCTTAACCCCCAGGAGTTATTAATATCTAATTTCTCCTTACAATATTGCCACTGAATTCAACATCAATGTCTTGAGAATATAGGAAATGACCACCAACTAAAGATTAGAGTATGATTGTTTTAACAAATTCTCCTTGGCAGCACCTTAGGAAATGTATACAGAACAGTCTGGAGAATATGCATACAAAATGACTTTGTTTCAAAGGCTTTATAATACCATGTCCCAGTACCAAACCTTAATATACAAAATATGCTGATCATGAACTTTTCCTGAAACAGCATAAAAAAACCCCTGAACTGTGCTAGGAAAAGCTACCTTATTTTTGACATGTGAACTGTTGTGCTTTTCCAACAGGGAAATTGCCTCAGTCAAAATTTAAACTACCATGTAGGCTCATTCCATAAAAAATCTGGTCTCTGAAACAAGCTTAACAATTTTCCACAAATTATGCACAACACATTTATCTCACCTAGCACATTAATTGTGGCCGAAACATCACCATAGATACAGGAATAACTCCCAAGGATGTCAAGTGTAACATTTGAGAAAGAAATAGCAGTTTTGGTCATATCATCAGACCAGTAGCGTACACTTTTGACCTCTTCTACCTTGGGACCTGTTTTTTGCCATTTAACAAGTTCATCTTTCATGTCCCAATGCTTTCCCTCATTTGGTAATGGAGGGTAGATTTCACATATCAGCCTCAAGATACTTCTTGTGTGTTTCATGTCCATAACAACTTCTGAGGTATGTACATTTTCCAGTTTTGGATCATCCCATAAATAACCAACTTTCACAGAGGTGCTATTAGTTGCTGTTAATGATGAAACACAAACCAAGCCTGTTTATGGGGAATATTGAGAAATCTCTAAGTTAGTGCTTGCTGCCATATTTCACCATAAAAGGGTAATGGAACAATCAAAGTATGCCACGGTATTACACTGAAGAACAAGGTAAAAAAGCTCAGGCTGTAGCTTACAGTACGGAGCTCGAACACAGATAGTAATTTGTTAAAAAAGCATATGATAACAAATGAGTTTAAAATAATTTTGTACAAGTGCACTCAGTTTGGTAGGTCTCATTTGCTGCCATTAGACATGTTCAGTTTGTAACCAAATAATGCGAATACTATTTCACTTGCTACAATCTCTCGACTTTAACACCCCACACAGAAATGATGAATGTTAATTCAGAGAGGAAAAAAAGCAGTTTTAAGTTAAAACCTGCAAGCTGATGTTGTATTTCCAAAACAATTCGCACTCTCTCACCCAAATAATTCCAACATTTTTAGTAGAAACTATGAAAAGATCTTTGGTTGCTTCTTTGAAAGTTTGTTGAAGAAACACCTCACAGCCGTCAATATTCTTCTAACTTTTTTTATAGCTAAAATGTTACCGAAAATATTTAAATCTCGTAACTGTTTACTGTAAACATCAATCGCCGAGATTACCACAACACATTTCCAATTTGAATCGCGAAAAAACCCTAGGCTGACTACCTAACGTAAAAAGAAACGTTTTTGAAGAGTTTTTATTGTCAAAAAGTGAACACGTACCGTTAATAAAGAGAAATGCATTCAAAACAGCTAGTTTCCAAGCATTTGACTGGGACGCCATCTTGCACTGGTCATTAGCATAGTCGTCGTTGCTTGGTCGGTAAACATCGGCTCTGTCGTTTTCGTCGTCGGCTCGTGTTCGTGATGGTAGACAATCCGCGCCTTCTGGATCTATATATTTTGTCAACGGCAACACCAAGGCCAAGCGGCGATTCAGTTACACGATAGGATCAGGGTTCATATCAAGTCTTAATCCCTAATCGCATGCCGACGTTCGCCATGGATGCAGTTACTTTAACATTACGACCAGCTGAGGCTGATGACTTCGATGAAATAGTGAAACTTTCAGAGGGAATTTTCACAGGACATGATTATCTTCCGTTAACATTCCACCAGTGGCTTCAAAGGGACAACATAGTTGTTATACTTGCCCATTGTGGCGTCAGACTCGTCGGATTAGAGGCTTACTTCGTAGTAGATGATGGCCGCACTTTAATTCATCGAGCGGGACGCGTTCATCCAGATTATCGAGGTCAAGGTATTTACAAACAGGTCGGCGAGTACTCCATTAAACACGCAAAAGAGCATTATCCTAATTTACAAAGAGAGCGGTTTACTTCCATTCGTGACACTGAAATTCCAGATCCGAGGAAACTTTTCGAGTTGCATATAGAAGGGTATCACGTTGGGAAGGAATTCTGTGACAAACTAAAGGCAACAGCCTTGACAAATTCGATGGAGATCAAGACTTGTGCACCTGATTATTTCGCCAATATTATTGAATCTTTACCAGCCAGGCTGTTCACGGGGAATTCTATTTTCCTCAGTAACTGGTGCCCTTTCGAGAGACTTCGATCCAATGTTGATCACATTTTACGAGAAAGTACTGGACTCTATGTGGAGAAATGTGATGACAACGTTATTCCTAATTCTCTTGGTGTTGGCACGCTTTCCCTGAGGGTGAAATACATTGAATGGATCGCAGAGGTTTATGCCGATTCTCCAGATCTTTTTCAAGCTCACATCGTGCATCAACTCAAGCGTGCTTGTGAATTAATTAACGACGATTTTATTTTTACATTTACGATGCAAGACGAGAGTTTAAGTTCGCTTGCAAGGATCATCATGAAGGACCAACTAAAGTTCAAAACGGCTGACTTCTATCATAATAGGACACTGAGAGTCTATGAGACGGACATAACCGCAAAATCCCACCGTTAAAATGCCCCACTCACCCTATCCTGCTTTAAGACATTTCAAACCTGCTTTGCAGACTTGTCGCCAGTCTTCATTCTCCTCTTTTGCGCCAGTGAGTGCCGATTGCGTTGCATTGTGATAGCGTTATTATCAATATAGCCGAGAAATCGGCAGATTTTGACTGAATATTCCATAAAAGTTAGGCCGTTCCTTTTTCCTTTCACCATACGTACATGAAATTTGATTGATTATGATTGTGTAGAAGTATTTTTTGTACGTATTTGTCGCGTATTTTATGGTTCCCAAGGACAAACGCAATCACTGTTTTTTAGTATTTACTCTGAAAAACTTGAGACCAGTTTTCGAGAGGGTCAAATATGATGTACGTTGTAAAAAAGAAGACAAAGTTGGGAAGATTTTGTTCTTTAATTTGAAGACCTATCATATCACTCTCACTGATTGTAGTAGACTGACTGACAAACACTTTTCTATATCCGAAAAGGTTTCTCTTGCTACCTTTAAAACTAAACCTGACTAGTCAACAAGGCAATTTCCACCATTCATTCATTGTCAAGTTATAGTTCAACGTAAAGTATACAAATACTTTTGAATTCACTCTCTGTGATAAGTCTGTTAACTCCTCTACTGTTCTTTATTTTGATTAAGTTGTTCAGTTCAAGTTCAAATTCAAAATTAAAAATACTCGTTAAGTTCACTTTTAGACTGTGATAATTTTCGTAACTGCTCTTCTAAAATTTCCATTAATAACCAATTCTGTCCTTACCACAGTCTTTCAGGTTTGTACAACAATTTATCACATACCCCAACAAACCTATCATAAAACAAACTACGCGTGGTTCCTCATGAAATGACGAACCAAAGCCAAGCTAATCTAACGGCACCCTTTTCAAAAGTAAACATATGCAAATGTTCTAGACAACATCTTTGTTCCTGTGGCCTACCCAAATTCTTTAGCTTCGCATGTACCTCAACACCTTCGGGATGGCCCACAATGTCAACCTTTCCTAAATACCTTAACACGAACGCACTCATAATCTGCGATTATTTCTAGTAATAACAATAGTGTTTCAGATCGGTTATATCCGCCAAAGGCCTATCGTTGTGTTTAGTGTATTACGTTACACAGCGTTACTAATGAAAGGACATTTCCCATAAATACTCGGCTGTGTTGTAAATCTACTATTGTACGTACAAGCAAATTAACTAATCAAGAGTATTGTAAATCTGCTATCATTGAATGAAGGACATTTCAATCAGAATAGTAAAAGGAATCACTTGACCAACAGATAACTCTACATTGCGCAAGGCGACACGCCGGGGTAGGCCGGAAACCAAAAGGCAGTCAACCTTTAAAGGTGTTGATGGCTTGTGCGACTTCTGCCATTCTCTGGCGCTTTGAAATCTTCTGTCCTCAAAGTTTAACTGCTATAAGGATATCTTGCCGATTTTTCTTTGCGATGTGATAGTAAAAGTTAGTTTTAAAGTGTCTGTATGTTCTTGAGGTTCGTCAAAGCTGGATGAGATTGTGTTACGAAAGGCAATATAAATTTTTCTCTGTGTGTTTCTGTTGTTATTAAGTATGTTTTCTTTCCCGCAGAAAAAGTCTTCGAAGATACAATTGTCAAAACCTCCATAGAGGAATCCTCTTTTCATCAAGCATATTTTGAACTCTTTAAGTTTGGACATGGTTTGATGCTACTCTGGTTTAAAGATTTAATGAATGTAACCGAGAAGTTACAATTCATAGACCCAACGTTTCGACACTCCTGTCTGGTGTCTTCTCCAGGGGTGATCTAAACGCTGCAACAAGAAGTCGTTTTATACGCCCACTAATTAGCTACCCTTTTTTCGGACGAGGTGTAAATAGGCGTCAGGAAGTAAACCGCCATGATCACGATTCAAAGGAGCGTGGGCGGAGTTGATATGGCAGGCTTCCAAACAAAGGCCCCGTTGGTAACGCCAATTAGTGGTGATAATTTTGGATTTATCCCACCCAATTGTATGGTTGGTCAGGCATGTGTACTCCGATACAGCTGAATTTTCTTTTTTGCAAAAGAAGACCGCTTTTTTATGATCTTTCAAACGTGTCCAAACTGACTTTTAGTCTGTCCGATAGACTCGTTATCACAGTCATTGCGCGGAATAGAATAAATAGCGTCGGTTCGTTGTTCTTTGGAGACAGGATCCTTAGGTTTGGCAACTTCCTGACGCCTATCTACACCTCGTCAGAAAAAAGGGCATGTTGCAGCGTTTAGATCACCCCTGAAGAAGGCACTAGACAGGAGTGTCGAAACGTTGGGTCTATGAATTGTAACTTCTCGGTTACATTCATTAAATCTTTAAACCTCCACTTGAACTTTCATGTAAGTTTGTTATTAAACATAGAGCGTGACGAATTCGTTCTAAGCAGGCGAAGGGCCTCTTCTTTTACGAATTCCGTATTTACGCCAAGTAGATGACAAGAAAAAATGTTCGTGTAATTGAAGGTCTCTGTCTCTTTATGATGCGTTTAATTTATAACTCGCGTCTAGGAATGTAACCTCTGAATTTGATATTATTGACGTTGTTCACACAGCCATTAGCTGTGAGTGTAACTGCTACCATTTGTGTAGATTGTTAGGCAAGACTGCACTTTCGATTCTTTCTGGATCTCGTCGTCCCGGAGGAATGACAGGAGTCGCACAGGCCCGTAAATACGTTTTAACTTTCGGCAACCTTGAGCCCAGGGTCAAATTATATCATTGCTTTGCTTCTCTTTTTCTCTTGATATTTAGGAGGGATGTGGGTATTTGATTCATATGCATGTGTTTTCAGTAAACTCAGTAAGGGAAGGTACGTTTTTTCTTGGGGGGGAGGGCTGGGGAATTTTGGTATTTTTTCCAAAAGAAAGTGTTGGCCCTCCCTCATGTTTTGATTAAAAAACTCCTGACCCACCTCCCACTTTTAGGTGACTGACAAAAGTGTGACCCTCCCCTCACTACCACATGGTATGCTCCATGCCATAGAAATCTTAGAACATTTTTCGACATTTTGCTTGTAAACGCAAAATGTTTGAATATGAATAAATCTCGATATTGAATATGTGCGCGCTGAAACAAGAAAATGCGAACGATCAGTGTGGGATCCGGGCTTTACTTTTTTTTATATAGATGAAGTTTGAATATGGAAGTATAAATTCGAGGAATTAAAAAGCTTTGAACGTAGAAGGGAAAATACACGCGTTTCTTTCTCCGACAATTCAGCATTACCGATTGTTATTAAATTTAATCAGGTTTGTTTGTTTGTTTGTTTAGCCTGCAGTGGCTCGTAACAAATATTTTCTGCTGTAGGAAAATAAAACTTCTGCCATATAACTGAAGGATCATTATTAACGATACGATACGGAAAAGGACACGAGTACTCCGAGAAAATTATGTGCCATGGAATAATATACATGTAGACACCCAGTAACCTTGTAAAACTAGTACCTGCACCGAATTAAAAGAAACAAGTTGAAAAGAAAAAAACTTAGTCTGTTAAAGAAAAATGGAAAATAACATCACAAAAATCCCCATTAAAAATTCTGGAAAAGGTGTGACCCTCCCCTTGAATAGCTGAAAAAGGGGGTATGGCCTCCCCCTTTGGTGCTCACTTTCACTGATGACCCTCCCCCCTGAGGCCCCACCCCCCCCCCCAAGAAAAAACGTACCTTCCCTAAACAGATTCTCTCAGTTTTCTGCTCTTGTTCCTCAGACATTTCAGAGTTCGTACGGGTATTCTATTGGGTTCTCGATCACGTCTAAATACACGATAATGTCTCTGTAGCTTAACAGTAAATCGATGATTTGATATTGCATAACCCTCGATAGAACGTTCACTCATAATACTTCGCTCGTAAATTGATCTCTCATAAAGTTCAGCGACCCTTAGGTAGATGTTATTTTTCGAATGTTGATTTGGTTATTCAGTTTTTAGAAGAACAAACTTTCCTTTCTTTGTTTGTCTGACCTTCCATGAAAAGTGTTTCATTACAATTGATTTTCCTTTAACCGACTCTGAACTGCTTTATTTTCAATACAAAGTTAGGACTGCAGCTTACCTTTCTGCCGGAATCCTTTGGAGCTTTGAACAAAGTGAACTTCGTTTTCGTTTGTAATTCGTGGCTTCGACTAATTCTTTTAACGTTCTCAAAATCTTAGACGTAGCCAATTGGCAGAAATCGTAGAATCAAAATTTCCCGCCATTTTTCGACAACGCGGCAGTTTTCGTCATCACATCGAGACAGTCCATTCAGTTCACGGTTGATTTTTAGCTTTTCAACTTCCGGTAAATTCGTGCCATCCGAAAGTTTTCGTAACGCAACACCCAAAGCCGTGACTACCTTCTGGACGATATTACTTTGACGCGACCTAGGATCTGGGGTCGTATCAAGTCTTATTCTCTAATCGTATGCCGACGTTCGCCATGGATGCAGTTACTTTAACATTACGACCAGCTGATGCTGATGACTTCGATGAAATAGTGAAACTTTCAGAGGGAATTTACGCAGGACATGGTTATCTTCCGTTGATATTCCACCAGTGGCTTCAGAGGGACAACGTAGTTGGATTAAGGGCAAACTTCGTAGTAGATGACGGCCGCACTTTGATTCATCGAGCGGGACGCGTTCATCTAGATTATCGAGGTCAAGGTATTTTCAAACAGGTCGGCGAGTACTCCATCAAACATGCAAAAGAGCATTATCCTAATCTACAAAGAAAGCGGTTTACTTCCATTGGTGACACTGAAATTCCGGATCCGAGGAAACTTTCCGAGTTGCATGTAGAAGCGTATCACGTTGGGAAAGAATTCTGTGACAAACTAAAGGCAACAGTCTTGACAAATTCGATGGAGATCAAGACTTGTGCACCTGATTATTTCGCCAATATTATTGAATCTTTACCAGCCAGGCTGTTCACGAGGAACTCTATTTTCCTAAGTAACTGGTGCCCTTTCGAAAGACTACGATCCAATGTTGATCACATTTTACGAGAAAGTACTGAACTCTATGTCAGGGTCGTAACAAGGTATATGAGATCAGGGATCACAGCCCCGGGATCTGGGACACAACACTTGGGATCGGGATCAGCAGTGTTTTAGTGGAATCAGGGATCAAAATTGTGAACGCTTTTGGGATCAGGGATCAAAATTCCCAATGTTTTTGGGATCAGGGATTAAAATTCTCAACGTTTTTGTGATCAGGGATCCAAATTTGGGGCAAAAATACAGGATCAGTTATGAAAAAATATACCTTGTTACGACCCTGCTATGTGGAGAAATGTGATGACGACGTTATTCCTAATTCTCTTGGTGTTGGCGCGCTTTCCCCGAGGGTGAAATATAAGCAATGGGTCGCTGAGGTTTATACCGATTCTCCAGATCTTTTTCAAGCTCACATCGTGCATCAACTCAAGCGTGCTTGTGAATTAATTAACGACGATTTTATTTTTACATTTACGATGCAAGACGAGAGTTTAAGTTCGCTCGTAAGGATCATCATGAAGGACCAACTAAAGTTCAAAACGGCTGACTTCTATCATAATAGGACACTGAGAGTCTATGAGACGGACATAACCGCAAAATCCCACCGTTAAAATACCCCACTCACCCTATCCTGCTTTAAGACATTTCAAACCTGCTTTGCAGACTCGTCGCCAGTCTTCATTCTCCTCTTTTGCGCCAGTGAGTGCCGATTGCGTTGCATTGTGATAGCGTCATTATCAATATAGCCGAGAAATCGGCAGATTTTGACTGAATATTCCGTAAAAGTTAGGCCGTTCCTTTTTCCTTTCACCATACGTACATGAAATTTGATTGATTCTAATTGTTTAGAAGTATTTTTTGTACGTATTTGTCGCGTATTTTATGGTTCCCAAGGACAAACGCAATCACTGTTTTGTAGTATTTACTCTGAAAAACTTGAGACCAGTTTGCGGGAGGGTCAAATATGATGTACGTTGTAGTTTGAAGCCTTTTAAAGATATGAATGGCTGCTTTGATCCTTCTTTAACGACTCTGACTAAACGCTCTCCAACGGTACTCGTGTATTATGCATTGTAAGTGACAGAGAACGTAAACCCATGATGCCTGAGTATATGTATCCAAACCAGTTTGGTTTTATACCTAATTCCTGCGCTACTTTCGCACTCATCTCCATGCTGCATCACTGGCTTGGAGCCACTGACGGGAACGGCGCCTACGTTAGGGCAGCACTCCTAGACTATAAGAAAGCCTTTGATCTTGTAGATCACAACTTACTGATCGCCAAGCTTTACAGTCTAGGAGTAAAATCCACCGTTGTCAACTGGGTGATCGACTTTTTGCTTGTCTCAAGCTTAGCTCTGATCGTTTTACGAGCTTTACCCCAGTCCCCGCTGGAATTCTACAAGGTACCTGCATCGGCTCTTAGCTCTTTTTGGGTATGATTAATGACCTCGCTACCTCGAGCAAACCCCCTTTCTGGTATGTGGAAATTTGCCGACGACACCACGGTCTCGGAAATTGTTCCCAAGTCCGGTGCAACAAAGATCAAAGACACAGTGGATTATGTCCTTCGGTGGTCAAACGACAACAAATTCAAGCTGCACTCGTTAAAGTGCAAGGAACTCCGAATAGACTTTCGAACGAAACCGAACGAGGTCGCGTATAATTGAGGCCAATGGCAATGCCTTTGAAACCATTAAATCAGCAGAAGTAGTAGGCGTTATTATGAGGAGTGACCTAAAGTTGAATGATCATGTAGATAATATTACTGTGAAAGCAAATCTACTTGCTTAAGCAACTGAAGCGCGCTGGCATTGACCTCGTATCTCTAATTTACTTCCACTGCGCATGTATTCGTTCTGACTTAAAACATGCCTCTCAAGCTTTCCATTCTAGTTTACCAGTCTACTTGTCTGATCAAATCGAGAGGGTTCAGAAGCGAGTTTTAAGGATCGTTTTTAGGAATAGCCCATGTAGATAATCATCCTGAACTTCAAGGGCTCACCCAAGTAGAAGAAATACTCATTGCACGTGCCCTTCCTTTAATATCAGTTTTGTAAGGTGGACAAAGAGGATATTCAGGTCACTATATCAATTTGCCTCAGCATGTAGAGGAACTGACAAGTTCTTTGCCAAGATTGCCTAGAGAGCTGTCAGTTACAGTTGTTAGAGTTAAAAGCAAAGACAACAGTTTAAAAGATCTATTAGTTAGAAGGGAAAAGGTAGCAGATGCATTGCTGTGGCTTAAAAGCAATTATCCCTATTACAAAGATGTGAAAATTGATCAGTATTCTTTGAACTGTTTACCTAAGCATGGTATTCCACATGATGTTATCTCAGTTGAAATAGAAAATGAAGACAATCAATGTTCTGAGCCTGATCTTGGTCCTCAAAATGAAGAGGACATTGTTTATAATGAAGAAACAGAAGGGAATAGCCTTCTTCCCATTCCCCAGTGAGAACAATAAGAAATTAAAGCTATTCAGGAACAATTATCTTCAACCCAACACATGAGGTCATCTCTTGGCCAAAAGTAGATACTGACCCATTAAATGAGTACAAAACTCCATTTCTTGCAACAATGGCTTTCCCAACTTTGTTTCCTGATGGTAAGGGTGACCCTAAAAACCCATCTCTTCACCAAGGTGTACCACTTGGAGAAGCAATTAAACATCTTTTAAAATATGAAGAAAAGAAAGATGGCAAATGGATTTATCACTTTGCCTGCTACACCCTAGATTTTCGGGATCATGTGTACTATAGGTGGACTCGGTCGACATATCGGGCGACAGTCGACCGATATATCGGTCGACTATCGGTCGACTATCGGTCGACAATCGACCGACTATCGGTCGATAGTCGACCGATAGTCGACCGATTGTCGACCGATAGTCGACCGATGGTCAACCGATATATCGACCGACTGTCGGCCGATGCATCGGCCGATATGTAGCGATCAACTGCCGGTGAAGTATCGGTGAAGTATCGGTCAAGTATCGGTCAGGTATCGGTCAGGTATCGGTCAAGTATCGGTCAAGTATCGGTCAAGTATCGGTCAAGTATCGGTCAAGTATCGGTCAGGTATCGGTCAGGTATCGGTCAAGTAGCGGTCAAGTAGCGGTCAAGTATCGGTCAAGTATCGGTCAAGTCGGTCAAGTGTCGGTCAAGTGTCGGTCAAGTGTCGGTCAAGTGTCGGTCAAGTGTCGGTCAAGTGTCGGTCAAGTGTCGGTCAAGTGTCGGTCAAGTGTCGGTCAAGTGTCGGTCAAGTATCGGTCAAGTATCGGTCAGGTATCGGTCAGGTATCGGTCAGGTATCGGTCAGGTATCGGTCAGGTATCGGTCAGGTATCGGTCAAGTAGCGGTCAAGTATCGGTCAAGTGTCGGTCAAGTGTCGGTCAAGTGTCGGTCAAGTGTCGGTCAAGTGTCGGTCAAGTAGCGGTCAAGTATCGGTCAAGTATCGGTCAAGTATCGGTCAAGTATCGGTCAAGTATCGGCCAAGTATCGGTCAAGTATCGGCCAAGTATAGGTTCACTTACCGACCATATCGCTTAGAAGAAAATAGGCTAAGAAAGAGTGCGAGGTTTTTTCGATATATGTTCCGATTTGGTAATGGAAAAATACATCGTAAAGTTGGTCGCTCTTGTGTAACTAATGTTGTGCCTTAACGTATTTCTATTATTCCTAAAACTACCCGGCTTATGCTTTATCCCTGATGTCATGCTGCCCTTAATCCAACATACCTAAAATGATTATTATTCCTTAGCTCCTATAGCTCTAACAGGTCCTCAACGTTATATTGCTTGTACAACGTTAACGATATTAACTGTCCAGTTTATGTCGGTAATGGGATCCACCTAAATTGTATCAGCTAAAATTGCAGTGTGTAACTGCCCAGCTAAACGAAAAGTAAATGATCTTTTGAAACTGAACTAGGCGGTTAAACTCATAAGCAAATCGATTTTATAAAGACTTTTTTTTTGCAGTGCGAGGTCAGCCGTTGTTTGTTTGTTTTTTTTATTATTGTTATTTTACCTAGAATAGGGCGTCTTTTTGGGGGTTTGGGCCTTAACAACGGTATCAATTTTTTTATCCTTAAATAGGGAACTCCGCGGTACCCACCTATCGGAAATACAGTACTAATCCGCTTCTAAGAACCTAGAATTCACGAACCTGTTAGCCTAAAAATATCAATTTAGACCCCCTTTACATAAGAACCTATTTAGCCTAAATTTAAAACAGGTTCCTGTTTTAGAAAATAAACCTTAAAGATCTACAGGCAAAGATAAAAGACATGACTCTCAAAAGTAGTGAACTTAAACATGTATGAATTATAAAAATCTCTAAATTTGGTATAAATAATGTATGAAAAACGGTAGTATGTACATGTTGGTTTTGAATCAGAATTCACATGAGTACACCCTATGAGTACATTTAGAACTGAAAACTCCGATTCTTATAAGCGGGTAAATACTGTAGTTTGACTTACTAAAACGAAATCAAGTCTGCAATGAATATCTGGTTGTCTTTGCCTCCAGATACCTCTTGCCATTTGGATTAAAAATTCTCCAAACATCGCATAGCTCCAAATTTTCCATCGCATTTTGCACTACCTTTAAAGCGTTCTGATGTGTTCTGGCGATGCCATTTTTTCAGAGAAAATTGAGAGAGTAAAAACATCCTAAGCAGCTGGTCTGCTCGGAGACTCACTCTTCTAGGTAAAATCACGATAATAAAAGCTTTGGCAGTATCCCAAATTGTACATGTTTTAACCTCTCTTCCAACGCATCAGGGTGCACTTAAGGAAATCGATACCCTGCTATATGACTTTCTCTGGGAAAGCAAAGGGGACAAACTTAAAAGGACACAAATGATCAATGATTACGATAAAGGAGGCCTCAAGATGATAGATATTCAAAGCTTTAATAAATTGCTAAACAAAAAGTGGGTAAATGGAAACTTCTCGTAGACTTCCACCTCCAGAAGTGTAGGGGAAAGTAATGTTTTTAAAGTGTTACTACGATCAAACTATCCATATCCATTTTTATGATTTCGTGTAAAATGTGACTGTCTAAAATACCTTGCCAAATTTCAATCCATTACGACCATCAGAAACCTTTTTTTTTTTTTTTTTACTTTTATTTCCGAGAAGTTGCGGTCGTTATTTCTTTATCTCGTTATAATTATAGCCTGGTTGAGAATTAGAGAAAATGACGTCAAATGCTCAAAATACCTCGCGTAAAATACCTCGCGTAAAATAACTCGAGTGTGCTGGACCATTGCAATGTTTGAATTTATTATAGGTACAGTAAAAAAAACCTTCTCAAGAACCTAGATTTTAAGGAAAAAAATAGATTAACTGAAAATCTTAGACTAAAATTGCCCATTAAGACCCTTTTTACATGAGAACCTGTTTTAGCCTACAACTTTGAAACAGGTTCTTTTTTTTTTGAAAATTCAGTCAAAGCAACAACACAGTTCCATGTATTAATGTTGCGTTTTGTTCTGTTTATCTTGGATAGCTTTGTAAACTTGGTAAATATATGCTTGGATTTTTAACATATTATGTATACAATACCAAAAAAATAGGCCACGCCCTCCAATGACAAACAACTCATTTATTTTGAAAACTAGACTGCGAGCAGAGGGCGCGATCGACGAGCGGTGAGCGGCCAAGCTGCGATCTCTTTTCGCTGTGACTGACGCCCCTGCTGCTCGCAGATCACGGCCTCGCCCCTCATCGCTCGTCGATCACGTCCGCTTTTTCCCCGTTCGTTCCAGTAGGATTTCACAGCAAAAGAGACTGCTCGCAGTCTATTTGAAAACAAGAACCTGTTAAAGAACCTGAGTAGCCAAATTTTCCAGTTAAGCACCATCTTTTATAATAACCTTCTTAGCCTTGCTTGGAAAAAAATTAGGTTCCTATTAGTGGGTTTTTACCGTATATGCTTCTGAGTCTAAAATTGAAAAAAACCAAATTTCACCAATGTTGCACTAAGGTCACAGGAACTGTCCTGTTTCGGGGGAGGGGGGTACTCCCGTAAATTTTGAATAAGTGTGTGCCTCGAAGAGTCTTGAACCCTGTCCCACTTTAAGGATGAAACAAACGAAAATTGTCCAAACACGAAATATGACACCCTATTCAAGGAAAAACAATAACCAAACAACGGCTAACCACGTGCGGCAAAACACAAATCTCGATAAAATCGCTTTGTTGACAATTTTAGCGGAATTTGCTTTTTGTTTAGCTGGCCATTTACACACTGCAATTTTAGCCGATACAATTTACATATCCTATCTAAAGATCACAACGGAAACACAATGCTAACAGAGGCAAAACGATAACCGCCAAAACCATACCCTATCCCGCGGCACATACATGTATATGGGAGTACCCCCACCTCTGGGTATTTAAAGTGGATATTGTTCTGCAATGTCCTCCATCAACCGTCCAAAACAGCCATTCGGGTGAAGCTCACCATGCCATCTTATCCACATGAATTCCTTAAGGTATTCTTGTAGGAAGTTAGGATTTGTGTTCCCTTTTTTATCTTCTTAAATTTGTCCTTTGCTGCAGACCGATTGCTCTCTGCGTGTTGTGTGTGGACACCGTTGATTGGGTCTACAAAGTTAACCGAGTGAATAACCGTTTGATGATTGAAACCCAAGACCCTTTGCATTTGCCTGTATGCCGCCCATTCATCAGTATAAACCAAAGAGCCTGGTTGTACGTGTCTTTGGATAATATTCAAAAGAGTACGCGCATCTCGCCTTCTCACAAGCTTTAAATACGGTCGAGTGGGGTCATACTGTGTGTCAAAAAGCCCAAGAACCCATCTCTCTCCTCGAGGTCGACGTCCCCTTTTGAACTGTGCTTAAGAAGAGACAAATTTCATTAAAACGTGTTGAATATATAGAAAAAAATTAAGAAAGACTGTTTCCTAGCAGGTGCAGGACATAAGTGGATATTATAAACTGAAATACGGTTGATGTAATGTTTCGTATGTATTTTAGTTGATATGTTTTCTGTTGTAAAAAAGACCTGAATGAAATACAATGTATACGAGGCATCGAGGTGAATCTCTTTATGGGCACATTTCTTGATGACACATTAATTGTTAACATTTTCAAGGTAAAATGCGCACAGTTTTTGCATTTTGGCTCTAATCTGGCTACAGGTTTTGCCGAAGATTTTGGTAATAATTCGGATGGCGCTATTTTTCTGTTGAAGTCACTACGGTGAGATCGACTTGCTGGGATGGAAGAGAGGAGAATAAAACGTGCTATAGCCATTCGCGAGAAGAAGATAAGGTGCAAATAAGCTTACATTTGTTCAATTGATCTTCAAAGGATAGTGACTAAAACAACACACGAGCACTACGAGTAACATACAAGTACATACGAGTAATTACGAGTCATACGGGCGCACACAGATACATATGAGTAACATAAAAGTAACATACGAATACATGGAGTAACACACAGATAACATAAGGTCAAATGTGGGTAATACGCATGAAATCTGCTAAGTAAAATACAAGAAATTGGACCTTTAACGGAAATCGTCGATTTGTTCTTCACTGCTCGGTATGGAGAGAAATTAGCATTTGAGGGTGTGTGTGTCTGCATGTGTGATGGGGGTGGGGGGGCTGGGAAGAGACCTTCCTTAATGCTTCCTGTGAGCCTATTACTGCATAAAATAGCAATAACAAAACTAATAATAAATTCGAATACTATTCAATCCAGTAGGCTGAACAACAACGCTGATTTCCTACGGTTACCACCCTCCCGAGGTAATACCCGGGACAAGATCGGCCCTTGTGACCCTAGGGTGGAAAATGTTTGAAGTTTTCAGTTTTTCCCGTGGTTAGGGGGTTGGGCAACTTCAAATAACTACCCACACAAAGACTCCTGGGGCGAAACGAGATATGTATTATTTTATTATTTTTTATAATTATTTCATTATTTCTCATTTCTTTTATTTTCATCGTATTTCTTATTATTAATTTATGTTATTTCTATTTTATGCAGCAATAGGCTCACACGAAGCACACGCAAACACCCCCCTCAAATGCTAATTTCTCCCCACACTACCCCGTTTTGTACATATGATATCATTTGCACATTTATCGCGATTGACTACCTAATTTACCCCGACCTGCTCTCGTGCTGGTCTCGTAGCTCAGTCGGTAGATCTAATTCGGAGGTCGTGGCTTCAATCCCCACTTGGTCAAATTTTCTTTGCCCCGTGAGGACTCCCAAATTTCCTTTAAAAGGGTAGTAACCTAGGGGGATTTATTGTATCGGCAGTATTGCCTTCTTACAGCACCCAAACATTTATTTTAAAAAAATTATAATTTATATTACGGGTGCTTCGCGGTTCACATTCTATATCTATATCATTTGAACCAATGAATACACCGAGCAGTAAAAACAAATCGAATGTTTCCGAGAAAGGTCCAATTTCTCGTATTTTACTTTGTTTTTACAAATCAAAGGAAAGAAAGTCAATTACGCTTTCGCTAAAATGCATGCGATCAAAAACCATTTCCCATTTGAGTTTTGGAATGTAATTTTTTTTTGGATGACAAACTGCAGTTACCAGTATACATCTTGTATTACGGAGGACAGTAAGGAAATTAACCAATGTTTTTTAAAACACTTGCACACAGCCATTGTTTTGCTCCATTTTGTCGGACAAATATCTCGAAAAAGTGGATTTACAAAGCTACGGAACCTAATACGATCTATATTTTCAACCGTCACCACCATTTAGTACACCAGCGTTGAAGACTATATCATCGGAAAATGAAATTTCCTTACTCGCGGTCCAATGGGAACAAACAGTGTTAGAATTGTTTTGACGTTTACTAAAAACACACGCTTGATATAGAATGAAATAGAAATCAAAACTTTATGGGTGCGGCTGGAAGTATTGCGAGTTCACTCTACCGACGTCCCGTTTGCCGTCATGTCTCAAACTGGAGGTTTTTAACCCTTTAAATAGTCGAATTGTGTGCTCTTTATCGACAGACGGTGACACTTTTTTTTAAAGAATAATGACAGCGGCGGCGGAAAAAAAAGTTAAAATGCCATTCATTGTCCAATGAAATAAGCTTCCAAAGCACAGATAATAAAACCAAATATAACCTAACCTTTGAAAAGGGTGTAGTAAGTCTCCAACGCAATAAACATCGTGCGTTGTAGATCTCATAATTTTGATCTACTGTAAGTGAACACAGATCCTTAATTCTCACACCACATCTACATCTCCGGAAAAGTAACAGGCAAAGTCAATAGGTTGAATATACTTGAAAAACTAGAGAGGGTAAAGGACCGTGCACTTATGTATGACATGTATTTATAGCAAAGACCCTTCATTAAGAAAGAATGCTCAATTTGATTGGTTTACAAAACACATTAAAGGGTCGTCTCACCCAAGATATGTTAATTACGATAGACAGATGTTTTCAAAAGAAGACACCCACCACTACAGCTAATTCATTTCAAGTAAAGAACACGTATCGTAATTAAAGGGGCACAAATATGCTTTGATACCTAAAGTTAGATGTACAAAACATGGTCTAAGGTCTCTTCGTTACTTCGCCGCTGTAAGGACTTGGAATTCGCTGCCGGAGACGATACGCGCTATGGCCGGCACAAGAGAAATTTAAAACTGGATTCCAGACACGCAATTTACATCTAAATTATGAGGTAATCATATTACTTATTAGAGTTTTATATCTTTTATTGTGGAATAAACCCTCCCCCCGGGGGGCAATGAATTATCGGCCAAGTATCAGTGAAGTATCGGTGAAGTGTCGGTCAAGTATCGGTGAAGTGTCGGTCAAGTATCGGTGAAGTGTCGGTCAAGTATCGGTCAAGTACCGGTGAAGTATCGGTCATGTATCGGTCAAGTATCGGTCATGTATCGGTCAAGTATCGGTCGTGAATCGGTCAAGTATCGGTCAAGTGTCGGTCAAGTATCGGTCAAGTGTCGGTCAAGTATCGGTCAAGTGTCGGTCAAGTATCGGTCAACTGTCGGTCATGTAGCGGTCATGTATCGGTCATGTATCGGTCAAGTATCGGTCAAGTATCGGTCATGTATCGGTCAAGTATCGGTCATGTATCGGTCAAGTATCGGTCAAGTATCGGTCAAGTATCGGTCAAGTATCGGTCATGTATCGGTCGAGTATCGATGGTTTAAGACTATATCGGTCGACACATTTATCGGTCGACTGTCGGCCGATATATCGGCCGACTATCGACCGATAGTCGGTCGACAGTCGACCGATAGTCGGTCGATTGTCGGCCGATAGTCGACCGATAGTCGACCGATGTATCGGTCGACTGTCGCCCGATATGTCGACCGAGTCCACCTATAGTACACATGATCCGATTTTCGTACTGGGTTTTGAATATGATTTAGAGAAAGCGCATTCTGCAGCAAAGGGAATACTTCTTAAACAGAATCCAGGTCAAGCATATCTTACAATAGAAGAGCTTCAGCAAATGGCAGCCAATAACAAATTAACTAAAGTATCATGCTATCGCGGTAATATTAGTGAATCACATTCTTACTGGTTCAAAGCAAGAGAAGATTTAAAAGCAATCATTAGCCATGTTGGACCACCAACTTTATTTTACATTTTCATCAGTTGATATGCACTGGCCTGAATTACACGCACTCTTTGGTAGTGAAAATGATCGCACAGCTGAGCACAGGCATCAGAATGTTATAAGCAATCTTCATATTACTGATTGGTTTTTCGCTTAACGCTTGGAAAATTTTATCAAGTTTTGGTTGTATAATTCACTGGATGCAGAGTGGCACTGGTACAGATTTGAATACCAAGCAAGGGGAGGTATTCATGGCCATAGAGTTGCTAAACTTGAAAATGATCCAGGGCTATGTACACTGTTTGAAAAAGCTCTTAAAGGCTATTTAGCTGAGATGCCAGTAAATAATGCGGACCCAGCTGATTTATTAGTGGTCCGTCGGATGAAAACCAAATTACGAGGCTCTGAAGAATCCCGAATCGTATAAATTTTACAAGAATTTTATTCGATCTGAAACAATAAAATAAATAAGATTCCTAAACAACAGAACCTAACCAAAAATAAGAGACCTAAGCACATCATATAATCTTAAAAACACGAACAGATTTAACCGCTAATTACATGCGGTCTTACAGAAATTACACTCACAGAAATCAACGCGAATAATTGAATGTAACAAAGCCTAAGGAAACCAAAAACGACTTAAAACAACTGACTTACTTCGTGACGGGATTCCAGAGTTAAACTAAACTGTGTAATCATCAAAAACGGGAAAGCTATCCTGATTCATACCTCCGACACGACACGTGTAAAAACTAACTAAAAACCATCAACTTACTCATATTTCAGTGTCAATCAAGGTGATCAATAAGTGAAAAGAAAAAGTGAAATATTAAACTAAATAAACTTTTAAACGTAACGCAAATGCCACGCGAGCAATGTTCTTCTCGAAACAATCAGAACTAAATTGACAGAGTTGTGATGGTATAAAAGCATCAGAGATTGTCTGCTAGTAAGTGACTTTTTGGTATCCACATACCATCCAAACCCTTCAGACAATGGTACTTGGAAAAAACCGTCAATTCATCCATGTCAGAAACATCACAATGACATAAAGAATACTGATAATGATTACATTGATTTACTAAATACTGTCCAACGACACACTCACTGCAGTTCAAATTACTGTCTTAGAAAAAGACAAAATGATTTAGACCTTCAGAGTAGGTTTAACTTTCCATTTGAACCTTGCTCATGAATAAAGCTTCAATTTGAGCCTATACATTCAAAAAAAAAAACCTAAACAATACAACGTGAAGATAATAACAAAGAGAAATGACGCTAGACTTGATAATCACCAACGTCTTCAACTGCAGGGCTGGAGAGCTGACTGTGACATTCAGGTAGTCATTGATTATCATGCCTGTATTGAATACCTTGCCAAATATCCATCAAAAAGTGGGCCACGTTCCTCTATCATGAAATCTGCATTCAATTCCACTTTCCGTAACTGTAACATTGAAAGCAATCCCACAAAACTGATGAAAAGGTAGTAATGAAGTCACTTGGGCAAAGGGACTTTTCTGCACAAGAAACGATGCATTATTTACTGTCACTGAAATTGGTCAGCTCATCCAGTGGAATACCCATTAGTTTAAATGGATCTCATAAAATAAAAGCAAATTCTCCTGAAGGTGTAAGAACAAATGACTAACTTCTTGATGTTTATGCTAACCGTGCTGCGTATGCTAAAGAAATTCCCAATATGCTGAATTCAATTTTCATTACTTTTGCTACAAAGTACAAATTTGTCAACAAAAAAACTTGCAGCACAGGCAGATAATATTGTTCTTGAGGTTTTTCCGGTGTACTCCAAAAAACAGAAGCCCAAATTTGTCCCTTTACTGTAAATAACAGCTGATCATATATAAACCCTGGCAGGGAACCCAAGAAAATGCTTGGGGTAGTCAACCAGGTATTGATAAAATTTACATCACTGAATCAAATATTTTTAGAAACCCCATACGCAAAGGAACATGTTACTGATTGGCATGATAAGTTAAACACTGTTCAGAATTACAAGAAATATGACACTGAAATTGAACCTACTACAAAAGAATTAACTTCCTCAACACAAGGAGCAGATTCTTTTAGCAGATCTTGTTCCTGGATTATGTGCTTCAAATATTCAATCACAAAAGATTAGTAACTCAGATAAATAAAAAAAATGTCTTTGTGGTTAAAAATCAACAGGGATACATCAACTCAAGAAAGTTTTGTTGCGAAGGGAAAATGTTGATGTCAGTACTTTTAGTGATATGCAGAAGCATGCCTATAAGGATTGCTATAAACAACACAATGCTCACAGTACAAAGAAGTTACAAATAAAACAAAACAATAGTAAGTCAAACTATAGACTTTCCTAACAGCCTATCATAACAAAAAACAATCAAACAAAAAGTCTAAACACCAAAATGGTCTGTCAGACTTAAACATGATTAATTGCTTGATATTGTATTGATATTGTATTGATATTGTAAGGAGAAATTCTGTCTTGGTCACCCATGGGAGTTAAAGGGTTAATGAAACTTGAACAAATGTAAAATCATATCAATCTGTTGAAACCAGTTTTAATCAAGATCACTTTGATCTGAGATTTAATTCAACCCCTCCTTTTCTGTTTGGTAGATTCCTAGGAGGAATGCCTTTAAGTTGGGGAAAAGCTCTTTCGCGTCGAAGGCACTGGTCCATAAACTAAGATGACAAATCTGAGTTACCCCTTTTTTTCTGATACTTTATTTCATGGTGTAAGAGGCGTGGTGGCCTCATGGTTCGCGCGCTTGACTCCAGATCAAGTGGTCCAGGTTTGAGCCCTGGCTGGGGCTGTGTTATGTTCTTAGGCAAGACACTTTTCTCTCACAGTGCTTCTCTTCACCCAGGTGTAGAAATGGGTACCAACAAATATGCTGGGGGTATCCCTGTGATGGACTAGCATCCCATCCAGGGGGGAGTAGCAACACTCCTAGCCACTTCATGCTAAAGGAAAGCAGAGTTAAGTGCCAGCCCCACGGGCTACTTGGGCCTGTATAAGCACCAGCCCCATCATGGGCCACTTGGACCTGTATAAACTGAAGCTTTACTTTTTATTTCATGGTATTTTTAATTTCTAAAATTTCCCTGGACTGGTGTCCAAACATACTGTTATTTATATCAATTTTTAAACCAAAAGTTATTAACATCAGCAATAAAAATATTTTTACCTCCATGAGAAATCTTTGTAATCCAAGAAAATTCCATTTACTGAGGTTGTTCTTTCTCCTTGGCCAACCTTGAAAAACAAAATTGTATTTGTCAAAGGAAATGAACACCTCAAACTTATATCAGATTGGAAAATAACAAACATATTTGTTGTGAAATAAACACATACTGTAAACAAATCTCCCATAGCTGCAATGACCTAGAAATCTGAAGCATAAAGCTGGTGAACTATTTTGTGACAAAGCAAAATAAAGACAAATGAATATAAAAGACTGCAATAATGATTAAGTTAAACCGTTTAATTACTGTAGGTTACCAAGACAGAATTTCTCCTCAATTTATAAATACTAGTCAAGCAGATGAGTGATGAGAAATTTAGAATTTAAGGGAATTAGTTGATTTACCATATTCTCAGAAGTAGCATTATAATAATTGGATGGCAGACAGCAAGGAGAACTACTAAAGGAGATTTTAGGAGCAAAAGAGATAAGTAGCAAAAGCAGCAATGTAAAGCAAATGATTTGGTTCTTAAATTAAATGTTTCAACTTTAACATAACAGGTGTAATTCATTTCTTCCATATCCACAAGTCCAAGTATTTACAACAGCGCTGGTTCTTTGCTGCAAGATACTTATAATTTATAAATTAAGCTTATCATGGGTTGATCTAACCATATAATACCCACTTCTCACCTGAGTGCCAATACTTTAACCATTAACTCCCAAGATCTCATTAGTAATTCTCCCTACTGTCTGCCATAAAAATAATACTTATCATCTCAATTTGGAGAATTTAGTATTGGATCAACTTGTAGTCCCCTAACTGAGTTTTCATCTTTATTCTCCTCACTAGTATGCTTGATTCTGAGTTGATATTCAAAGGAGAAATTCTGTCTTGGTCACTCATGGGAGTTAAAGGGTTAAAAGATCAAGCTAGAGGCAAAAAATTGGCAACTGGCCATGCAAATTCTATATAAACTAGTTTTTTAAAGAAATTATTGTCTTGGATACAGGATAAATGGGTCAGACAAAGTCACAAATGGCTTAAGTATAAGCATCTGATTGGTTGCCAAGACTTGTACCACTCTGCACCAATCACAAAACAAAGTGTTACATACTGAGTTAATAACAACCTGTTGTTGCCGAATGCTCTGAATTCTGCTGCACAGGGCAGTTTTCATTTGTTCCAATAGGCTGTTCAAGAAACAAAAACAAAAAAAAGTTATTATCAATAATCATGAAAGATGATGATGATTGAAAACTATAATTTGTTGTTACATAAAGTTAACCAACTCAAGATTTGTAACAGTTTCAGCACTTAACAATTTTTTTCCATAATAATTTACTAATTCAAGATTAAAGCTTAAAAAATTCCTCACTTACAGCAGAGGCTAGTTAAGTTACAGTATATTAAATTCAACTTCAAGAGATTTTGTTCATCTCTCCATCCATTTATCCCAGATTTATCTTTCATGTAAGAGATGCAGGCATGTAGCTCAATCACATTTACCACATTAACATTACCACAAATATTTAAATCTCGTAACTGTTTACTGTAAACAACAATCGACGAGATTACCACAACGCATTTCCAATTTGAATCGCCAAAATCCCTAGGCTGACTACCTTACGTAAAAAGAAGCGTTTTTGAAGAGTTTTTATCGTCAAAAAGTGAACACGTACCGTTAATAAAGAGAAATGAATTCAAAACAGCTAGTTTCCAAGCATTTGACTGGGACGCCATCCTGCACTGGTCGTTAACAAAGTCGTCGTTGCTTGGTCGGTGAGCATCGGCTCTATCGTTTTCGTCGTCGGCTCGTGTTCGTGATTGTGGACAATCCGCGCCTTCTGGATCTGTATATTGTCAGCGGCAACGCCAAGGCCAGGCGCCGATTCAGTCTCACGGTAGAACCTCGGTTCATATTAAGCCTTATTCCGTTATTGTATGCCGACGTTAGCCATGGACGCAGTTGCTTTAACATTACGACCAGCTGATGCTGATGACTTCGATGAAATAGTGAAACTTTCAGAGGGAATTTACGCAGGACATGATTACCTTCCGTCGATATTACACCAGTGGTTTTAAAGGGACAACATAGTCGTCTTACTTGCCCATTGTGGCGTTAGACTCGTCGGATTAGAGGCATACTTCGTCGTAGATGATGGCCGCACTTTTATTAATCGAGCGGGACGCGTTCATCCAGATTATCGAGGTCAAGGTATTTTCAAACAGGTCGGCGAGTACTCCATTAAACACGCAAAAGAGCATTATGCTCATTTACAAAGAAAGCGGTCAACTACCATTGGTGACACTGAAATTCCGAATCTAAGGATACTTTTCGAGTTGCATATAGAAGCATATCACGTTGGGAAGGAATTCTGTGACAAACTAAAGGCAACAGCCTTGACAAATTCGATGGAGATCAAGACTTGTGCACCTGATTATTTCGCCAATATTATTGAATCTTTACCAGCCAGGCTGTTTACAAAGAACTCTATTTTCCTCAGTAACCGGTGCCCTTTCGAGAGACTTCGATCCAATGTTAATCACATTTCACGAGAAAGTACTGAACTCTACGTGGAGAAATGTGATGATGATGTTATTCCTAATTCTCTTAGTGTTGGCACGCTTTCCCCGAAGGTGAAATACATAGAATGGGTCGCTGAGGTTTATGCCGATTCTCCAGATCTTTTTCAAGCTCACATCATGCATCAACTCAAGCGTGCTTGTGAATTAATTAACAACGATTTTATTTTTACAATTACGATGCAAGACGAGAGTTTAAGTTCGCTCGTAAGGATCATCATGAAGGACCAACTAAAGTTCAAAACGGCTGACTTCTTTCATAACAAGACCCTGAGAGTGTATGAGACGGACATAACCGCAAAATCCCAACTTTGAAATACTCCACTCACCCTATCCTGCTTTAAGACATTTCAAACCTGCTTTGCTGACTCGTCACCAGTCTTTATTCTTCTCTTTTGCACCAGCGAGTGCCGATCGTGTTGGGTTGTGGTAGCGTTATTTTCAATGTAGCTGAGAAAGTTGTTGATGATCTTAATGTGGCCTTTCTTGGTGCCTCTGCAAGGTATATGTAGTACATGTATTGAAAGAAACATTCTTACTCCTTTGGCAAGGGACTGTCAACTTCCTTTTAAGATGTACAGTCAGTATTAATCCTTTGGCTCCAATGAGTGACTAAGGCAGAATTTCTCCTTACAATATCAATACAATATCAGGTATGCAAGTAATGAGAATAAAGAAAAATACCAGTCAAGAAATTCTGAGTTCAACCACTACCAAATTCTCTGAACTAACATCACAAGAATTTTATGGCAGACAGTAGGGAGAGTTGCTTATAAGAACCTTGCTAAGATTCTTATTAAGATTCTTATCACATCTGCCTTATCGCAAGTAAACCACTCAAAAGATCCATTATATCCACGTGTTGGGTACTTTAAGAAGACACCTCTGACAGAAACAGAGAGGTAATCCTTTCGTATTTATCTATGAAGTTGTGACATACTAAATCCTCCTTTTCTGTCTCCCGAACTTTGACACTGATTTTATCAAGCAATCAACAGGGATTGAAATACTTGAGGAAGCTTGCCATAGAAATTCTGAGGTTCTTAAGTATGAAGGTTTTATATGATACTGTAAAAACCATCCCTCGACCCAGGCCGCCTCGTCAACACTAGTTATTTTGCGCTCTGCATGCTAATTTATTATTCAGTCTGCGAGTCACATTGTTCGAGTTAGTTATCAGTTGTCCGTTGTCAGTCAAGTTTCGCAGTCAAATTTCGCTTCTACGGCCCTTATCCCGTCACGTCTGGTACGTTCTTTATTCTAGTTGTGTTTGCTTATTAGTTTATGCTTCCTTGTGTTCGATTTCCCCAAGTAATTTTATTTTATTCATCTATTTAGAAACCACATTGGCAATTACGTAACTATGGTGAGACATTAAATCGAAGTGAAAACCTATTGCTGGTGTGCGTCGTCTATAGATACTACATTTACAGCTGGTTTGTGATAAGCATTTTTTTTAATTACAATATACATGCGTGTCATTCAAAATTCCATGTTAATATATTTTTGTCCAATTTACTAAGATCAGAAACATTCAATAGAGTTTAACGCATTCAAATTGAAAATTTTTACCAATATAAGGATAGCTACATTCTGTTTTATATTTAGTTGACAGAACATGCAAATACTGAATTAAAAAAGGATGAAGTATATATGCTATGGGTTGCATCACAGACAAGCCTTCCAGCTGCAAAAGCAAAATTTATTATGTTACTACCTACTTGTGGTATTAAAGCATGTGCTAAATATCAGTTTCTAGAGGAGAATGATGAACAGTGCAGAAGCCTATGTGTACAGAAACCTGGAACTGCTGGCTTTTATGTCTTACATGTTACAAGAAACAGCACCAAGTTTTCAGCTAGAACAGCTTATTAAAGGAATAATAGGTTGAGCTCCTGACTAGCTTGATTTTATGGCCACTGTGAGTGTACTGTTGTACAAGAAGATGGAAGTCAAGTACTTCCGGTGTGTGTGTGATATATGGTTATGTGATGAATGCCAATGCTGAGAGCTGAACCTTGTCCCAAAAACTCATGGTATGGAACACTCCAATCGTAAGGTATCATTTCAATAACTACAGGCAGTATTTAAAAAACAAGATAAGCAAAAAGTTGTAACAGATTGAAAGAAATATCATTTTTACTTTATCTTTCTTTTTAGTGAAGCAATGACTTCACCCTAACAACATCAACAGGGACAGTGGAATATAAATTCCTGAAGCGTGGATGCCCACGATCAAAAACACAACAACCGGAGAGACGTACGACAGCGGACTGCCGAGGATCGAAACGCGCCAATCACAGCTGTGGAAAAAACAACCAGTTACAGCGGAGCATCCTGCTTTATAAGAATGCCCGAAACCTGTCGATCTTATCGCCTGATGAAGATTGGCAGTATGCAGTCGAAACGTCGCGATGCACATCATAAGGGACGACATCATGTGACAAACGTTAATACTTTATTAATAAGACTTGAACTAAAAGTTGTAACGGACTGAAAAAATAAATTTTACTTCATCTTTCTCTCTAGGGAAGAAAATATATAATTTTATTCTTGAAACATCACAAGCTTCAAATTTGCCAAATGTGAACCTTCCATATTTTTTTTTCTTCATAAAAACAACCAACCCCTAACTTTGATTAACCAAACTGAATCATGTAATAGAAAGAGGCTAAAGCAAACTCAGAGCTTGTGTTTTCAAGGTTCAAATTATATCATTGCTTTGCTTCTCTTTTTCTCTTGATATTTAGGAGGGATGTGGGTATTTGATTCATATGCATGTGTTTTCAGTAAACTCAGTAAACAGATTTTCTCAGTTTTCTGCTCTTGTTCCTCAGACATTTCAGAGTTCGTACTGGTATTCTATTGGGTTCTCGATCACGTCTAAATACACGATAATGTTTACGTAGCTTAACAGTAAATCGATGATTTGATATTGCATAACCCTCGATAGAACGTTCACTCATAATAGTTCGCTCGTAAATTGATCTCTCTTAAAGTTCGCGGACGGCGGGTCTACCCCAAACTGTGGTTACCCATGTACGTGTTTTTAGCGTCTTACACTCCATACTATTCACTCTTTCTTGGATCATCAGCGACAACACCTTCGATAAATCCGCCATTCCTCAACCATATGCGCATTCTACGCTGACTACGCATGCGCTTCAACACGTACCCTCACAAGTGCGCTTTAATGTGGCTGCACGACAACACCAAAAAGAAAGCCCAATTTACAACTCGGGGCATTCTGCGAAGCCCGAGTAATGAATGCATCCAGATATTATATGGATTACGTTTCAAACAAAAAATATATATTTTCTTTTTTTTTCACCTTTATCGGTAGAACTCTGACAAAAAGTTCGCGTTTAATATTTGTGGTCAAGTCTTGATCGCCTGTTTGTCTGACCTTAAAGCTAAATACCTTTTGGTGGATGTTAAATGAAACAGCGACCCTTAGGTAGATGTTATTTTTCGAATGTTGATTTGGTCATTCAGTTTTAGAAGAACAAACTTTCCTTTCTTTGTTTGTCTGACCTTCCATGAAAAGTGTTTCATTACAATTGATTTTCCTTTAACCGACTCTGAACTGCTTTATTTTCAATACAAAGTTAGGACTGCAGCTTACCTTTCTGCCCGAAATCCTTTGGACCTTTGAACAAAGTGAACTTCGTTGTCGTTTGTAATTCGTGGCTTCGAATGATTCTTTTAACGTTCTCAAAATCTTAGACGTAGCCATAATTGGCAGAAATCGTAGAATTGAAATTTCCCGCCATTTTTCGACAACGCGGCAGTTTTCGTCATCACATCGAGACTTTTAGCGTTTCACCTTCCGGTAAATTCGTGCCACCCGAAAGTTTTCGTAACGCAACACCCAAAACCGTGACCTTTGATGCGACCTAGGATCTGGGGTCGTATCAAGTCTTGTTCTCTAATCGTATGCCGACGTTCGCCAAGGATGCAGTTACTTTAACATTACGACCAGCTGATGCTGATGACTTCGATGAAATAGTGAAACTTTCAGAGGGAATTTACGCAGGACATGATTATCTTCCGTTGATGTTCCGCCAGTGGCTTCAGAGGGACAACGTAGTTGTCATACTTGCCCATTGTGGCGTTAGACTCGTCGGATTAAGGGCAAACTTCGTAGTAGATGACGGCCGCACTTTGATTCATCGAGCGGGACGCGTTCATCCAGATTATCGAGGTCAAGGTATTTTCAAATGGGTCGGCGAGCACTCCATCAAACATGCAAAAGAGCATTATCCTAATCTACAAAGAAAGCGGTTTACTTCCATTGGTGACACTGAAATTCCGGATCCGAGGAAACTTTTCGAGTTGCATGTAGAAGCGTATCACGTTGGGAAAGAATTCTGTGACAAACTAAAGGCAACAGTCTTGACAAATTCGATGGAGATCAAGACTTGTGCACCTGATTATTTCGCCAATATTATTGAATCTTTACCAGCCAGGCTGTTCACGAGGAACTCTATCCTAAGTAACTGGTGCCCTTTCGAAAGACTACGATCCAATGTTGATCACATTTTACGAGAAAGTACTGAACTCTATGTGGAGAAATGTGATGACGACGTTATTCCTAATTCTCTTGGTGTTGGCACGCTTTCCCCGAGGGTGAAATATAAGCAATGGGTCGCTGAGGTTTATGCCGATTCTCCAGATCTTTTTCAAGCTCACATCGTGCATCAACTAAAGCGTGCTTGTGAATTAATTAACGACGATTTTATTTTCATATTTACGATGCAAGACGAGAGTTTAAGTTCGCTCCTAAGGATCATCATGAAGGACCAACTACAGTTCAAAACGGCTGACTTCTATCATAACAAGACACTGAGAGTGTATGAGATGGACATAACCGAAAAATCCCACCGTTAAAATACCTCACTCATCCTATTCTGCTTTAAGACATTTCAAACCTGCTGCTGACTCGTCACCAGTCTTTATTCTCCTCTTTGCACCAATGAGTGCCGCTTGTGTTGCGTTGTGGTAGTGTTATTTTCAATATAGCTGAGTAAGCGACAGAAATCGGCAGATTTTGACTGAACATTCCGTAAGGGTTAGGCCTTTTTTTTTTCCTTTGACCATAGGTACAAGAAATTCGATTTATTCTGAATGTGTAGAAGTAGTTTTTGTACGTATTTGTCGCGTATTTTATGGTTCTCAAGGACAAATGCAATCACTGTTTTTTTAGTATTTAACTAGACGCTCGAGGAGCGTCACTTGGGCTTCGTATCGAGCGTTTTACTTGGGCATTCACCACTGGATAGTTTGGTATAATTGAATCTAATCATGTCTCGCATATTGGGGCTCTATATTTATTTAAGGGGTCATCATTTTCTTCTTCGCTACTCTTTAATTTTATCATTTTCTCTTGCATCATACCCCAATGCAGGACCACTATCTGTTGTTACATTGTTTGATGTAGCTTGTTGATGTGTATCGTCTGCATCATTTTATAAAGTTGTTAGGTTGCTATCAATATTGTTAATATCAACTAGTATGTCTTTGTACAATGATTATGTACTTTGAGCCAGTTAAGAACTTGCTGTATTAACTCTGGTAGTGATGCTTGAAAATATACATGTCCTCTAGATTGTAACTTTCTTTTAAGCTAAAGTATTATTATACAAGATCTGTCAGGTGGATGAGGGAGTTGATTACATGTCTGATCACATTCTACAGGTACATTGCATATTGCACCCCTAATTTTTCTCTGTTGTCCTTTATGCATGATCATAATCTTCTCAAATACTATTTGTTGAGCTATTCATATTTGTTTTAGTTTTTCTAAAGAGGATAGTTCTGTGGTTATTTCATCCACATACATATTCCCATTCACTATAGCCTGACATGGTTAATTTCCTTTTATGACCTTTGAATGACATGTGTGGCATATATACTGTTTTCCATCAAATGACGGTTGAATATTGAAATATTTTTGGCAAGGGTACATCTTGTTTAGGCATTTAATTACTGATTTCTTATAAAGTATTTGATTACAGACAGTGCATTTAAAATAAGTAAGCCTTTATATGGGCCCAAGTGGCCCATGGGGCTGGTGCTTAACTCCGGTTTTCTTAGCATGAAGTGGCTAGGAGTATTGCTACTCCCCCCTGGATGGGATGCTAGTCCATCACAGGGTTACCCCCAGCACATTTGCTGGTACCCATTTGTACACCTGGGTGAAGAGAAGCACTGTGAGAGTAAAGTGTCTTGCCTAAGAACACAACACAATGATCCTGGCCAGGGCTCAAACCCAGCCCACCCAATCCGGAGTCGAGCGCACTAACCATGAGGCCACCGCACCTCCACTACATATAAAATAAGGGCCTTCTCTTATTTTTGTCTTAAACTGGTTAATACACAATTCAACCAATCTGGCTTTCACTAATTTCCCATTGAGTTGAGAAAGTAATCCTTTCTTCTTTCTAGCATCCATAGTTGAATATTTCTTTTAATGTCTTCCAGAAACCTTTTTTTGGAAACAGGTTCCATGCTGTCATACATATGTTTTTTTTTTGCTTCTGTTTTCTCATGATGTGTTTCCTTCAATTTCAGTAATCTTACATGAACAGCAGCTGAATTGTATATCATATTCCATAGTCTAACATTCCTGTTTATTTGAATAAAATTATTGATTTTCTCTACTAGATTATCCACAAAGAGTAAATACTTGCAGAAAACCTCTGTCCAGAACCACAGGCCTCTCTACCAAAAGAATACTTTGTTTAAGTTTGATACTATAGGTAACTTGCTTTATTTGCAAAATAATTAACATTGAAGGCATCAGTACATACACATTAATGCAACTTCAAAAATTGGTTTCAGCCAGAAACTTGTTTATTTTTTCAATTATTAATAATCATGATGTTATCCCACTCATCAATCTGTATGGCCTTGTACAAATGTATGAAACATGTTTCTCTATTATTTTGTTCATGGGATGCTCAAGTTAAGATAAAATCTCTAATGATTATTGTTACAACCACTGCTTTACCAAGCAACTGAGCTAAAACAGATTGAATAACTGGCAATACAGAAAACAATACTGAATACACCAATTGGCAACTGGTTCCATGCTGTCATACATGTTTTTTTCTGTGTTTTCTCAAGATGCGTTTCCTTTCAATTTCAGTAATTTTACATGAACAGCAAATAAATTGTATATTATATTCCATAGTCTGACATCCCTGTTTATTTTGAATAATATTATTAATTTCCTCTACTAGATTATCCACACCACAAATGTGCATTGTCTGTTTCATTGCAGGTGAATGACTGTCTTCATATGTCAGAGGAGAAAACAATTGCTTTACTTTCGTATTTTGTTGATAAATACAAGCTATACAGTATACAGTTACTTGAAATCCACATTAAAAAGCCTGTTTTCCCAGTGTGGTTCCTTAAAATCAAGGTCTCTTAAGATATTCTGTTCCCAAGTTAAATTACTTGACTCTCTGTGACTTACTTCATTAACGTGTACATTTATGTTAGTGCCAAAAATTGTAACACTGTCAGGCAAGGTAACAGATATTAAGCAGTACTTACTCTGCATTGTATTGTTAAGCTGAGATCCACTTTTGATAATTGCATCTAAGGTATTTGAGTTCCAGTAACTACAAGGTGAAATGATTGAGTAACAGAATAAAGAGCTACTGCAAAACAGTGGTCTTTGTAACACTTGTGGTGACCTGATATCTCTTTAATACCTCTCTTACACTGTTGCTTATTGCCACATCATATTTTGTAATTTGTTAACCTTTTAGTTCATACAGATCAGTTGCTCCATTTAAACTTTGAAAGTGATACACTAAGTTGTCTGTAGATGATATATCTAATAGACCACAGGTTCCTTGAGTGTGACTTTACCATAAACATCTCTAGCATGTGAGTCAAACACTTTAAATGGCCATTATCAGCAAAGCAAATAATACCCACAGCAATGCATCCAACTGTTAAAATATATGACTTATATTGTTCTGATATCAATGACTCAAAAGCTCTTTTCAGGCCCACACAGTATTGATATCCCTCAATGGTAGGCTCACCATGGACATTACCAAAGTAACTTTCACTGTATTCTAGCTGGTAATCTTTCTCTAGTACTGTAAGCATTGATGGTAAATCTGTTAGCAGTAAAAATGATTGTCTTGATAATTGTGACAAACTGCTATATAGTTGATTTCCAAAATGCATTATTTGTTTCAAGTCATTGGAATTGCCTATTCCTTTCATATTGTAGTACATTAATGCACATAAACTCATTGCAACAGCGTGCCAACAGATGCCCAGCGTTTTGTCCAAATACAACAACATCCCCTTGGCTATATAGCGCTTTTATTGTTTTCCTGGGATCCACAAGGTGCATACAAGGAACAGGGTTTTCTCTATATCATTATAGAGCTTGTTCTTTGTACAATTGCCTCTGTGAATTACACCTCTGTACTCACTATATGGGAAATTACACAAAAGGAACCTTAAGTATTTGAGATATTTCTTTCCATGTTTATCTCTACTTGAATTGTAGACATATCTCATTGAAGAGTTAACGTTCTTGTCCTAAAAATTGGTTTCCTTCTCATTTTTTGATCAGAATTGATTGATTGAACCGGTTTTTTTTATTTTCCTTCTCATTTTTTGAGCGGTCAGATAACAAGTGATACGCTGTAGAAGTAAGGTGAGTTATTTTTATTGAGAATTTGACGTATTTTTTTATTCCTAAAAGCGGTCGTAAATATTCCCATACAAACTCTCATAATTCCGCCATGACTGTTATTGCGCAAGATGATCATCTCACAGCTGGAGCCTTGGCCGCCAGTGATGAAAATGTACTAGACAACATCTTTGTTACTATGGCCTACCCAAATTCATTAGCTTCGCATGTACCTCTACACTTTTGGGGTAGTCCACAATGTCAACCTTGTCTAAATACCTTAACACGAACGTACTCATAATCTGTGAATACTTCTAGTAATAATAACAGTGTTTGAGACCGGTTATGGCCGCAAAAGGCCCATTGCTGTGTTTGGAGTATTGCGTTACACAGCGTTACTATTGAAAGGACATTTCCTATGAATACTCAACCGTGTTGTAAATCAACAATCGTAAGTAGAAGCAAATCAACTAATCGCGAGTAATGTAAATCTGCTATCTTAATTATGGAATGAAGGACCTTTGAATTAGAGCAGTGAAGGTCACTTGACCAATAAATAACTCTACATTGCGCCAGGCGACACGCCGGGTAAGCCGGAAAGCAAAGGACAGTCGACCGTTAAGGGTGTAGGTAGGCTTGTGCGACTCCTGCCATTCGCTAGCGCTTTGAAATCTTCTGCCCTCAAAGTTTAGCTGTTATTAGGATATCTTAATAACTTTCCTTTACGATGTGATATTTAAGGTAACATTACCCCATCTGTATGTTCTTGAGGTTTGGCAAAGCTGCAGGAAATTGTGTTACAAAAGGCAATTTAAATTTTCCTCTGTGTGCGTCTGTTGTTTTTAAGTATATTTTCTTTCCCGCTGAAAATGATTCTCAAAGCCTTCATAGAGGAATCCTCTTTTCTTTAAGCGTATTTTGAAACTGTAAGTTTGTTATTAAACGTGGAGCGTGACGAATTCGTCCTAGGCAGGCGAAGGGCTTCTTCATTTACGAATTCCGCATTTACGCCAAGTGAATGACATAAGCTTTTCTTATGTGCGTACTATGCGGCTGACGGGGAGACAAAATGACCCTGGGCTCGAGATTGTTACACGGTAGGGTTCATATCAAGTCTCGTGAGGTCAGTCGGTCAACACCCCTAACCTTACGTCAACGTTCGCAATGGATGCAGTAACTTTAACATTACGACCCGCTGAGGCTGACGACTTCGATGAAATTGTGAAACTTTCAGAGGGAATTTATGCAGGACATGATTATCTACCGTTGACATTCCACCAGTGGCTTCAGAGGGACAACATAGTTGTTATACTTGCCCACTGTGGCATGAGACTCGTCGGATTAGAGGCATACTTCGTAGTAGATGATGGCCGCACTTTAATTCATCGAGCGGGACGTGTTCATCCAGATTATCGAGGTCAAGGTATTTTCAAACAGGTCGGCGAGTACTCCGTTGAACACGCAAAAGAGCATTATCCTAGTTTACAAAGAAAGCGGTTTGTTTCCATTCGTGACACTGAAATTCCGGAGCCGGGGAAACTTCTCGAGATGCATATAGAGGCATATCACGTTGGGAAGGAATTCTGTGAAAAACCAATGGCAACAGCCTTGACAAATTCGATGAAGATCAAGACGTGTACCCCTGATTATTTCGCCGATATCATTGAATCTTTACCAGCCAGGCTGTTCACAAGGAACTCTATTTTCCTCAGTAACCGGTGCCCATTTGAGAGACTTCGATCCAATGTTGATCACATTTTACGAGAAAGTACTCAACTCTATGTGGAGAAATGTGATGACGACGTTATTCCTAATTCTCTTGGTGTTGGCACGTTTTCCCCGAGGGTGAAATACATACAATGGGTCACTGAGGTTTATGCCGATTCACCAGATCTTTTCCAAGCTCACATCATGCATCAACTCAAGCGTGCTTGTGAATTAATTAACGACGATTTTATTTTTACAATTACGATGCAAGACGAGAGTTTAAGTTCGCTCGTAAGGATCATCATGAAGGACCAACTACAGTTCAAAACGGCAGACTTCTATCATAACAAGACCTTGAGAGTCTATGAGACGGACATAACCGCAAAATCTCAAATATAAAATACTCCACTCACCCTATCCTGCTTGAAGACATTTAAAGGAACTTTTTCGAAATTCACTTCCACTCAGTTTTCCCTGGAAAAACTGGATCAAGGATCACTGGATCAAGGATCAAGGATCAAGGATCTCCGGACCAAGGATCAGTTCAAAATGAATCGAATAAATTGAATGAATTAATAGGCATGAGTGAAGGCTCATCTATGTGACTCAGTCAAGATCTCTCTCTGCTGACAGACAGGCGTTGCTTTTTTCACCCTTTCCCTTTCTGCTGACTTTCACGCCACCCCCAAGAATGCTTGATCGCAAGTTAGATAAGAAACTGTCTATTCTTGATTCCAATGTAGTTTCCGGGGATTTTTGTTGCATAGACAACGCAAACGTCTGTAATTTTATTCTTTCACCAGAGAAATGAAAATAGAGGGGGTTTTTTTGTCATTCACACAAACCTTTCTTCTGCACTACGACATTTGTAGACACGGCCAATGGACAACAAAATCGCCATTATTTTAAAATTCTTTGCATTTTCACCCAAGCATTGGTCGATCTAACAAATATTTCAAGGTTTTCTCTTTGACTTTGAGCTGGATATTTCATCTGTTCGCGAAAAAGTAGTTTAAAAAATCAGGGTTATTTTTGAGCACTTCTGCTTTTGCGCACCATGGTTAACCGTTGGTGCGGCTCCCCTGTTGAAGCTATCGAGAAACAGAGAATCAGCAAACGTCAAGGTCCTTTATTTTGTTGGAAGTGATCAAAAGTGTGGGACTAAATTTTTCTGCCTGCTGTGCTTGCTGGTGACAAAAAAAAAGAAAAAACAATTCTTCCTCGTTAGTCGTCAGGCTTCGTGAAATTGCACCGGAAGTTAGATACGTAATCACATACCGACACTCGGGATAATTTGGAAATTTCATGTGAATATAGCATATGCACAAGTAAACCCGCTCTGTCAATAGCTGTCCTAATATAGTCGGTAGGCGAAAATTGGCACATCCACAAAGTGGTATGGCTCTTTCATTATTTAGTATAGTTATGTTTATATATATATTACATTTGTGCTGATTTCACTTATTTTCTATTATTTTTGCTTGAGCATGCGGAAGATCTTGACTGAGTCACGTAGATGAGCAATCAATTATGCCTACTAATTTATTTAATTTATTTGATTCATTTTAAACCGATCCTTGATCCTTAGTCCGGTGATCCGGTGATCCTTGATCCGGTTTTTTCAGGAAACCCAGTTTTATACCAATATAGTACTGGGGTACCAGCTCCAATACAAACTGACTTAAAGGATCCAAATATTGATGTCTTCTCCAACCACGTGACATGTGACATAAAAGAAGTTAAAAAACCCACTCAGTCGTCTTAATGCTAATAAGTCTTGAGGAGTTGATAAAATACCTGCTTGTTTACTGAAGGAGACTGCTCGTGCATCTGCAGTTCTTCTGAATAAGCTCTTCAATCTATCTTTCAATAATGGTGCCTACCTAAATTATAGAAATTAGCTAACATTACACCTATCTTTGAGGATGGTGACCAAGAGCCAATTGAAAATGATAAGAGTCATTTCACTCTAACTATTGCTGGGAAATGCTAGGAGAGAATAGTGGACAATGCTATTTATAGTCAAGTTATCAGATTCATGCATGCCTCTCATCATGGGTTCCTCAATGGATATTCCTACACTACTCAACTACTCTTTGTTCACCATGACTGGTTCAATGTTTTGGTCAAGTTGATGAAGTATTTATAGACTTTTCAAAATCATTTGACCTTGTTTGTCATGATATCCTCACTTTGCAAATTTGGTGTCCATGGAGACTTACTCAATTGGTGTAGAGATTATTTAACAGGGTGTCAAGAGCATGTACCGGTAATAGTGAAAGGAGAGGCTTCTGATTGGTTAACCATGACCTCTGATGTCCCACAATGTTCCTCATTGGAACCATTATTCTTCATAATATACATTAATGATTTACCTGGGTTAATTAGTAAGGTCAGTTTAATTGTTCTGTACACTGATAACAGTAAAATGTACAAGATTATCAATACCAAAGAAGATCTGTCTACTTTTTAGAGCAACATAGATAAAATAGCAGAATGGTGTAATATGAATAAGGCAATTAATTTTAAGAAATGCAAGATCATGGGAATAACTTAGAAAAAGTCACCTTGGAAAGTATAATATTGAAGGTCAACCTTAGGAAAGTGTTGATATGTATAAAGATTTAGGATTGTTTACTGCTAGTAATCTTTCATGGAATCAACATATGGATAAAATAACTGCTAAAGGTAATACTGTTTTAGGGCTGGTTAAAGGACTTGTAAGGACTTAAATGATAACGATACTATGAAAACACCTTACTTTACTCTTGTGAGACCTTTACTTGAATCTTCATGTGAAACTTGGAATCCAGATACTAAATTTAACATTGATAAATTAGGGGCTGTCCAGCAAAGAGTCACCAGATGGATTACTAGGTCTGATGATGATCATGATACCAGTTTACCCAAGTTAAAACTGCTGTCATTATCCAGCAGGAGGTTCATAAGAGATGTTACATTTTTGTTCAATGTAATTAATGGACATAATGATATAACATTTCAAACAAGCTCCTATTTTGTAAGGACAGAAATTGAAATTATAACTTGAGGAAAAATGACACACAGAACCTTACTCCAAATTTTTTAGTAGAACTAATGGTTTCAAACAAAGCTTTTTAACCGAATTGTTAAGGACTAGAATAGTTTACCTAATCATATTTGAGAATCAAATAGTATTGCAGCCTTTAAAATGAATGTTTTAAATTTTATTGAGGATAATTAATATTATTATTATATTTGTACATACTTTTCTTACACCTTAATTAGTGGGACATCCCTAGCATGGTGCATCAGTGCTTTTGGTTGTCTCCCTCTCATTAATCGTATCCAAAACATCACTATAGGTAAAGGAATAACTCCCAGGGACATCAAGTGTAACATTTGAGGAAGAAATAGCCATTTTAGTCATATCATCAGACCAGTAGCATACAATTTTTACCTCAACCTTGGGACCTGTTTTTTTGCCATTTGAAAAGTTCATATTTCATGTCCCAATGCTTTCCCTCACTAATGGAGGGTAGATTTCACATATCAGTCTCAAGATACTTCTTGTGTGTTTCATGTCCATAACAACTTCTGAAGTATGCACATTTTCCTGTTTTGGATCATTCATAACTAACCAATTTTCACAGAGATGCTATTAGTTGCTGTCACTGATGAAACACAAGCCTGTTGATAGAGAACATTGAGAAGTCTCTAAGTTAGTACTTGCCACCATATTTCACCATAACAGGATAATGGAACAAGCAAAATATACCACAATATTACACTGTAAAACAACGCAAAAAAGCTCAGTCTGTAACTTAAAATACGGAGCTCGAACTCAGATAATAATTTGTTAAAAAACGTACGATAACAAATGAGTTAAAATAATTTTGTACAAGTGCACTGGTAGGTCTCATTTGCTGCCATCAGTCATGTTCAATTTGTCACCATGCGAATACCTTTTCATATGCAACAATTTCTCAACTTCAACACCTCTCGTAGAAATAATAAATGTTGATTCAGAGAGGAAAAAATTGCAGTTTTAAGTTAGAACCTGCAAGCTTATGAATTTCCAAAAACAATTCGCACACTTTCACCCAAATAATTCCAACATGTATATTTTGGATTGCTTCTTTGAAAGTTGTTTGAAGAAACACTTCAAAGCCGTATTTTTAACTTTCAACTTTTTTAACAACTAAAATGTTATCAGTAATATTTTAAATATATCTCGTAACTGTTAACTGTAAACAACAATAGCCGAAATTACCACCATGCATTTCCAATTTGAAACACGAAAACATCCTAAGCTGACTATCTAACGTAAAAGGAAGCGTTTTTGAAGAGTTAGCTTTCTCAAAAAGTGAACACGTACCGTTAATAAAGAGAAATGCACTCAAAACAGCTAGTTTCCACATATTTAACTGGGACGCCATCTTGCACTGGTCGTCAACACAGTCGTTGTTGCTTGGTCGGTGAACATCGGCTCTATCGTTTTCGTCGTCGGCTCGTGTTCGTGATTGTCGACGATCCGCACATTGAAGTATCTACACGTAAATATTTTATCAGCGGCAACGCTAATGCCAAGCGGCGATTCAGTTACACAGTCATGACCTTACAGCTGACAAGGACACAAAATGACCCTGGGCTCGAGATTGTTACACGGTAGGGTTCATATCAAGTCTCGCCGAGGTCAGTCAATACGGTGGCCCACAATTGTCACGGCAAAACAAAAAGTCACGGCAAAACAAAGAAAACGAGTTGGTCAGCGGTTGTTATTTGCATCTGAAATGATACGTCGTGTAACAGTAACAGTAACAGTAACAGTAACAGTAACAGTAACAGTAACAGTAACAGTAACAGTAACAGTAACAGTAACACACTGCTCGCTCGAAAAACCGCCATTTTTCGAGTTTGCTCACAAAGCACTTTGATTCGGGCTCACGATGTTTTGCACTGCGTGTGGTTCGGTAGTAGATGAAGATGCAAACTTTTGTAAAAGCTGTGGTAGAGGTACGTTTCTTAATTTAAAGTGTTCGTATTTGCATTTCTTTTAGTTCCAAATAACGATAGGCGTGAGAGGACACTGCTTCAAATTAGCTGATTAGCATGTTTCTGGAATAAGATTGTGCATGTGGCCTGTGTGTAAAAAGAAAACATTCATAATGTATAGGCCTTGATGAAATAAGGATTTTTCAACAGGTGGAAAAATACTGTACGCCTGCAAACAGTCAGAGAGCACGAGGTTAAAGGCCAAAACATTCCTGATTATTTCCAAAATCATTTATCTTGAGTTTTATTGATGTTAAACAGACTTATGGAAATAACACTGTTTAAAATAAAGTTTCCTCTGAGGTGTAAGCTACATTATTTTGCTTTATTGTTTTTTTTTCCTCTTGTTGAAAAATCCTTAATTCATCAAGGCACATACATTATGAATGTTTTCTTCTTACACACGCTACATGCACAATCTTATTCTAGACACGTGCTAATCAGCTAATTTGTAGCAGTGTCTTCTCACGCCTATCATTATTTGGAACTAAAAGAAATGCAAATACGAACACTTAAAGAAACGTACCTCTACCACAGCTTTTGCAATAGTTTGTATCTTCATCTACTACCGAACCACACGCGGAGCAAAACATCGTGAGCTCGAATCAAAGTGCTCTGTGAGCAAACTCGTGAATTGACAGATGACTTATATGATTTTTTGGATTATGTTTAATGTTTTCTGGTTTAGGGAATTTTGTGGTTGATTGTCATATTTAGAGTACGAGCAGTAGTTCAGTGTTCGCTAATGTAGCAAAGAAACAAAGTAACGTTGGGATAAGAAGGCATTACAATTGAAATGATCATGCTATTACATTTGACAATGGTGGATAATGTTGTTTGTTTTAAACATATATCATTTTTGTTTCTGGTTCAAAAGAAAAGGTTGGGAGTAAATGTGGGTGAAAAGTGAAATTTACTGTCTATCATTGTAAATATTGGAAAATGAAGGCAATACTGTCTTAATGAAAACATTAATGATTCCCTCTTTATCAAATGAGACAAACGAGAACGACTTTTGAGTGATATGACTAAGCCCAGACTGCCACCGTCATTTTGGATTTCCGTCTGGGTAGCAGAGGGGCATTTTGTTGCGCATGCGCCAAGAAAATTTGTTCGGCGCGTTCGGCGCCATTTTGATATTTTCAGCGCGCTTTTGCGGGTTTTCAACTGAGCGATCGACACCTTTCTGTGATATTTTTTGGAGAGGGATGGAAGAGTATGACAAGTTTACTACCATTTCTAACTCTGTGGATACTTGTGGAGTTTGCTGGCTCTTCGGATGAGGATATTTTAATGATCAAAGTGCGAACAAAACGCGAAAAAAAGTCGAAAACTTGAAGTTTGAGATTTGATTTGCTGACGATCAAGATGTGCACATGAGACTACAAACCTTAAAGGTTAGTCTTAAGATGTTGATGTCTTACTTCTATAAATCACGAAGTGATGTGTGGAGGCGATCGTGAGATATTCGTTACGATAATAGAAGGTAGTTTACAATTTGATCTTATTTTACTTCAACTTTGAAAAAAAATTACGTTAAGTTCGAGGTGGCCCCCAAGCTTCAAATCACTTCAAATAACATCTTATCTTCTTTCTCTTTGTTGTCCCATTGGACACAAGGCTTAAAAAAATGTTCCAGCTTCAGGATTGAGTTGCTCTTTCTATAACCTTCGGCGAATTCGTTTTTGGGAGGTTGAGGTGGATTTTCAAAGTCATGGCTCACAACTGTCTTTGGCCATTTTGCTCTCCAAGTCTGTTGTACTTGGTACGTAGGCATGCGTCTTAACAACGTTTATAGTCTTGCCTCGATCATCTGCGGTTTTATCTAATTTTTTTTTTTGCTGTGTTTTGGTGAGAATTTTTCTGATTGCCCTTTTGGGCTTGAAGGGCTAACTAGAGGATAAACTTCGGTAGAACTTGTTTTATCACATGGCCCCCAAATCTCTCACCACTGTCAGTTCATTGTTTATTTATTTAGCCTTCGGTCTAACCAGTTCATTTACCTCAAAAAAATCCGTGGGCTTTGTCTCATGAGTTTAAACTGGTGCCGTTTTCTTCATGTTCATGTGTTATTCGAAACGGATGGCGTCAACTTCATTCTGTCTTGTCTATTTCAGTAGAATACTTCTGCCATACGAAATGAATTTTGAGTCGAAGTGTACTATAAAACTCGCAGATTAAAATTATCTAACTTTCTCTGGTTCTTAAAACATGAGGTGAGCGATACAATAAATGAATAATTACTCAAGGGGCTGGAACTCTCTTTCTTTAGAATGTGAACTACAGTATTTCTGTCATATTTGAAAACGAATTTCGGGTTAAAATGTCTTCAAACCAGTTTGACTTGTATTTCTCTTTGCCAGATAAGTCTTGATCCTTCAATTTTTATTTCTTAATTGAGACTGATGATTGGAATTAACTATTGTGTTCTCTGCTGTTTAGGGAGATGTGAAGTGACCCCACTACATATGGTCAGTACTATTGACAGAAAGGATAGGTGTGACATTTGCTGTGGCAAGCTGGCATTCAAGAGAATGTCATTAGTACCAGAAGCTTACTACTGGTATAAATTATCAATCTTTTGTTCTCTCCACACAACTTGCCTCAACTAGCTTATGCTATATGCAACTTGTGTCTATACCTTTTTTTGCAACTATAAAATTACCAATAAAGTTTTTTGAAAGTTTTGTCCAAATTTCATGGGAAAACAATATGAGGAGTGATCAGGTGAAATATTTTCCTGTTCCATAACAGTGTTTGAGCTTCCAGGCAGAGCTAAAAATTTCTTAAGCGACTTGATTTTCTGCCTTAAAATTAGCACAGCCAAACCCCTGGCTTGAAAACTATTAATTTCTGCAAATAGGCATCCAAGCTGATGCCCATTACTGCAGAATATGCAATATCAAAGTCCCCTTTTGACTTAGGTCTCATTTCTCTAAAATCTGATAGATGTAGAGCATCAATTTTCATAAAGAGATCAACAAACCTCTTCACATTAGTTTAATCTGACCTCACTAAGTCTTATTCCTGAAAAGAAAAGGCTTTTTTTTTTACCCTCACTGTTAAATATCAGCCTTACTGGTTCTTTGTTGTTTAGCATGTGTAAGAGTCTTTTCAGACCATCAAATTGTCACACAACTCTTGTAATTTAATAGGTTGGAGAATAAGGTTGCAAAGAGTGTATATGATTTTTTTGTGCAGTTGAAATGATAAATGATAGTGATTTTCACTGGGTAATAATTGATTTAACTATTCATCTTACAACTGGAAGCCCAAAGTAGTACTTGTTTTCTTTCACAATTTCCCCACATCATCGATCATATCTGATGATATTTCCGAGACTAATGATTGAAAAGACTTTATCTTACTCTGATAAAATCCATAATTATTCCTCCATTTCTAACCAGATGGAGCTACCATATCTCTAGCATTAGCATTGTCTTACTTTTCTTTACTCAACATTGACATTTTTTATTTTGGTAATCGGCCCTGCCGGTTGTGATTCATGTCAAAAAAAAACTTTTGAAACAAAACATAAAACCTCTGTAAACTTTACATTTTTGCCAAAATTGGAGGTACACTGCACTAGCAGTACAGTTGAAGCTCTAATACTATCCAATTCTTTTGTACTCTTCGACAGGCCACTTGCATCCTTCAAAAATAACATCATCTTCATCGATCGCCCAGACAATCAGGAGACAAGACTCGAACAATCTTTTACATTCTGAAAATAACTTCCTTCCACACATCACACAATAATTTCAAGGATTTGCCGCTTCCATCTACGTTACAGAAGAAAAAATGAGAAGAAAGGTTGTCTCAAATACTCGAACCATTGTTTTTCCGACGTATTTTACTGCTTCTTTTCTTTCGTGATTCTCGAAAGGGAAACCGACGCAGGCGCATACCAGCGGTTTCTCGTATCAAACTTAAATTTACCGGACATGCGCAACAAAACGCCCCTCTGCTCGTCTGGGTAGATTTTGGTCACGTGCTAGGCAACGTATAATCGAGAACAAGATAGAATTTCATTTCCGGCCTATTTATCAATTTTGTGGTGTATAACTTTCGCATTTTGGTACTTGATATTTATTTTGAATCTTCAAATTGTCTTGAAACTTAAAAGAAAATTGTTCTTTAAAAATTCACTGAAAATCGGTAGCCAAAATTATTTGTTTAGGGGTTATCTGATTTTCGTGTTAACCTGTAATTTCGTCAGTCGTCGGCACCTTTTGTTGCTTCACACAGAAAAAAACACACGATACGAAATGTAGTGATCGAGTTTGTCCCCAAACTCGCGCTCCAACAGAAAAAGCTTTTGAACAAGTGTAAACTCTGAGCGCTTCGGAGTAAGTGATAATTTTAAGGAATCTTCGGATTGTTTTCAAGTTCAAGGACTGTAAATTACAATTTTACGAAAAACAAAGGTTGTTCTCTTATTTCATTGTGAATCCTCGCACGCCTGCCAGTCGCTGGCGCCGCTTGTTGAAAAGCGAATAAATATAAACTCTTTTAAGATTATCATTGGCTTCTTTTTCACCCCACCACTACTCTTAGCAACAAAGGTCGCCATTTCGTTTGTTTACTGTTACACGACGTACAATTTCAAACGCAAATAACAACCGCTGACCAACGCGTTTTCTTTGTTTTGCCGTGGGTTAATTTTGTTTTGCCGTGAGTTAATTTTGTTTTGCTGTGAGTTGATTTTGTAGTGCTGTGACTTTTTGTTTCGCCGTGACAGTTGTGGGCCACCGTAAAAGTCAACACCCCTAACCTTACGTCAACGTTCGCAATGGATGCAGGAACTTTAACATTACGAACAGCTGAGGCTGGCGACTTCAACGAAATAGTGAAACTTTCAGAGGGAATTTACACAGGACATGATTATCTTCCGTTGATATTCCACCAGTGGCTTCAGAGGGACAACATAGTTGTCATACTTGCCCATTGTGGCGCGAGACTCGTCGGATTAGAGGCATACTTCGTAGTTGATGATGGCCGCACTTTGATTCATCGAGCGGCACGCGTTCATCCAGATTATCGAGGTCAAGGTATTTTCAAACAGATCTATGAGTACTCCATTAAACACACAAAAGAGCATTATCCTAATCTGCAAAGAGAGCGGTTTACTTCCATTCTTGATCTTGAAATTCCCGATCCAAGGAAACTTCTCGAGTTGCATGTAGAAGCATATCACGTTGGGAAGGAATTCTGTGACAAACCAGAAGCAACAGCCTTGAAAAATCCGATGGAGATCAAGACGTGTGCGCCTGATTATTTCGCCAATATTATTGAATCTTTGCCAGCAAGGTTATTCGCAAGCAACTCTATTTTCCTCAGTAACTCGTGCCCTTTCGACCGACTTCGATCCAACGTCGATCATATTTTTAGAGAAGGTACTGAACTCTACGTGGAGAAATGTGATCATGATGTTGTTCCTAATTCGCTTGGTGTTGGCACGCTTTCCCCGAGGGTGAAATACATGCAATGGGTCGCTCAGGTTTATACCGATTCTCCAGATCTTTTTCAAGCTCACATCGTACATCAATTCAAGCGTGCTTGTGAATTAATTAACGACGATTTTGTTTTCATCACGATGGCAGACGAGAGGTTAAGTTCGCTCGTAAGGATCATCATGAAGGACCAACTAAAGTTCAAAACGGTGGACCGCTATCACAACAAGACGTTGAAAGTCTTTGAGAAGGACTTGAACGTAAAATCTCACCTTTAACCCTCTACACCCTAACATGATCAGTATACATAGTCTCCATACTGTTCTCAATACATTTCCTAAGGTGCTGACAAGGAGAATTTGTTTAACAATCTAGAGCTTCCATCATTGATGATCATTTCTTTTTTTCTTGTGACCTTTATATGTGACTTTGGGGGTGATATTGTAAGGAGAAATTAGATGTTAGTCATTCTCGAGGGTTTAAGGGTTAAAATACCCCACTCACCCTACCCTGCTTAACTATTTAACTCCCATGAATGTCTCCTTACAATATCAATACATTATCAACCAGATAAGTGATGAGAATAAGGAACAATATCAATTTGGGGTTAATTAGTTAGACCAATACTAAATTCTCTAAGCTAACATTATAAGAATTTTATGGTTTACAGTGAGGAGAATTACAAATTTGAACTGGGAGTTAAAGGGTTAACAAACCTGCTTTGCTGACTAGTCGCCAGTCTTCACCCTCCTCCTTCGCACCATTGCGTGAGCCAGGCGGCGTGCCGATTGCGTTACATTGTTGTAGCGTTATTTCAATATGGCTGAAAAAGCTGTAGAAATCGGTTGATTTTCACTGAACATTCCGTTAAAGTGAGGCCGTTCCTTTTTTCTTTCACCATAGTTACATGAAATTTGTTTGATTCTGAATGAGTAGTAGTATTTTTGGTACGTATTTGTCGCGTATTCTATGGTTCTCGAGGACAAACGCAATCACTGTTTTTTAGTATGTAAAAATTGAGGTGAATCTGGACATCGATAATTGAGAGGCCTGGACTGGGTACAGGCAGGATGTAAGATCCAAGTGTAACATTTTTTCTATTATTCGTTCTTGCGTAATTTGTTTTTCCTTTGCGTACGCAAATTAGTTTATACTTCTTTTCGTCCATTTGTTTAGTCTTTTTTTTTGGCGTTAATTTAAGTGTTTATTCCTTTCTGTCAGTTTTCGCGCCCTCGTTAGCGTTTCTGTGCTGTTTCATCTTCATTAGCGCCTTTCTAAGTTTCTATGGTTTTATTTTCCGCATGTTCTAGCGTATTTTTCATATCGTAGTTTTGCAGTACAGTTTTGGGCAGTGCATTTTGGTCCGCGCTTAGCGCAGTTCTGTTTAGTTTCTTGCAAGTCTCTTCGCGTTATTCGCAGTCCGCTTTACAGCAGTTTTCTCTGGCCGAAACAATGTAAGTGTACTTCACAGTCCTCGTTTTGCAGTTTTGTTATTTCCTTACTCTAATTTACCTTAGTCGTAACTTGTAACTTTTTTGCTTTTTTACCGTTTTAGTTTCAACCCACGCTGTTTGTATGCACACTCTTAGTACCAAGCACGTCGGCTACAATAAATCTTCATTCGAACTTGGTTTGTGGTGTTGTTATTAAAGGCCAGGAGACTTACACGCTTATTGCAGTTTCACAGGATGCATGTTAGTATTTTCCCTTTTCTTTAAGATAGAGCAATTTGTTCAGCATATAAGTCAAAAGACTTGGGCAGAGCAAATGGCTATTCACCACACTAACACGTTTCAATTGCGAAATTACTTTAGTATTACCGCTTAGGTATCTGTGCACGCGTAATTAGTAATCTTGCAAGCAAGCAAGCAACAAGTTTATTTCTAGCTTTAAGAAAGTTTTAGTTTCCCTCCCACTCACACCATTGACAGTTTCAATTGTATCTTATTTCATTCGTGTTTGTAATTTATTCTTGATTACTGGACCGTTGGTTTAGTGTTTTCGTCCAATATCTTTTATTTAATAGTCTAGTTATTTACGTAGGATATATACATTTAATAAACTTTGATCCTTCTTTAACAGCTCTGACTAAACGCTCTCCAGCGGTACACATGTGTTATGTATTTTCAGTTATAGTGTTTGAGACCGGTCATGGTGGCAGAAGGCCTATTGTTGTGTTAAGTGTATTGCGTTACACAGCGTTACTATTGAAAGGACGTTTCTTACGTAAAATCAGTCGTGTGGTAAATCTACGAAAGCAAATTACTTACAAATTAAAAGCAAATCTACTGAAGCAAATGAATTAATCGCGTATATTGTAAATCTTTTATCTTAATCATTGAATGAAGGACATGTGAATTAGAGCAGTGAAAAGAATCACTTTGCAAAGGTTAGTTTCAAGGTGTCATTTCCCCATCCGTATGTTCTTGAGGTTTGGCAAAGTTGGATGAGATTGTTTCACAAAAGGCAAAATTAATTTTCTTCTGTGTGCGTCTGTTCTTTTTAAGTATATTTTCCCTCCCGCAGAAAATGACTCCGGAGTTACAGTTCTCAAAACCTTCATATAGGTATCCTCTTCTCTTCAAGCGTATTTTGAAAGTCTGTACGTCTGTCTTATTTTACGAATTCCGTATTTACGCCAAGTGGATAACAAGAAAAAAAGTTCGTGTATTAGAAGGTCTCTGTCTCTTTATGATACGTTTAATTTATAACTCGCGTCTAGGAATCTAACTTCTGAATTTGATATTATTGACATTGTTCACACAGCCATTAGCTGTGAGTGTAACTGCTGCCATTTGTGAAGATTCTTAGGCAAGACACTTTCGATTCTGTTTGAATCTCGTCAGTTGCCTCCTAAGAAATAATTCTTGACGGAGGCCCATAAACACTTTAAAACTTTCGGAGGAACGGCAACAGACAGTGAATCCCCATTACATTTCCACTCAAATTCCCGCTACCCCGCTGCCACCAAAGATGTTCACTCTACCGTGACAAGATACAAATGACTCACTTTTTGTGTTACGACCATAATGAAACGCAATCAGAGTGCGCACACCGCCTGTGCGTGAGCTGTGCGCGGGAAAAGACGGGCAAGGGTCGAAAAAATGAACAACTGCACTGACATCAACTTCAAGGAATGAGGGGCAGGATACAAATGACTCACTTTTTGTGTTACGACCATAATGAAACGCAATCAGAGTGCGCACACCGCCTGTGCGTGAGCTGTACGTGAGAAAAGACGGGCAAGGGTCGAAAAAATGAACAATTGCATTGACATCAACTTACAACGAATGAGGGGGCGATTTTTACTTAGCAACTTGATTAAGATCAATAACAGTATTGCATGCTTGGTCAGTTCACTGTGCTTAAAAAGGTCTTGTTCAGACACAAATTATTCATTCGTTGGATTTTTCTCACGCGATCGGGCTCTGCGTAGCATCCAACCTCATTCCCAGGCTGCCCCCTGGGGTCGGGGGACTGGGGGACTGAGATTGCTCTGCATCTGTGCAGAATTCAAGCAGCGCCTCTATCTCCCTCTCTCTCCCTCCCCCCCTCCCTTTCGCTCTTTCTCTCCCTCTCTTTCTCTTAGGGTAAAGTAGGTTTATTTTTGTTTATAATTATTCGGTCAATATAAACAATAGACCACGAAATACCTATAAGTGAGTTTATTTCAGACAAATAGAAAGTTTTTTTTTCCTCTCTCTTAAGTAAAGTAATGCATTCATTCCTTCCTTCATTCCTTTACAAAAATTAAAACATCAGTTACACAGTGTCCTACCTCGACTCACCCATCCAAAAAAAAATAAACCTTACATGCTTGTGGTTTTACTGTTTGTAACATCAGTGTCTTGTGTACTGTTTCTTTACTTCTTCTAAGTATTGACCTTTACTTCAATGTTTCGTGCAACAAATGTTCCTTTTCTTTCCAATCTGACGTTTTTGTCAATGTCTAGTCTACTGTTTCTTCCTTTTACTTTGTTTGTAACGATTATATTGCGCACTGTTATTTCATTTCTCTGTTTGGTAGTTTTGTTTAGTTGTATCTTGCGCATAGCTCGTTGTCTTGTCTCCGATTAAATATTTCGTTAGAATCTTGCACAGTGCTTTTTCTCGTCTCTGTTTGATTTCCAAATTAATATCTACCTCACTGTTTGTTCCACTTTACATTTGTTTCCTACGATAGAATCTAGCCCCCTGATTTTTCCTGAACCCCTTAACTCCCATGAGTGACCAAGACAGAATTTCTCCTCACAATATCAACTCAGAACCAAGCAGACAAGTGAGGAGAATAAAGAAGAAAACTCAATCAGGGAACAACGAGTTGATCCAATGCCAAATTCTCCAAATTGAAATCATGAGAGTTTTATGGCGGAGAGTAGGGAGAATTACTAATGAGATCTTGGAAGTTTGAGGGTTAATTCTAACTAATTGTCACATCCGTATCCTATGAACTGTTTGCACTCTTCTAGTTGGCGTTAGCATCTCACGCAATGTTTTCCTCCCTAATTTTATCTCAATATTCCGCTCACAATTTCTCTTCATCTCTATTTGTTAATACTTTTTTTTTAAGTATATTGTACTCTGTTTGTTCTCTTACCCATTTAACTCTTAGATTACTATGTAGCGCCCAGTTCTCATCACTGTTGGATTTTTGCGGTAGTTCTCAACCATTTTTCTCTTCTCTGTCTGATTTTTACGAAACTATCTTCTCTCGTTTATTCAATTGTGTCCTAAGTATCTCGGCACTTTTTGTTCCCTCTTCTAATAGTTTGTTATGTTATCATTTCCTGCACCTGTGAACAGTCTTATTCACTCATTAATGTTCACGGGTGCATGCAACGAGAGAATTGAAAACAAGATCACAGTGATTTAAATCAAAGATTAATTTTGAGTTTTGACGACACTTTGCTAGCTTTCTCAAATTTTTATACATTACGCTAATTTCTTGCGTTCAGTTTTCCCATCTCAAATTATTGTAGTTCCATATCGATAGTATACTTCATAGATCAAACGGCTAAATTGCAGGTTTCCAGTCACCGTCGTTCGCTTTCGATTAAGCCCTGGCTACAAAACTACGCGAAATCTACTACTTGACTTGAAAAAGAAATTAAAAATGTCTTTGCAAAGTAATACCAGTGTCCAATGAAAGACAACGTACAGGAAGGAGAATCTTTTTGTACGATCAGTAGTCACTCTGTTTCTTCTCCGCCTCTTTGGTGTCCTCTCTGAGTTCTTCTTTCCTAAAACAAACATTATACATTTGTCACTATGTCAACTTTAAAGTAAATGGAACAGATAAAACAGTAAACGGAACATCGTCATAGCGTCTGGCATCGTATCGACCTTGAGTAATAATTTCTGAGTATATTGCATACAAAGAAACGCTAATTCAAAGCCAATTTTAGAAAGCCTTTCGAGCAAATATTCTGGCTTCGAGCAATGGATAAAATCAACTTTTTCTTCTTGGCATTTTGTGGATGAAAGACAAAGACAAAGACAACAAAAAAATTACGACAACTAAGTGAACTGAACAAGTTAAGTGTGCTGATCGGTTTATCGTAGAAAATTGCTCATTATAATCAGCCTTACCCTTTTTTCATAAAATCAAATGTCACGTTATCCCCCATCAACATAAACGGAGCCCATTGGGCAGGTTTGGGGTAACCATTGCTTCTCATCCATTGGACAGCCTGGTGAAGAGATTCACTGGCACTTTCTCCACGAACAAGGTGTTTATAGAAATGTTTCATGAGCTTCACCGTTGCTTTGTCTTCTAGAGCCCACGATGCTACCAACACTGAACGTGCACCGGATGCTAAGAATGCTCGAGCGATTCCAATAACTCCTTCCTTTTTAACCAATCCGCGCCCACTGTGAGAACAGCTAAGTACTACCAGTTTAGCTCGCACTTGAACTCCTTCAATGTCGGACATTGTCAGGAGGTAGTCTTCCTCTTGTGGAGTACTGTTAGTAGTACATTGAGGAGAGAGGGCAATCTCTCCTCTTTCGGCATTTCCATGTGCGGCAAGATGTATCAGACTCACTGAAGGTATTGCTTGAAGAACCGCCTGCTTTGTTGCGCGACTTCCTAACAAAGGCTGAACGCCCAGCAGTTGAGCAACCATCTCTGCTTCCTTACTTGCAAAGAAAATTGGAGTCATGTCAGTGAGACGTCCATTGTAATGCACTTTGCCAACCGTTGGATCACCCACAACCAGTGCACCGGTTTGTCTGTGATAGTCTGCTGGACATTCTTGGATGAGCCGGAGAGTCGTCAGTGAAGGGACGATGCGTATTCTGTACCTCTCGGATAAATACTTTCCGGCTGGTTCATCACGCAAGGCAGCAAATGGGACTCGGTACGAAAAACGATCCGGTACAATGATGATTTCGGGCTCCGTAAGTAAATCTGCCACAGGTGCGACGATCCATTCGTAGCACAAATAATGACTTCCTCTGTTATCTTTGGTTTCGTTACCTCGCAAATTTGCTTGGCTCTCTTCATGAAGAGATGTAGTAACTTTGTCATCCGGCGATCGATCTTCGCAGTTCGCTGCGGGTAAAACATCAAAGCAGGTGGTGCACTTTTCGAAAATGTCTTCCACATCACAAACATTCACAGCAACGTGGTCATACGGCGATCGATCTTCGCAGTTCGCTGCGGGTAAAACACCAAAGCAGGCAGCGCTCTTTTTGAAAATTCCTTCCACATCGCAAACTCTCTCAGCGATGAGAGTCTCTACTTTCACTTCGTCTGTTTTTCGAAAGAAAATGTCTCCATTTGCTTTTAATACCCAGAGAAGAACTTTCCGATCTGTATACGAAATGTACAAAAAAACACAGTTACTTTCTCTTTTCACGATGTTTTCAATCCCAAACCATGATGGTGGATCAGCTGAGATGTGGCTTTCAGTGGAGTACTTGCCTGCCATGAATTCTGCGAGGACTCTTGCTCGTCCCAGCTCCTCAACGTAGAGAGCATTTTGGAATTTTCCAGTGCCACAAAGGAAGTTAGTGAGTAACATATACGGAAAAGTACCGTGATTCTCTAACAGAGACATTTGAAATCCGCTGTTTCCTTTCAAAAGAGTTCTGATTTGTTCATATTTTTCAATACAACGAAGCAGATAATCCATTGCCTCCGAAGCTTCTGATTGCGATATCTTTAACACTGTAAAGCTGAGAAGGCTTTGAAACTCAATCATTTTGTTTCCAATTTGGCTGCTGATGGAACAAGCTTTCTGTAAATAATCTGCTGCTTTGCCACATTCACCAAACGATAGGGATAGATTTCCAAGGTTTAGGTAAAGTTGTGCTTCGAACTCTCGATTGCCACGTTCTCTCCGGATTGTAAGCGCCTTCTCACAGTATTCTTTTGCCTTCTGACTGTCATTTACAGTAGCAAAGACAGCTGCCAAACCTACAGTGGCCATGGCTCCTAATTCTCCGTCACCAATTGTAAGACTGACGCCGACTGCTTTGTCCAAATGTTCTTTAGCTTGCAAATTTTTATGAAGCTTACGGTAAACATTTCCAAGATTAAAGTATGCTAAACCTTCTCCTCTTCTGGCGCCAATTTCTATTGCAATGGCAAGCGCTTTCTCGTGATATTCTCTAGCCTTCTGATGTTCGCCGAGGGAGTGAAACACATTTCCGAGGTTCCCGTATGTTGTTCCTTCTCCTTCTCTGTCGCCAATTTCTATCGCGATGGTAAGTGCTTTCTCGTGATGTTCTTTAGCCTTGTGGTATTCGCCTAGGGAATGAAACACACTTCCGAGGTTCCCATATCTTGTTCCTTCTCCATTTCTGTCGCCAATTTCTACCGCGATGGCAAGTGCCTCCTCGTGATATTCTTTAGCCTTTTGACATTCGCCCAGGGAATGAAACACACTTCCGAGGTTCGTGTATGTTGTTCCTTCTCCATATCTGTTGCCAATTTCTATCGCGATGGCAAGTGCTTTCTCGTGATATTCTTTAGCCTTGCGATATTCGCCCAGGGAATCAAACACACTTCCGAGGTTCCCGCATGTTGTTCCTTCTCCACTTCTGTCGCCAATTTCTATCGCGATGGCAAGTGCCTTCTCGTGATATTCTTTAGCCTTGTGATATTCGCCCAGGGAACCAAACACACTTCCGAGGTTCGTGTAAGTTGTTTCTTCTCCATATCTGTTGCCAATTTCTATCGCGATGGCAAGTGCTTTCTCGTGATATTCTTTAGCCTTGCGATACTCGCCCAGGGAATCAAACACACTTCCGAGGTTCCCGCATGTTGTTCCTTCTCCACTTCTGTCGCCAATTTCTATCGCGATGGCAAGTGCCTTCTCGTGATATTCTTTAGCCTTCTGATACTCACTGAGGCTTGAACACACATTTCCAAGTCTTACATGAGCCATTGCTTCTTGTCTTTTGTGACCAATTGTTTTCATGATGGTGAGTGCGCCTTGAAAGAGTTGCTTTGCCTCAACAAACCGGCTTTGTGCTTCATATTTGTCTCCCAGTATTATGGTTAGTCTCCCAGCATGGTGAAACGTGTCAAGAAGTGTGGTGACATATCTTTCCGCATCAGTGTAACCAGAGATGGGGTGGTACGCATTGAATAGTACATCGGAGATACTAAGGTGACCACCAGAAACAAGGTTTTGAAGTAGAATTATACATTCATTACATAACGCAGTCGCTTGTAGGCCACGATCAGTGTTCAGGAGAAATATGGCGACATTTAAACCAATCTTGACTGAATTAAGGATTTCTGCAGCGTCACTCATAACGGCTCTCTCCTGTTTTTTGTGGTAAGAAAGAATCAACAAAAAAGGAAGCTTAAAAAAAAGTAACATTGACAAATGTTCCAGTCTGTAAACTGTGTTTAGGGAATTTGTGGTTGTCTTCCTTTTCACAAATGTTTAAGTGCAGCATTCCTTTTTCATTTTTTTTTTTTAACCAGTCACAAGTGTATCATCTGGGTTCAAATTACAATAATCGTAAAGCAGATTTAGGTAAAGCTATCAAAAAAGTTTTACCAGTAAAACAGTAGTTCATTTACCAATCGTGTTATGTTTGCATTCTGGTGAAAGGGTTTACACGTGACGCGTGATTGAGGCTAAAATTAAAATGTGAAGCGTGAATTTCATAGAAAGGCGAGCGTGATTCGTGAATTTATGAACCAATGTGGGGCGTGATTTGCCTCCTGAAATATACGTGATCCTTCAATTTCCTCTTTCATTTCGTGAAAAAATCAAGATTTCCCAGTAACACAAAAAAAAAGATTTGAAGGTTTCCCTTTTCTACACGTTACGCGGGAGTTTTTTCAAAAAATTCGCACGTGAAACACGATCAGGATCCCCACTTTGCAACCCTTCAAAAACCAGGGACAAACTCAGCTCTAATTTTCATTGTCATTTGATTTAGAATCGAGGCAAATCAATATATCTTGAATCGATCCGGAGATAGCCATCTATGTGACGTACATCTACTTTCGTTGCGTGGTGGACAAGTTTGATGAACATAAAGTGGTAGTAAAATTAAAGTTCTGAGACAAAGCAAAACCAAGGATAAAAACTGTTTCGGGTCAGTCCCGAACCACTTTTTCAAACTTACATCTAACTTCTCCCAGTACTTTTATTTTACAACTACTTATACTGAGACAAGCTTGGAAATCTAACTTCATAATTTAACAAGAAAATTACATATTGACTTGTCAACCTTCAGTATCAGAACGAATTTCGATAAATTCAATCATACGACAGGATCAGCATCAAAATTGTAATGTATATGCGACCGCCTTTGTTGGTGAAAGCTATCTATTTTGTAAAACGGGAAAGACTGTTTCTAAATTTATTTTTTTATTACGAACCTTTTACACAAAAAGCTTGTCTTGTTTGATATTCTAGTCGTATGACTGATGAAACCAAAAGTAAGAAACTGAAATAAGAGTTTCTCTGCAAAACAAAGATAAATGCAAATAGCCTTGAATTAATTTAAAATCTAGCAATACTGTGCGATTTGAATATACTCTGCGATACAACCGACACTGAAAAATGTTAAGCTACTTAGGAAGGCCAAGGAAACAACATTAGACGAGCTGGGTCAAACGGAAATTTTATGACAAGAAGAATTTCTGCTCATATGATGAACATTTTCCTGAAAAAATTTCAGTTTCGAATGGCCTTATTTCACCCAATTTTTACAATGAAAACACTAACAACGGTTACCACCTTTCTAAATCTGAAAAGTTGTTTTGCCGAAGATAACTTGACTGACCCCACGCCTGAAACGCTATGTGTACAACGTGTTAACATTTGTAAACTTCTCATGGCGTTTTTGGGCACAGATTGGGCATGTCTATTTGATTCAATTCACACAAGCGATTTGATTGTTATCCAACTGATGGATAGGTATAAATGAAACGAATTTGACTCAACACGGCAGAAATACCGATGTTAATGCGTCAGAGATTTTTTCTCCAAGGGATACGAAGAAAATTTTGAAAAAAGAAGGGAATTTATGAAGAACGACGTCCTTCTATAGCAATTCAAATTGAGTCAGAATATTAATCAATATAATAATGGTCTATGCATGTAAAAGCAGACTTGATTACCAAGGCGTTGAAATATGAATTTGGCAATTGATTAGAAGTCGCATCAACACATCAGCACATTAATTAACAATTAAATATCGCACTTACCTCGACTCAAACTCTGAACGCTTTATTGCTTTGTATGGTTGAAGCAGCCAAATTGAGAGTTTCGTTTAGAATCAGCGGCTTGTGTCTATTCTAAGGTTATAAGCACGTGGTGAATCTCAGCCCACCCCTGGGAGGTCCGAGATTTAATATAATTGACTAGACAATTCGGGAGAGGTTTGCGGGGAGTCTGGCACTAATTGTCAATACCAGACCCCGGTCAGACCTCTCGGTGGCTTGTGTTCCTGAAGGTCGCATAGTTCGTACGAGCGAAGATGCGCTCGTGACCAAATGTCAATAGTGAGGTCTCGCATGCTAGTGGAACCTCCGTCGCAGCCGTTGTTCGCTCTCGTCACGCAATGGGAGGAAAAAGAGAACGTTGCGTGACGAGACCAAAAAATGGCGGCGAAGGAGACTACATTGAGTGTTGCTCCAATGCTGTTTATTTTTGCATACAATTATTCAGACAAAAGCAACAATAGACCGCAAAAGACCTGTGCCTGAGTTTATTTCGGATGAATTGAAAGGTTTTCTGGTTTTTTTTGCCCTTCATTGAACGACATTTTTGTTGGAATCTTTTGAAAAGTAATAACTTTTTTCTTGTACTAAAATGCAAACGTCAGTTACTTAGTGGCCCATCCTAACCCACCATCAAAAAAGAAAAAAACTCTTGCATGCGTTGCATGCCTATGTTTACACGTTGCGTGGCCAAGAGAACCGGAATAATCTCGTTTTACCGCGTCGTTTTTCGTAACGCTTAATGCGATTAGCGATCTGGTAGCCTGCAGGATTACCGTCATTAGAGCTGCAGCGGCAAGTAGCTTGTAAAGATTCTAAAAAGTGAAAAATGTTGCGCATGCAAATATAAATATATGTCTGCAAGAAATACTACAAAGAACTTTACTTGAAAATATGTAAGATCACGTGGAATAGCATCTTAGCATGTTTAAAGAGTTCTCGTATCTATCAATTCCACAAAAAGAGGTCTTCATATTCTTTTCCTATGCATGTGCACATGTTGGCTGGCTTCTGGTGGAAGCAAAGAGGCCACCTTCTGGCCGGCCATTATTAATTATAATTTTCTCGAATAAGTCAGACGAGAGTTCATCGCACCTGGCTGCTATGGTCGTGATACCAGCTAAGTCGAGCGCCTTCCCATAACTATGGTCTGGGAATATGCTCCTCACTGCGCGCCTTTGGAGTCTTTCATTTTGATCAGAGTGGTAGCCAGGGACACTGACCCGGATAATCTGAAATAGATTGATGAATCTGGAGCTGCTTTTTGTCTGTCTAGAGGGAAATGGGAAGGCTCCCACTTCTGACGCTATATCTCCGCGTGAAAGAAAACTGCTCTAATGGCATATAGCCGCGTATCTCGTTGAAATGGAATTCTATGGTAAACCGAATGCAAAAGCCTTAAAAATTCCGTAGAGATCAAGAAATGTGCACCTTTACCAGCCAGGCTGTTCACAAGAAATTCTATTTTCCTCAGTAACTGGTGTCCTTTCGAGCCACTTCGTTCTAAAGTCGATCACATTTTCGGGAAAGTACTGAGGATTATTCGGAGAAATGTGCTGGTGTAGTAAAATATGTTCAGTGGATCACAGTGGTTTATACAGATTCTCCAAATCTTTTTCAAACTCTCATCGTGCACCAACACAAGCGTGCCTGGGAATTGATTAACAAGGATCATTATATTGTCATTTCGATGCAAGACAAGAATTCAAGTTCGCTCGTAAGGATCATTATGGGGACCCGCTGAAGTTGAAAAGATGCGACCATTGCCATGATAAGAACATAAAGGTCTATGGAAAGGACATAACCGTAAAAGTCGTAAAATCCCAGTTTTTAGTTCCACCTTTCCCCCGATTCCATTAAGGTAAATTCTTTAAACATAATTTTTTGTGTGTGGGCGTGTGTGCGTTTTTTGTCTCTCCATTTTTCTTCGTCGTTATTTAACTTACAACATTAAAATCATAAAGACTGGTAGGTTCTATTTTGCATCTTCAGCTGTGAAATTACGTTAATTTGCAAAGATTTCGCATATCCGCATATGGAGATCTATCTATTATCCTTATTTGAATCGCTAGATTTGTACAAATCCCTTAGAATAACTTTCGTGCAGGCGTCCAAAGTGAAGACATTTCTATTTAAAAAATATAATGAAATTGAGAACGCTTGAATTACGAAATTTAACGCCTTTTCAGTGATCTTTGCCTATTGTGACCACGTCACGCCAAAATCGCGAAATTAAGTTTCAGTAAGGTACATTTGCTTTTCTTGTTACTTGACGGTCTTTTGGATAACATTAACTTATAATTCAAAATGTCCTCACTGTATCACATACACAGAATATCTTCACAAAAAGTTATTTATTGATATCATCGTTACTCAGATAAAGCGGGAAATTACTTGAGGATTTAATAAGTGCTTTCGAAAATTACTCTAAGAAGCTTTCATATTCGGACGATTAAAAGAACCGGCACAATCGCCTAAAAACAATAACGTCTGAAATGGTACTGCCTGTTGTCCACTAAGTTATCGGCGAAATAAAGAACATTTGTATTCTAATGAGACGTCCATGCAGTTGAGGCGCCCAAACCTCGGGGGAACGGCTCGACTTAGTTGTGAAGGTGTGTCGAGGAGAGACATCACCGGACTTGAGAAGAAATACACGATTATTCCCTGAAGCTAGAGAGGAAAATGATCAGGCCTGCGAAAATCCCGCTTCTTTTCTTATTAGTAACTTTTACTTTATTAGCCGGTTACGGTGAGAGTCGTTTAAACTCTGGATTTCCCATGAGCGAGCCAACTGATGGAACGAAAGGTAAAGTTACAGTCAAGGAAGGTGTGCGCGTGATATTTCATTTTATTGTTAACGCGGTAATAGTTTAAAAATCCAGTTATGAATACAATGATTTGCTGAAATACATTCGCGATTGTCAGAAATAGTTAAAGTTCTTACCGGATCCGATTGGATTTTCTTCTAAAATTGATATCAACATTGTACCGCGTAATGTTTAACGACTCCAGCTTTCAAGACAGATTGCTAAGTGTAGTTTAGAATGGGTACCAAAAGAGATCGAAATTGGATTCTTAGAGTAAGGCCAACAGTACTGATGTAACCTGTTTACCAGAAGAAAAAAAACTAGTTTCATTCTTTGGTCGTTCATGTTTAACTGACTAACTTGCCATATTCGTTTTCCTCTAAAAGATGTGTTGAGTCGGCAACCTACTGATGGCGTCGTTTACTCTAAGAAAACAACAACCATCTGTGGCTTAGTGGATCAAGAAAGACAAATTGGACAAGGTAATTTATAATTTTCTATCCCAGCTGGCACATTTCTGGGAAATGATCTGGTAGTTTCACCAATACAAATGTCTAATTCCCATATAATTTTGTCCAATTAAAGCAGTCTTTTAATTTCAAGTTTCAAGCCATCAAACGGCGGGTTTAAAAAACTTTGAGCTTTGAAGCAAAACAAGCGAAATGTTGTGGTAGATGAGAGATCAGTGTTAAATCTGTGATATGTGTTGCCTTTGGAAGAAATAGAGTCAGCCGGTTTACCTTTACTATACGATCAACCTGAGGAAATGGCTTAATGATTGTATAAAGTAGCATACAGCCTGGAACTAAAAATCAAATTTATCTCAGACTTTTCACTTCTTTGTTAACGATAAGATAATTGTATTTGAAGATCTGACATTTATCTCCATGGCAGATGTTGGAAAGGCGGCAAGCATATTTCTCACCATCAAAAAGTCTCCCAACATGAGTGAAAAAATAACACGAACAAATAAATATGGCTCTCCGGGATTTGGGGGTTGTGTAGTTTGGTGAACCAGATTATTTTCTTTCTCTGAAAGAGAGTTAATATAACCGCAAAGAATTACACATATTTTTATTTTTATTTGCGTTCACCTACCAGCCAGGCTTTTTCAATGGAAATCGTCCAATTTTCGGAGCTAAAATGCTCACCATGAAATATATGTAAAACGTTAAAAACTTATAAAAAATTTATTTTCAGGAATAGACTTGCAGCCAGTTTACAGAAATGTCAAGACTTGTCAGATTACTTCACTGAAAACAGGAAACAAAATTGATCAACGCACCGGAGTGGTAAACTTAAACTGTTCTTTTCGCTTGCAAACTAAAACGCTTTGTTTTCTGCCCTGTTTTGCAGCGATTTATTCGAATGAAGTCAGGCCGTTCGAATATTTGCTTGTTTCTGTTCCTTGAGCTTGAACTTTTAACCAGCCAGGCTAGTATAGATATAATTCGTGTCATAAAATTCTCATTTCTGAGATCGAGAGGTCGTTTGTCGTGGGCAACAAAGCCTGTGGTGTATGCTCAATTCCTTGCCAAAAATTGACTGGATTTTTAATAAAAAACATTGAACTGCGAAGTACTTCAATATCTAGATTTTGTGTCAAAAATCACCCGAGTCTCGTTAAAAAGTTGTACTTTGATCATATAATACCGTCATGTTTGTTCACATCAAAACTTGTCACTGTTTTTTAGTCTTGTAAGCTCCCTCAAATGTGCATCGCCAACGAAAGTTCAGTTGAAGAGCTAGCACTGTTGAAGGGCCAAATAGAGCTAACAAGTGCCCATGGCTGCCAATGTATCGACCCTCAATCTCGCTGCTATAAACAGAGAAACATACAGGTGTACCATTGGGGAACTAAATATGAGAAGATTGTTGATGTCGGTCGCTGTGTCGGCTCTTGTCACCAAAAAGGTAGAGTAGACGGCACAGCCACTTTAAATATTTAGCACAGAGGTTTCCATGGCAATGAAATGAAAGATGACTAATGTACATCAATACTGCGGATTTCGACAAAATTTTTTGGAAGTGATAACGCATTTTTCTCTTGTTCCAGGAAAGAAATCTTGTCAACCGATGGCCAGTAAAGTTGTTAATGTCAAAGGTCCAAACGGTAAATATTATAAGATTCTAATATTGTTCGCTGTCGATCTTGTGATGATAGCGCTATCGTAATCACCATGGTCGTCACTGTCACCATCGTCATTTTCAATTAAGTCTCGAAAATAATCCGGGGTTGCTTTGATTTTGCTTTACTTCGCTCTGTAATTGGTCCAGAAAACTCACGCTGCTCTCCTAACCAATCAGATGCAGAACCAAAACCAATCATGAATTGGTCGCCCGCGTTTTCCCGCGCTTCTAGCAGTTTGCTTGGTTTTAGTTTGAGTTCTCAATGGTTCCTTAGGTTATAAGGGCATTTTTTTTCTTCTGATTTGTCTTTTTGAAAACTTTAGTTTTGGTTTTACGACACTCAGCCGACTAATTTTTTCAGGTGCTCTAACAATGAGCTAGAGGAGAGTCGTGCAGGCTAGGCCGTTTAACTACGGCCACGGTGACATACTTTCTGAAAATCGTAAATACCTATTGGACGGTTCGACTCCTGTTGATAGCACTCTGAGTTCTTTTTTTCCGAGTATGCCTGTGTCATTCACTGAATGACACCATTTTTACCTAAATAACCAGGCTTCAAAATGAACCACCTTCATTTACATCGTCATCGCGCAAAAGTATCACGTACCGATATTTATATCCTAGCAGTATACAGAACGTTTGTCACCGTAGAGTACGTTTAACGGCCTAGCCTGCCACGAGTCTTCTATAGCTCAGTGGTAAAACATCCGAAGTAATAATCGGAAAATGGTCGTAGGTTCGACTCCTGTCGGGAGCACCTCAAGTCTTTACCTCCGAGTATTCCTTTATCATTCAATAAATAACATCATCTTCACATGGAATAACTATCACCAAAATGTACATGTTGTTTAGGTAAATCAATAAAATGTAAAAGTTCATCGTTATCAGTCTCAGCCACTAAATATTCATCCTTTCTTTTGATTGCTGAATGTTATTATTTCTGCAGGTGCGCACTGCGTTGAAAAAGTTTTAGAGTGCGGCTGTGCGAGAAGTTGTTACCGTATGTCATTTCACCAGTTGTACAAGACAACCATATATGACGGAGATGCTGGTTTAAACAAAACCCTGGAAGTGGTAAATATATGGCACTTATCCGGGTTAATTGGTAGTTTTTCTTTGGTTAAGTGCATGTGTTTATCCTATAACGTTAAAGCCATGACCGGTTCAACACCCCTTCCTCTCCCTTCCCCCCCCCCCCCCCCATCCAGAAAAGGGTCAATTGAGGTCTTAAGCAAGCCTGTCCATAAAGGAACAAATCTGTTAATTCTACGAACCAAATTATCCTAACCTGCCCCACAGCTGCGTCAAATATGTCTCGTGGCCGAAATTCCAGTTTGCGTTGAAGTGGAGCCAAAAATGCCCGAAAAGTCCTGGGGCCCATTTCTCGAAGGTCCCGGTAATTTAAGGGGCCCATAAAGCTGTTCTGTTTTCATTTAAGATGGGGGGTTCTAAGGTTTTGAGAATGATAGATTAAACTGGCAGCTAAAGCAACAAAATGGACTGTTTAGGGTTTCAGAGCCTGCTTCTCTATTCTTTAACTTTTGAAGTTAAAATATGGCTTCGAGCCCCTTACGTTACCGCCGGGACCTTCGAGAAACAGACCCCAGGTCACCAACATCCATTGCCCACTAAAACTTTCTATCGGATGAACTGAGAGTTATCGGAGATTTCTCTGATTTCTCTGATACACCATTGTAATTCTTATTATTCATGATATGAGTTTTTGTATTTTTAACATTATAGTAAATAGTTCCTTGTTATTCATGATATAAGTTTTTGTTTTTGCTTTTGTATGTTTAACATTATAGTCAATAGTTCTTAAAGTATTTTAGTATAATTTAAACACGATTCCTAGGAAGACCATGTAAAATGATATGATTTCGTGTATAAATAAAGATTGATGATGATGATGATGATGATGATGATGATAAGAGACATACGCACCACTGGACGAGTTTTGCATCCCATAATGAGCATTCGGGTGGAACAAGCAATACTAAATTAACTGACCAATCATCTATCACCTTGAAGCAAACTCATGGGACTTGAAATATTGATAACTTTAAAAACGAACTATAAAACGGTTTATTTCTCTATAGGTCATTGATATCGGCCGATGTGTTGGACAATGTCCTAAGAAGAAGAAGGCGCGCTGTCTTCACTGGTAAGGATTTGAAGCATTTTCCCATTTTTTTAAAATAAAAATGTATCAGTGGATATCAAAAACGTACGCACACGGCAAAATTCTTTACTTGGACTTTAAAACCTTATATACCTGAACACGGTCGACAAAACTCTATCTATCAGCTTATTTATTACCTTTCAGGGTTGATAATCCTTTATGGAGCCCAGGCTCTGCTGTTCCGTTTAAAGTGTGTCTGTTGTCGTCCCCAACTGGACAGAATAAAGCAGAATGTCGCCCCAGGTCCTTTGAGGATAGAGCCTTGTATCCTAGCAACGGTGTCTCTAACACTGTTAAGGTCATAAAACGCTGTAAATGCTATTAACACTTGCGTAACCATAGAAACAGTAAAATCCACTTACAACAGTCCTTCAGGTTGAATCCGAAAACCTCTTATGGATTTTGGTTCTGATAAGATTACAGACAGGAGTATCAAGCCGATTGATCCGGGGCCTTTTTACACAACCCCATCCCCCCCTCCCCCCTCCCTTTACCAGGTAACTTTTGTCGAAACCTGGGTTTACTCGCGTGGTAGGGTTGAGATTTCTCAATTTTTTTTTTTTTAATGTAAACACTGGCTGGAGCTAACTCAGTTTGGCACTTTCAATCAAATGATTAGGTTTGTTCCTTTTTTAAATTTTTTTTCATGCTTTATGACTTTCCACCTTGCCGTCAGTCTCGACTCTTTCGTAACCTTTCAAGTGAGGAGCTGAGAACTATTCTCAGATCGAAACATTTGCAAATACAGACGGGTAACTTGATTTTTCGTTTAGTGAACCTTGACTGCAAATTAACCTGGGCTTGTGTAAGGAAACCCTAAACCCTGTGTACAGTCCTCATTTGTAGGGAACTACTCTTGGGTTATTTTTTGGTTCCTAAGATCGCGTGGACAACCCATCAGATATCTTTTAATCAACCCTCTGCGAAAACATCCCAGAAACGCGCTTGGTGTGTTAAAAATTATTTCCAGGAGACCAGATTCCATCAACTAAAAAAAAGATTTAGGAAGGCAGATATCCCTAGATTAATCCTCTTTGTTTGTATAAGAAACATAGGGTTTCATCCTCATGATCTTCTCAACAAAGAGAGGAAGCTTTATATTACTTTTTCAGCAACTTCCATCAAATTCAGACCATTCAGATGACAAATTCGTAGCCTACTAATGATCTAATCCAAGGGCCCCTGTAAGTGGGTTTTATTCTTTGGTCAAAGCCATCAAAGTTCTTTAATTTCTCACTATAGTTGCACTCGACCATATTACTCATGAGTTGATGACAATGTTGAAGCGCAAAATGATCATGAGAATGTACTTCGGTGATATTCTCCCACACAGAAGTGTTCGTAAATCCTAAAACCGCTAAAGCAGATATCTCTCAGCTGCAGGAAAGACGGAAAAATTAAAAATCACAGGTTTTTTTTCGTTGAGTACTTTATTTCTGTGAGATAGCAGATAAAGACTTGACATAATCGGTTAATGAATCGAACATATGAATAATACCTAGTTCGTGTCCACGAATATGATTAGCACGCAAGGAGATTTATGAGCACTTCATGTATGATGCACGCACATACACTTGCACTCATTTCAAAGACGTTTATAGCTTCACCTGCAATAAAAGCATTTAAAAACGTAGCGTGGTCTATTACAAACTCTAAGATTTATTTGGGTATTACAGTATTTTATAGCCTCGTTAGAGAAAAGCTTCTAAGTTTCCGGCGTGGTGACTTTAATGACTGAATTGATGAGAAACACTCAGTATCATACAACATAATAAGAAGGACAATCTTTGAAACGGGAAACAAAAGAATACATTTTGATGAAAAGGCAGTGGAGCCTTTTAAAATATTGGAAGATTTATCTTAAGCCGAGTCAACTTCATTTTGCCATCAAATTTTCTCAAAATGGATGGTTCCTAGTTTGTTGCCACAAGCAAACATCATTGCTTTTTTAACAGTTTCCAGAATGTCCATGATTGATTTTTACAATGCATTAGTAGGTTACTTCAATCTTATCCAACAATATATCATTTCGCCAAGCGCGATCCTAATTAAACAATCACGAGACTTAATATTTCGCCGGACCAATTTAATGCTGTGTAAGCGGAAGTCGTTCGAGAGAGGGGGAGGAGAAGAGCCACCCTGCCCCTCCCTGCTCCGTTTAATATTGATACTCTCTTGACTAAGATTCCCCCTCTTCCCCCTCCGAAAAACTATATTAGGAAAGAAACACAATTCTGTACAATGCAGCACTCTACTTTCTTAGTTGTTTACCCTTAAATTCTCAAGATCCAATTAGGAATTCTCCTTACCGTACCTTCTAAATCACACTTGATAATTTGGTCTTATTCCAGAGTAACACCCTCTAACTGATAAACTTGTCGTTCTCACAACTTTTCTACAAGACAGCCGATTGGAGTTTCAAGGAGAAGTTGCATGTTAATCACTTCTGGAAGTTAAAATGAGTAAAAGTGTTAGCATAGAAGGAGTTCATCTGGTGATAGCTCTAATATTTCACGCTGAATAATACCTTCAGTTTTTTCTCAATTTAAACTTTCCATCACAGTAAGCAATGTTTTCTACAGCTGCTCCTTAAATGGAGGATCAATACAGAGGTCTTTTCCTGTTCAAGACTCTGTAACTGAGGCTTTTACAGGCATATGCACTCATTGACCACCATATTGGACAGTTCCTCGATTTTGGGTTCACCGTCCTTGAAGTACAGAATGACCAGGGGCTCATAAGTCTTAGGTACACAGCAGGGGTCCCCTGGAGCGCTAGGCTTGATCTTGTTGTACAAAGTCATGATGGAGGTGTGATGATTTTTTTTATCAACTCCCCACATAAAAGAACACTGTCCTGCGCAGTAGTTTGGGTAGAAACCTTTAGGCGCATGTATCCAATTCCACCGCAAATCCTTTCGAAAGTCCACGTACAGCGAGCGAAGGCAGCAGCGAGTCTCTTTTGGTCGTATCCGGCAGTAATCCGAATTAAGAGATCGTCTTTTTCTTTTTGTCGACTGCACTCGTTCATTAGGCACAAACCAGGCGAGAATATGCGGCCATGGCTCGTCGTCTTCGCTTTCCACATTGTTGAGCACTGGATCGACATCGCCCAGATAAATTGGAGAGACATGCCAATCGTTTCCCGTAGGTAAAGAACTTGTAACAGTCACTGTCAATCCGTGGTTCGTTTCTGAATCATCTAACCATCCCTGAACCACTGAGGTCACATCGAAAGAGATCCATTTCTCTTCAGTGGACACGCTCCATTTTGTACTTAGCACAGTGGAGCAGCCATTTATGTTGTTTTTGTTGTATTTTCGTGTGTTTTCACAAACATCAATTCGCACATCACTCACAGGATGTCGCTGGTTTGGTGTCTGATAAACGCGCAGCTCTGCCAGAGACACGCTAACTTTCTCCTTCACCAGCCTACTGGTATTAAACCTCAGCCAGTATATATCTTTGACATTCCTGTCTTTAGAACCTGTGAAATAGTCAAGTTATTCTGTCAGTTCGTTACCTATTTCACCATATCGTTCCCTGTTGTACAGTGATAGAGCATCAGAGCGCGAAATCTTAAGATCTAAGATTTGATTCCTCATGGGAACTAAAATCTTTCCTTCGTCAAACTCTCGTAACAAGACTTTGGAAAAACATCTCTCTTCATCTTGAACTTCGTTTGGAGTTTTTTTTTTCAATGTATACAGAAACTTATTCAAGAACAGTGTAACCTCGTCCACTTACTATCGGATATCTCGGACTCGCCATTCTCTCAAACTACAATTTTCGTTTCCTTCACAGTCAGATTAACAGAGTTCCAAGCGTATTTTCCTGTTCTTGTAGTTATAAATGATAATTTTATGACGGCTGTCATGACAAGTTAGCAAGAGAAAAGTGAATGTGGCGATAAACTAAAATCTCGGTATTCATTAAATGAAGACGATGGATCATGAAACAACAAAACTAATTAAAAGTTTTTTTAAATGTAAATCAGCTTTAAGGTTATCATGGCATACTCACTTGATACAGCCGTTCGTGCGACCTCTTTTTCCATCAGAATTCGCTCAACTCTCTTCGCGAAAAACTCTTCGGTGTCAATCTGGGAACGGCAAATTTTCGTTTCAAGTAAAAGCTTGTCTTTTTCCCTCACCGCACTTTTGTAGGTCTGCAAGACCTGACGACTCACATTCGAAGCACTTTTACTTTCATCTGGGGGCTTCTTTAAACCGAGCTTCGCCAAAATTTGTCCTTGGACAGTAATCAATCTTTTCTCTCGTTCCACTTTGCTGTTGCACAACTTACATCCACTTATAGTAGGAACTTGGACGACATTTATCCATATAGCTGACCAAATACAGGTGGAAAAGATTCCGAACATTTGAAATAGCACCGACATTATTTCGAATGAGATTGCACCGAGAGTTGAATTAATAAGGAATATAGTGCTAAGTGAATGTCCGTGTAAAACACAATTAAGATCTCTTCAAATGGCAGCCCCATTGAAAGCACCTCCTTTGATAATTCAAGCTTGAACTGAGGTGACGAAACAATACTGATGGCTCGCAGGTGGTAATTAGAGCTTATGAAGGCAAAAATATTAATTGTTAAAAGGGATTACAGTTTTCAAAACAAGAGAACTCTCTCTGAACGACCGCTTGTCTGCGTAGAGTAGCTCAAAATGTTCCGAAAATTTTTGCATATTGTTGAAGAGATGGAAATGTCTGGCAAAGTTGTCTTGATGTTCATTTAATATCGTTGAGAGGGAAAATATATTTAACGCTAAAAGAATAGTACTCTTCAACGGAACAAACGGGAAACTTTGCCAATGAGCTCGAAGGAGTTACGCCGCACACAAAAAGCGCAAGAGTCTGGCTTTCTTATCTCTAAATTTTTCTATGCAAGTTGTCTCGTTCGTATTTACATTTACAGTTTTTCTTATACCTATTAAAAAAAGATTGGCACTCTCCGGGAATAATAAAGCTCAATGAGATGAAAACAATTACATTCGATTTCATGCTAATAGATGTCTCCCTAAGGATTCAATGGACTAATGGCTGCCTTCATTACTCCGCTGCTTTTCAACAGACTGACGGTTTAGTAATCCTAGGCGTTGTTGTCTTTATTTCCTCACAAGATAAAAATTATATGTATTATGTTACAAAACGGAAGCGTTAAAAAGTAGTAAAAAGGTTAAAAATAGTAAAATTGTAAACATTTATAAACACTACCCCACAACGCTACCTTGTATTTGAAAATTAGACTAACAACATGAGAATCTTTAGAACGGTTTGGATTAACTTTGGGGCAATAAAATGATTTGTTTCTATAATCATATTTCTTTCCCGGCTTTTTCTTTGGGATTAAATTTCTGGGTGGACGGAAATTTAACTTTTGACACTTAATGAGGGCCTCAATAGAGTGTTGGCTTTTAAGGCCAACGGTTAAAATTTTGGCAATCTTATCGCTTACGATTAATTTCTTTCCGTTGCAATTAAGAGAAATTGTTTACGTTTAACTTCTGTTACGACCAACGGTTAAAATTTTGCCAATTTTTACGCCTGACGGCTAAATTTTTTTTGCCGTTTTATGGCAAACGGTGAACCTCATTGACACCCTCGTTTATTGCATATTTTTTTTGTCCAGTTTCTTAAGAAGTTTGCTTGCGTTTTTGTTTTAATTTCACCTGAGCTAAGTAAACGAGTCACGTGTAATTATGACAAGGTCATTAATTAGAAGCGATCACAAACTTAACTCGGGCTGCCAAAACTTCTGTTGTTTAATTAACTTTAAGAGGTCAATTTTTGCTGATAATTTTTGTGCATCTGCATCTTACATTCAACACTGTTGCGGTTTACGCTATTTCTCTAAGGGACCAGTCCACATTTATCATCAAGAAGGGAGAAGAGTGGGTTTGAGGATCTCATTACTCTCAGGGGGAACAGAGGGGATTCAGTCGTTGCTAACAGAGTATAAGGGAGAAAATTGACTGCCAACGGGAGGGAGGGAGGATCCTTAGAGAACTACAGAGCCGTATAGAGGGATTATGAAAATGTTTGTGACATAACCCGAATATTCCGAACCCCCTCCCCCCCGGCGATAAATAATTACCGGCCATAAATTATTCTTCCATCTCTTCTCTCTCCTTTACTCAATATGTAAACTGCACTTGCTAAAAAAGGTAGTAGAGCTCGATCTATGCAGTAGCGCCTTGTTTATCGACACGCACAGGACTCCACCACAGTTACTCTCTTGTCACCCAATATCTCTACTCTGGTGGATTCTGGGTAACATCCTTTTTGTCTCGTCTTGGTATGGATTACGCATCGCCTTGCTCTTGACCCTGATTCGTCTGGGTTGTTTATCCTGTGTAATGAAATGAATCAGTGGGCAGACGGTTACATCCAAGAGCATTAATGTTCTGCCATTATCCAAATCTATCATTGTACTTCCCTTTAGGGACCGGTCATTTTTCACCCTGTCTGGGGGTGGGGAGGACAGAAGATTTTGGGGATCATACATGGTTTGCAGGGATCTTAAAATTGAGAGCCCGATGGTCCACCACTCGAAAACATAATTTCTGCTTAGCAACCTTTTAATGCTTCATAGATAAACTGGATTTCATCTCATTCTCACAACAATACTTACCAGAAAAGACATTCACCCTTCACATGTCCAGAACAAGTTCCGACGCAGCGTCCAACATCAATGATCTGAAAAAAAATTGAATATACTGAAATAAGATAGCAAAAAAAGCATTTACCTTCAAAATTGTTGTTCCTTTCGGAAGAGCTATGTTTCTTTAACCAAAACGCACTGACGAATATTTATTAAAAGCAAAAACTGGATCACAGTTATTTAAACCTAGCCTTCTGATTGGCTGAACGGAGCCACGTTATGAGCTTGTAACCTCTTGCAACCTAATAGTACCGAGCTCAACGAAAAGAGAAAAAATTCTGTGAGCGAGCTGTCAAGCAATGCCACTAAATTTGGCATGAAAATGGTTTAAGGTATTTTACGGAAACTTAAGTCTATTTGCTATATGCATAACATGATTTGTTTACATGTTGTTTTTTTCTTCCGTCCGTTGTTAAACCAAATAAAATCTAGTTGGTAGTGTTGTTTTTAGTGCGCGCTTTTGCCAAAACAGTTTTTCTACTCAAGCTTGTCGAACATGAGATTATTATAACCAACTATTTATGATATCATCTCGTATTTGATGCACCCTCGTAGAATAATTGTTAATTAGTTACTGAGGTTCATTCATATTTGATGGTTTCTCTGTCGTGTAGGAGTAGTAGTACTTTTTTGTCTTACCTCTGTCATGGTTGTATTGTTAAGTTGGATTTGAACAGCCTCATTATGTGAGGCCCTATAGCATTTTCTCTCACATCCGCATGATTGAATCACCTCAACACATCTGGCCCCTGAACATAAAACATTCGGCCAGTAAGCTTTATTAAGTACATTGCAACAGTCGACGGACTAGGTGAACAATGTAATTTCTTCCTCAAGTCAAGTTTAAAATAATTGTATTAGTAGTCATAGCCCGTTTACGATATGTTCATTATTTAAAGCTAGGAGGGAGGTAAGGGGCCGGGGTTTTTGGTTGTGTCACGATGATATTTACTAAGTTCCCCCATAAACCTCGGTGATATTCCTATGACCCCAGCAGTTAATTGGCAGTCAATTTTCTACAATCCCTCCTTTGTACTCTGTTGACAACGACATTTCCCCCCCCCCAGGTTCCCCGAGAAAACCTTGTGACCCCCCAGAAAAATCCTCCAGGCCCCCCCCCCACCCCAGCCCCGAATAAATAATTACAAGAGATCATCAAGTTACAGATGACCGAATTTTGTTTTTTGGTTTTCTGTTGACTTTATTGTTCCTTACCGTTCGGACCCATAATTGTGACGGTTTTTGAAGAGGTTGATCGGCATTTGACGTCGCGTGCGCCTGAAAAAACGAGAGAAACTAGAATTAATTGAAGGCAACCCAATCAAACAGGTCAGAAGGCCTGGTTACCCATACAGGACCCTTGTTATATATCATGATCTGGCTCACGTCCTAGCTCGTCAAAAAAATATTTGTGGGGGGAAACAAGCCGCCACAAAATAGATGGCTATGGTTTCAATCATTACAGTTAATTCAGATTTTCTTTGCCCCGAGCTCATAACAGATGTGTGGTATCATTTTTCACTAATCCATAACGAAGTCTCGTACCCAGACCTTCCACGGTCAACTAGTTACATGGTAGGATCTGGGTACGAGATTATGCATAACCTTGCTCAAAATTCACAATTTGTCTTTCGCTTTCCATGCTTGTGTTAACGGAGCAAAATTCTCTCGAAACTATTCTAGTCCATTCTAGACGTTAAGTTAGAAAACGGAACGAAACAACAAACCATGCAATAGCAGAGGCGAATTGGAAAAGCGAGGGAAGCTTGGAACCGACCCAAGCCTCCCTAAGCCGCTCCTGTCGCGCCGTTGACTAACGCGCTTCGTTTTACCGACTGACTGTCTGGAACAGGCTAAAACAGAGAAAATGTTTAACTCTGACATTAAGGAGCATATATGAATTCAATTAAGACACCACTGACGGCATTTCTAGATTCCAAAGGGTAATCCAACCTTCACAAAATTGATTTATAACAATTTTTAAACGTTAACCGCCTTTTTTCTTATTGTAACCTGGCTGTTTAATTGTTATGTAGTAAAGCTTTATTCCTCATTGTTTTCCTTTCAAGCGAGTTTATCCAAACAATAGGGATCCAAAGAAAAAGGCTATCATGATTCAAACAATACTTTGATTGCAACAACCAGTTGGAATGCTATTTATTGTGGCTTAGAGAAGAAATATGCTTTACAAACCATACGTTCTCCCATTAAAAAGCATATATGAAGATTGACTTCTTAACGCGTTTCGAATTTGTTATTCAGAAATTGTCTTCAAGAGTGCAAAATATTCGAACATGGATGATGCCATTTTGAAAAAGAGCTCATTAACATGGCTGCACACACAACGCCATTCTTACTTGCATCAGAACCTGCCATAAGTATCTATCATTTAGCACTCTTTGAACGCCAAAATAAGCACTTACCGTATGAGAGGCACTTTCCAATGCACTGACCAACATCTACTCTCGTTTCAAACTTAGTCCCTCTGAAAAAGACTTGCTCAGAAGGCATACGCTGACATTTCTTTTCACGTGACGTACAGGTGCAGCTGAGAGCGCTTGTGACGTCACGAACATCGCTCAAGGACCTGACGGTTTTTACTTCGGCCAGGGAGGCAGTGCAAAAATTGGTACCAGGACAAAGTTTCTGAAAAATGTCAAGGTATGTGGACACGTAAGTACGTCTTATGTAAAGAACACGCTCGCTACAGGGGAAGTCTCGTTGCTTCGGACATTACGCATCTCTATATCCAATTGGTTAATTCTTGTCAGAACAGTCTTCAAGGTAAAATAAAACACGTTTCAAATGTGAAAAGGTTCGAATGAGCTAACTTTTCATTATAAACTACCGTCTTATGGCTTCTCGCGGAAAGGAATTCGAACATGTTGCGTTAAAAAATTCTTGCAAGTGAACATCGTTTTTTTGCCCTCGTATGTTAATGCGGCGCAAAACCCCTTTGCAGCACTTCTCGCGCGCATTATTAAATTTTTGTCGGAACTGAATCGCGCGCATCAATCAGTCAGATTTCAAAGTAACACCTACGATTTTTCTAAATCCATCATGAAACCCGGTAGTTAAGCCTGAGTAAGTGTGTGGACGTATTAACTCTCTACACCCTAACATCAGTATGCATATTCTCCACACTGCTCTATATACATTTCCTAAGGTGCTGAGAGGGAGAATTTGATTGCCAACCAAAATCTTCCTTCCCTGGTGATCATTTCCTTTATTCTCATGACCTTAATGAGCGATTCGGGAGTAACGTTGTAGGGAGAGATTAGATGCTCGTCACTCTTAGGATTTAGAGGGATGCATAGCATTACCCTCCCTCATCCTCCGATCTATTTTAATCGGCCATCACTTCCTGGTTTGTTAAACCCCGCTCTTTATTGCACTCCGGTTGTGTAACGAGCTCAAGAGCCTCTTAACTTCTTAGTTCTCAAAGGATATTGAATAAGTGGTTTTAGAGCGATTCTTCGCGAGTTTCAACTGTTTTTAATGCACGAAACGTTTACCCCTTTGTGCGCTTCTAAGCTAAAACTCGTGAATCGTAACTTGAAAAGAAGTTGATACACACCGCATCTTCCTCTAGTTCCTGATCGTTCCTAGTGGCGTCTACAAGACTTGTTTGACAACTAATCACGTTGATTTTGTGTCCAATTCCTGAAACGAAATGATACGGTTTGAACACTTGAGGTACTTATTGCTGAAAACAGCAAACATCACGCGCTGGCATCAAGTCACTCATCGTCAAGTGTTTTGATTCCGTGTAACTTGACGCTCTGGTATTGCTTCTGTTTATCTTTTTTTTTGTGCTGAGAGGTTGGAATTTCGTGCACATATTGTAGACTGGTATTAGAACTCTTAGAGGTCCTTGAAGGAAGACGCAATTTTTTTGTTTTTTAATCCTACCTTCCGTCATTCAACGACTTGGCTCAAATGTAACTCTCTGAAGAATATCTCTACAAAAACGCTTTCGACACGCTTTTCTAACTTTACTTAGGACGTATGCTACATACGTACCCTTCCTGAAATGGCCTTCGCCTTAACAACCATTGGTAGTATAACCCTTTTTTTCGTGAGTCGATGTGGTTACCCCTATCCCACATGCAATGTGTGTTCCGGACTTTTAAATGCTTCCACGAGATGTCCTATTATAAATAGCCTAAGATGAGGAATCCACCGTGCTGGATCAACAAAACACTACGATCAGTATACTGTGTGTGATCAACAAGTTCAGCTGCTCGTGAAAAACCGCCAATGTCAAGTGTTGGGACACGTGATGTGTTTTTTAGCATAATCTTTGTTTTCGGCTCCGAGTGTTATTCTTAATATAGTACTGACATGATCTTCGATAGTGTTTGTATACTGGTTTATCGCTACACGTTTCTTACAGCCATACGCCATCTTTCTCAAAATAACAACGTGGAAAGACAAAAGATTAATACACATGACCATTCTTAGATTTGAAAATCGTCGGCTACCAAGATGAACCTTTTTACGTTTAAAAGAATCGAGAGCTGTAGATAGTTTGGCCGGACACCGGAAGCTGAAAACATGAATTGTGAAAAGGAAATGAAATTTAAATTCGTTTTTCAATACGCATTCTCCCTTGTTGTTCCATTGGTCTCCACTTATTTAATTTTCGATTCCTTTTACTCTTCATTTTTGCGTCTCAGAGCTAGAACCGAAAGCACTCATACACCCCCTGCACACGTTTTGTCTTCCCTCATTAAATTTGTCTTTTTCGGTTCCATTTGCCTTCTCGCGCATAAGTTTCTTACGATCTTAATAGACTGTAGTTGAGAGGAAAGAAAACACATTGACAATTGAGATGGAATAAATAGACATATTTTTTCCTCTGGTTAAAATTGAGGAAACATTTAACAGTAAAGAACTGAAAACAAGCTATTTTGAATGAAAAAACTTAACGTTATAACAATGAAGTTGGTCTGTGGTAATAAAAGACTTGAACTCTGTTGTTCAGCACTTGCATTCCAATTTAGCACAGTGAAAAACAGTTTTTTCTCTTCTCGTTAGTATTGTCTAAGTTGTAAGCTCGAGTTTTCCTTAATTTCTACATCTGTGGTATACCTGTATGCACTGTGCCCGTGGTTGCCCTGTGACATATTCTCCTCACCATGTTATGTTTCTGAAGCCAGTAACCAATAGCGCTGTCGGGAAGAGAGTTCAAGGGTCCTTCTAAATATAAGAAGAAAGTATTAATTTAGAAAGTGTTTGTAATTTTTTCGTATTTGGTAGTAATTGATTCAATACACTCCTGTATTTAGCTGGTTTTCTTCTGCATGTTACTTTTCTCGTTGAGCCCTTTTGCGTCACGAGTCGAGCTATCACCTTAAAACTAAAGTAAAAATTTATGTGAATCTAAGCTCGAGAGTTGCCGCACAACCCATGAAACCCTTCAACGCGGCAAGCTAACTTTGCGGCAAGAAGCGAGGCGCTCGGCGACCTGGTTTCAAACTTAATTCATGAATTGGTTCAATGTATCTTAAATGGCTAAAAACTGAAGGGAGATTTCAGTTGTTATTTCGCATCTTAAGTCATGATTTTACTTTGCGCTACTAAATCATATTGGACTTTTGAACCCGTCCTCATGCAACTGTGATAGGGACCTGACATAAACACAAACCAGGACAGCTACGGAAACGAATAAACTGGAAAAACAAATGATTTATGTGCAAAACACAAAAATCTGCACGTGCGTTATAAACTTATTAAGTTTCCTAATCGTCCTCTGAAAAATAACAACGCAAAATCGCTAGATGAACGGAAACCCCAACACCAAAGATTTCACGTTTCTCTTTGGAACTCAAAGATGCCGGCCTTCGTTAAAGAGAAGGTCTGACGGTGTTTAAAACATTAAAAACATCAAAATGTATGCGAAAGGATAGCGAAAAATGTATGTTTATTGTTAAAGGATGTTTTTTATGTCGGCGTTTTCGCGGACGTGCTGGCGTGAGGTCCTTAATTGCGCTCCCCTAGGTCAAATCCGTTCGACAGAGCAATAGCGTGAAGTTTGAAATAGAACTGATTCAATCAGTGCCCATCAAAACAAGATTTAAACAACAGCATACAAAATAATAATTTAACTTAAGTTTGATCGCGTCAACTCTTGCAAAAATAGTTCTAGTTTTGCTTGTTCTGTATAACTAGTTTTATTGACAAACAAACAAATGATACTGAGAGAAAGGCTGTAATCTGGTGTAATAACATGAAGAGCTGCCAAGGTAAAGTTTTTTCACTAAACACGTCTTCTGATTAAACTGTTCAAGTCACCTCTTCATCCCCTAAGTACTGTTGGATTAGTTAAGGAAATTCCCTATACTCGAGTATTCCGGCATGGGGTAAAACGCAGGGAGGACATCTTGTCCTAAAAGCTTTACGCTTAGTAAATCGTATTACGTCGAGATGAAAAGCGAGTTTGCCACGCGAGATTGAATTCGAGTCGAGAAAATTTTCTCGCAGAGCCTAGGGGGTATTTTCCACAGAGGCGCCAACCAATTTACAAGATGTAAAAGGCCTTATTTTTAAAGGAGCTGTTCCCTTAGAGACGAGCAAGATTTATTTAAAAGAATGGCTGATGTAGAGTGGGATTAGTCCATTTTATAATAAGACCAGACTAAATCACTTCTTATTTTGGCAAAAACAAGTGATTTATATAGCTTTGGTTTTAAGTATCACAAAGTTGATCGCATTTTCGAATTTTTGGTGTCTATTCATCTTATTTCGTGTCATCCTGTTAATTCGCAAAGCACTGAGTATTCTGTCAAGACAGAACGCCGTGTTTATTACACCTAAACAAGCTTGACACACGTTCGGCTTATGATTACGAAAGGCTCGAAACACAGTCAGCTTTAAAAACTCACCACTGCGGCCAATGTACATTATCAACTCAGCTGATGAAACCAAATTACCCTGACTTAAGTTTGCCCCCCTCCCCCCTCGCCGTTAGAACAACGTACTGTTAACTTCATACTACGAATTTTAAACATGAAATGAAGTGAGCGTCAACCTCAAATCTATAAACAGCTTTTTTTTCTATTTCGCCAAAATAGACAGTTTTATGCTAAAGCAATTAAGGCAAAACCGTTATATTTTTTAAGCTGCACCGCGCCGAGTGGGGCGCATGGTTTACTGCAATCATTGACATGTGATCCTCAATGTTTTCTGAGATGCTATCAAAGCAGCAGATAAGCATCAGCTATTGAACTCGATGACTTCCTCGGATACGTGAGTCAAAAGGGGTTTGAAGAAAATGTCGCAAATAAACTGATTGAAACCAACTTTCCTTACTTATCATTTTGGAACACTTTTAATGAAAAAACAAGCTTAGAAGTAACTTACCTTGGTTGAAATGAAGACTTCTCGGCTCTGTTTTTCCATGCATGAGGAACACAAGGCACAGACAAACGGAAACTGGTCGAGACATTTCTGCTGTGAACGTTTGCGATCGTTTTCAAGCACAGAATAGCTTCGTTTATTACTCTTTACCGTATTTATATACAATTATATTCAATAAGGTTCTGCCTTTGCGCTTTTATTTTTAAGGCACGAGTTATGACAATACTGTCTGGTTTAGGATGTTTTATTATAGCAATTTTATTGTAATGTGTTTGTCTCATCCAACTGAAACAACCAAAGTAGCTAAGTTTCCATTCTGTCATCTTCTATTGATTTGATGAGAGCCACATCGGTTGCAACAAACCGGGTCTTTTTTTTGTTGTTTCAATCTCGGATTCTGACGATGAGGCATGTCTGGATCCACTCATTATTAAAAAAATTCGACTTATGAATTTTTCTACGATTTCTTTATAACGTGATTAACAACTAAACGCCTTTTTTTTTTCATTCTTAATTTCGCTTGTTGGGATTATTGTGTCTGGCAGTTAGGGGATATTATTGTCTTGAATATATAATTCAAACAATATTTTTAGTTAAGTTTTTATCGAGTTGGTTTTTTTAATTTTTTTTATCTGTTTATCTTATCTTTTTCGCGAAAGCTGATTTTACCAACTGTGAGCTTCTAACCCGTTCTTTTTCTCTCGTTAGACTAAGTGTCTCAATTTATACATATTTGCAGTACGTTTTTTTTTTAAAGTCCTATCTGAGGTAAACAGAACACGTAGAACTTTATAACTTGAAGAGAGAATGAGAGAATCTCGGCAGAAGAGAATGAGCCACAGAGGATAAAAGAGATACATGTTACAAAGTGTCCTGTTTATCGCCAGAATATTAATTTCGATGCAATGCAATTTAGTTTGTATTCAGACAGCTCAAAAACCCCCGACACTGACCTGACTTGTCTCTACTATATCAGTGTCACTTTTTTAGGTTTAAAATTACAACATTGGAAAATTACACTTTTGTTGTTCATTGTGTTGAGTTGACCCTCGTACTCTAAACAACAAAAACCTGCCTCCTGAGTGAAAAACACAGAAAGTATATTTGAATTAAAACAAAACAAAAAAAGGGGAGAAGGGTCACTGAAAAAACTTAAGTAAGGATAAACTCAAATTTTGTCTAGAGATCCTGAAAATTAAAATTGATCCCAGACTTTACGTGGACACAAAGCTCTCTCAAGCAACTATTCAATGCAATCCACCTGTGCACTTTTAAGAGCCAGTTGGGTAGAATTCTAATGAAGGAATTATAAGTTAATTGATACAATTTTTTGTATGTTGACAAAAGGTCGAACTACTTTTCTTAGCTTCTTTTCTTTTTTACATTAGAATTACTTATGGATAAAAGTGCCCAGAGATCAGGACAAACAGGAATATTAGTTAAATTGAAGACGGTTAATTCAAATCTTGCGCTATTTACATGACAGTTTTTGCCAGCGATGTTTGATTTTGGCCAAAATTGTAAGACGCCGACAATTCTACTTTTTCTCTTGCTCTCTTTTTACCGCATTATTGTCTACTTATTAACAAAGTTGTTGCGCGCATTGTAACAATCTAGACAACAAAGACTACTTTGCAAACACGTGGCAAGCTTAACTTTGAGAAGAAAGCGTAGAATATGAAACAAACCGATACCGACAAACGCGTGTGTATCAATGAAATGTTGGCTTGCTCACCACATGTGCTTACAAAGAAAAAAAATTCCCTTTTTGTGATGTCCACCGTAAGCCGCCTGAACTTATTTAACTTGCCGCCAGAGTAAGCGAAGGTATTATCAGGTTATCGCCATCAAAGACAGGCCAATTTCGGTAGAAACCACAAACGCACATCTTTACTTGGCCGGCGGAAAAAAACCGGTCTACTTGAAAGGCTTGCGTACGTCAGCAGAGGTATGACAAAGCTTATAATTAAAGCGACTTTGTTTACAACGATTCACTTATAGTAAACGTGTGAAATGAAGATATATTTCTTTCATCGAATGTAAGAAATGATATTGGATTTGTCTAGTTAGCGCAGTGCGGGGATCAATATTATCCCCTGGGCGATCGGTTTCAATCTGACTTCCTCGATACACGTGGTGTTGTCTTCTATTTTTGGAGTGTGCGTTTCAAGTATATCGTATCAAAACCTGTTTGAGATGTGCTACGATTTCGCAACCACTTTTTTCGTTTCCGTTCTCGTCAAAAATCCCAAAATTCAGTTTGAGAGAACTTTCGTAGTTCCAGAAATTTGCCTGAACTTCTAAGCCAACCTTGTGAACCTTGGAACGTGGTGTGGTTCGAATGAAGTTTGAAAAAAGCTTTTGACGACTGACCAATATCAACCCGTATTCTTTTGAAATACCAGTGGAATGTAGTAACAAAGAAATATTCGAATGGAGGAATAAAAAATTCATTGTTTTTATGATACTTATGTTGATTAAATTCCTCTTGGATGAGACAAATAAACACGCAATAAAAACGGGCGATATTTTCTATCTGTGAGATTTTTTATCCTTATTTGGTAGGCTGTTGACAACGTAAAAAATACAAGAAATACTATTCATGTCCCTGGTCGTGTCTTTCCCTCTAAACAGCTTATAACAAGCTTTTTCTATTTAAGGTGTAAAGTACGCACCAAAAACCTAATTAGACAAAATAATTAGCTTTCACGTCTACAGTTTTACGACTTTCTCTCATTCCCATCTAAATTGAACTTATCATTTTTGTTTTATAGACGCCGGATAAGCCATAAAAAATGATCGTAATTCCAATCCGTGCCGTTTTAGTATCAGAACTTATTTTGG